TATTAGTACTTATTTAAGTTTAATTATCTTATCTCTTTTTACTTAATATTAGTATTTCTTTTTATATTTTTCCTTTTTCTCTTTTTTTTCTTTTTTACTTTATAAGTATAAGACTTCTATTATTAGGGTAAAATATCCTAGAATAGGTTATTATTTTAAATTTAAATTTAGGTAGTATTTTTTAAGGGTCTTTTTCTTACTAAGAAATAAGTTATATATTATAATAAAAGAATTTAGTCTTAATAGGTTATATTTAGTTTTAATTATATTAATAGTTTTAATTACTATTTAAGGTTTATTATATTTCTTAATTATATTAATTTTCTTATTTTTAGGAATTAGTTTATACTTCTAGTTAGTTTTAATAAGGTTTTTATATTTTAATTATAATATCCCTTCTTATTATAATTCTAATAAGTAATTTTAAATTTATCTTTTTTAATTATTTTAATAATTATTAATTTAAAGTTAGTATTATAAGAAGTATTCCCCTGTTTATATAAATAATACACTAATATTTAGCTAATCTATTAAATCTATTATATACTATATCCCATAACCCATTTAACCCTCTTTACGCCGCCGACGCCGGTCTTTGACTTTAGGCAACTAAACTTACAAAAAACTCAATATATTTTCTTCCCACAGAACCCTATAATCACCCCTCTTCCATCCCAGATCACGCGGTACGCCGTCCCCCTTGCCTTCGCGCTCTCATGGTCCATAACCATAACCAGCCTGGTCTATATATCATCAAGGCTTAATCTTCTCCAGTACCTTCTTAGCCTGCCACCAGATGGCCTCGAGCCACTCATTATATAAGCCGCCGCAAAGGGCCTTAACAAATTCCCTTTCCCTCTGGCTTAGATTTACCCCTCTAAGTAACTTCCCTTCTAGCTTATAAAGCAGCTCTATCTCGCAATTAAGGAAGCCTCTATTAATTAGCTAATAGTAAGGCCATATAAGTAGGAGGATCTTATAACTAAAGATTACCAATCTAATACAGCCAGCATTATCCTCTTTTCCCTAGTCTATTCTGATTTCTATTACTATATTATAAAGCTTGCCGTAATTATCTTTCTTAATAGCTTACTTATTTTTACAGGTTATATTATGGCCTTTTATTAGATAAGGCTTATCGGGATTAGGTGCCTACAGGCTTCTTCTAAGCATCGTGGCAGGGAAGCTATAATGCTATTAGCGGTTGCGATCACAAGGTATAGGGGAAGTCGGATTATATTACTTACTAGGCAGTAGATAATTTAAGCGTAGTATCTGCAGGGGTCGGCAATAAAGTGGCCTTTAAAGTAGATTATAGGAAGAAGATTAGGGCCAGCTAAAGAGCAAGGCCCTCCAGCTAGGTTATATATAGCTAGGTTCAGGCTATAATTAAGGCAGCTAACTATAATAATATTAACTTAATAAAGCTTTGCCTACTAAGGGGTAATAAATATTTAAATTATATTAGACTTTAGAGATGCTTAGATATACCTTTCGAGGCTGACTTATAAACTTAAAAAAAAAAATAAGAAGTATTATTATTTTATTTCTTTCCTTAATTAGTATTATAATATAATTTATTTCCTTATTATTTTTAATTATTTTAATTATAATAGATTTTCTATTAAAATTATATATTATTAATTTTAATAGCTCTTTTAATATAATTAATTAATATCCTAAATTTAGCCTTTTTATAAAGTTTTATTTAAATTATTTCCTTAAGTTTATTAAAGAAAAGTAATATAAGTAGTTCTTAGTCTTATCTTAGTTTAATAGCTAGTTAAAAGAACTTAGTTTTATACTTTAAGGCTAATTTAGTTTATTAAAGTATTTTAATTTTTCTTTTTACTTAGTTTTTTTTATTAATTAACTTAAATACTTATTATAAGGCTTTTTTAAACTTAATATAATTATTATAAATTTAAAAGATTTAAGATAATTATTTATCTTTTAATATAATAATAATTTCTTTTAATATAAGTTAAAATTACTAAGTAATATTACCCTTAAGATATCCTAAGATATATATAATCTTATTATTATTATTTATAAATTAGTTTAAAAAGTAACTTATATAAGCTTAGTATTAAATAAAGAAAATAATTAATTTAATAAGGTTTTTATTAAATAATTTAAATATATTAAGTTTAAGGATTTCTCTTATTTCTTTTTTACTTATTATAATAATAGTAAGGTTATATATTTCTTAAATAATATTCTAGTAGTTAATAACTTATTAGGCCTATAGTTTTATTACTTTAATAAGAGCTTACCTAAGATTATTTATTTTAATTATTATATTAATTATCTACTAATAGAGTTAAATAATATTAAAGTTAATATTACTCTTAGAATTATTATTTATATTCTAATTATTATTAATAGATATAAGAGTAATATTAAATATAATATATTATTAAATAAGCCCTTATTTATATTAATAATATATTAATATTTAGCTAATTTATTAAATTTATTATATATTATATCCTATAACCTATTTAACCCTTTTTATACTACTAATACTAATACTATAACCCTAAGTCTTTAACTTTAGGTAATTAAACTTATAAAAAACTTAATATATTTTCTTCCTATTTCTCTATAGAACCCTATAATTACCCCTCTTTTATTTATTACATATAGTTGCGCTCTTATAGTCTAAGACTATGGCCAGCCTGGTCTTTATAGGGGCTTAGTCTTCTCTAGTACCTCCTTAGCCTACTACTAAATAGCCTTAAGCTACTTATTATATAAGCTACTATAAAGGGCCTTAATAAATTCCCTTTCCTTCTAGCTTAGATTTACCCTTCTAAGTAACTTTCTTTCTAGCTTATAAAGTAGCTTTATCTTATAATTAAGAAAGCCTCTATTAATTAGCTAATAATAAGGCTATATAAGTAGGAGGATTTTATAACTAAAGATTATTAATTTAATATAGTTAATATTATCTTCTTTTTCTTAGTTTATTCTAATTTTTATTATTATATTATAAAGCTTATTATAATTATCTTTCTTAATAGCTTACTTAATTTTATAAGTTATATTATAGCTATTTATTAAATAAGGCTTATTAGGATTAGGTAATTATAGGCTTCTTTTAATAGTAGGTATTATAGCAATAAAGCTATAATACTATTAGTAGTTATAATTATAAGGTATAAGAAGTTAAATTAAATTACTTATTATTAAAGCGCAGTAGATAATTTAAGTATGGTATCTACAGGGATTAGTAATAAAGTGGCCTTTAAAGTAAATTACAGGAAGAAGATTAGGGCTAGCAAAAGAGCAAGTAAGGCCCTCTAGCTAGGTTATATACAGCTAGGTTTAGGCTATAATTAAGGCAGCTAATTATAATAATATTAATTTAATAAAGCTTTACCTGCTAAGGGGTAATAAATATTTAAATTATATTAGACTTTAGAGATACTTAAATATACCTTTTAAGGCTAACTTATAAACTTAAAAAAAAAATATTATTAAATAAGATTAATATAAATAATTATTATATTTATATTACTTAGTATTATATAATATAATTTAAATAAGAGCTATTAATATATAATAGTTAGTTTCTAATTATAAATAAACTAAGCTATATTAGGTTTATTATTAGTAGATTATATAAGGTATATAATTAAGCTTATTAAAGTATTATATCTTTTAATAGTAGATTTAATATATATTAGGCTTAATTAATATAAAAAAGTTTTATTAATAATTAATAAGCTTAAATTTATAAAAATATAAATAAAAGTAATTTATATATTAAATATAATTTTATAAAAGTAATATAATATAAGGTTATTATTAGTCCTAGAATAATATAATCTTAAAATACTATTAATCTTATAAGTATTAATCTTTTCCTAGTTAATAAGCAGAGTAGAGAAATTTATAAGATATATATAATATAACTACTAGGATTATAATATTAAAGACCTTAAATATAATCCTTAAGGCTAGATTATAACCTAAATACCTTTAGAGATAAATTAAATAATATTATAATAACTTCTTAAAGTTAATCCTTAAAGCTTTTGAATCTCTTACTAAAATAATAAAGAGAAATATATATAAGATTACCTTATTAAAGGCTAAGAACTAAGAGCTTTTATAGATAAATAATATACTTAGCTAGTAATATAAGGCAAAAAGAATATACCTATAAAATAAAAGGAATATAATTATATAAGAAGGTTAGGATTTAATTAATTAGATAGATATAGATATCTAGGTAATAGCTAAATTATTAAGAAGTAATAGTTAAGGAAGTTTAATATAACTAAGGGTTTAATAATATAAAACTTATAGTAAGATTAAATATAATATAAGAACTTATTAGGAGGGTATTAAGGCCTTTAGAGATAAGTATAATAATTAGAATTAATTAATTAGATAGTTTATAGTATTTTTATTATAATTTATCTTAGAAAGGTAGTAATTCTTATCCCGCTTGCTTATCTGTCCTGCTCGCTTATCGTGTATGTTATATTAAATGAAGTATTTTGGGAGCATAACCGAGCTAGCTTGCGAGTCGGATGCAAATAGTTACTGCAGGAGGGTATTGTAGTTCTCTATTGAAGCCGGGAACGAACAGGCACTCTAAGAAATATATGTTTTTGTTTGATTGTCACGCCGCTCGGATGAATCGCCTGCTTGGGAAGCAGGCCTGTGCGCAATGTCCGTTAATGAGCGGGCATTTTTGCAGTCTTTCATTGGACCGCGGCATTACGCCATGCCAATTAACTCCCCGAGCGACACATCAAGATTTTCAACCCCACAGGGCTGGAAGCAAGGCTGCGAAACTATTGGCAGCCACCTGAAGCTATTTAAGTCCAGACTCGGTGGGAAAGAAGTAGAAAGACATACAAGGACATAGCCTGGGTTTTCCATGCTGCTTCAATGTGAACTATGTCTCTATAAGAGGGCTTGCATCTGCCACGCGGGGGATTTGGGGTCCCCCGCACTCCGTCAGCGACAGTCTACCTGAAACCATGAAGTCTTCCAACCATTACGGCCAAGGGCCAGAACCCAACTATACATACCAGCCAACGATGCCTACACCTACCACGGAGGTTCCAAATCCGACCACCCGAATCCGCGGGGTCGCTAGAGATATTTGGCTCGCATGCATGATATCGTCGATCCCTCTAGTTGCCTTTTCTGCTTTACTTCTCGGCCTCGTCTTTCACTACCAAGTCATTCCCAAGAGCCCTATATCTTCAAGCTTTGCCTCTGCGGCAACAGCAGATCCCAGCGTTCTCTATGTTGACTTCCCTGCTACCACCCTAATAATCGTCGCGTCGTGGTCTAGCACTATGGCACCGCTAATTCTGCCATTTCTTCTCACCCTGGTCTCATTTCCAGTGTCTAGGACATTGATCCAGGCGAGTCAGAGCGGCGATAGAACCCGACAGCCAACTCCACGGCAGTATGCCCTCATTCTTCGCATCATGAGCAATGCCTCTTTAAGCGCCTTATGGAGTTGCATAACCTATGTGTTTACCTCGAAAAGGAAGAGGGCACCAATGACACAGCCCTTGACATTCATGACCTGGATGCTAGCACTGGCTTCGCTCCTGAGGTAAGTACCCAACGCCAATAGCTATTTCTCATATTGAAATTCGCTGATTCGATCAAGCATCTTGGTCTTCGCCACGGATACATGGCTACATTTCGTGACCAAGACTGTCCCTTTCACTCAGTTCTCGCCGACAACATTCGATAGCGCCAGCTTCAGGTTCAACGAAAACTGCACAAACATCAACACTACCTTCACAGGGGGTTGTACGCTCAACAGTGCGGCAGCAAATACCTTTTTGATTAACAGCGAGCCCTCACTGGAGCTTCTCGCCAACGTCTCCAGCACAAACATGGTCCAGCAAGTCGCCGACTCCACTGGCAAAAGCTACGCCTTTATAGGCCTTCGACAAACCAGTCAAAATGCCAACTTGGATTACACAGCTACGTCATTCGGGGCATCTTCCCAATGTCAAGTTGTCACGAAACATTGCATAAATGAAAACGGTATTAGCGGTCCGCAGGCCAGCTATAAATGCGACTTTGGCGCAGTCCAGGGAGTGATACCGACCACTCAGGTAGATGCAATGGTCCTCACTTACTTCACCGATTCATCAATGAAGAATAACGTTTCCTCCCTTGTATCACTGCCAAATCCATACTATTTTACCGCCATTGTTAGCGTCAATCAGAATTTGGGCCGCAACCCCAACAGAGGTTTGATTGACGACCCCAACATAACCAGCGGTCTCCATGGATCAACTCTTTTCGCATTGCTTTGTAGTACCAAGGTACTTGACTGGAGATACACTTCGATAAATGGATCTGTCACATCTTTCTCATACTCACCGAGCAACGCGTCCACTACCAACATTGTGATGGGGACTGAAGGATATACTCATGTCGGCGATTCATATATCCTCCAGCAAACAAGTCTGGACGTCTGGCAGAGTGACACGGCGCAAGAGGTGGCCGACAAGTTCGCGGAAACATACAGTCGAACCGTCATGGGTGCAATTGGAGGAGCTTTACTCTCCGCGCCAGCCGAAGAGGCCCAGTCGCGATCCTCAAATCTGGTAGCTAAGATTCCCAAAGGTCCCCTGGCATGTCTGCTCCTTGCTAATTTTTTGCTTGTAATACTTGGACTGTTTCTTACAGTTCGAGCATTTTTGACTTCAAGTAGTGACGTTGGAGACGTACAAGCGAGACTCGGCATTACTGCACTCATTGCGGCGCATTTTGAAGTGGATAAAGGTGAGACCGCAGTGGAAAAGGTAGATCATATGTTCCAAGAGAGAAATGGAGGTGACGGGCCGCGCATAGGGCTGGAAAGAAGTGCTTTGGGTGGATGGAAATTTGCTACTTATCAGAGTGCATATTAGATCTAATTTAACTCGTTCTAATCGCAGTCAACTTCCATAGCATGACCCAGAATCCAAAGGCCTTCACACGGGTTTTCTCGTTCGAGCGAATGTCCGACTGTGTTAGATGATTGACTGACTTGACTCAATCCCGATGAAACCTGGCCTCAATGATTCTCTGTCTAATCTCCGTGAAGAGTTGGAGTAGGGCTACGACTCGTGAACAATGTCTAGATTCAACAGGGAATACAAGGGTCTTATGCGATTGGGGTACTTCATATCACTCTGCTGGTATTCGGAGACGAAACTTGAGTGACACGTGGGCTGACACAGGCCGCTGCTTTTATGGCTCTTTATTAGCCCTACCTCAGTCCCCCGTCAGCCCTACTTAGCTATCCTTACCCCTTATACTAAGCCCTAGGCAACACACTCAGATGCTATACGGCTCAAAGAACTAATTTTAGACCATACAAAAGGTAATCTAGCCGGTACAATGTTCCCAGGAAGAAACACAAACCTTTGAGGCCTCTTTGAAGTCCAGTTAAAGAGAGGTGAAAGCCCAAAGCTCTGCTTCCTGGTGAGCTAAGCCTTGTTCTGTTGTAGTGACATAATGATTCTGGTTCGAGGAAGGCCGAGTTCTAGACTAAATCGATATGTGCCATTTGTCAGGATGGTCACTGAACATTTATCGCGTTGCTTGCACCAAGCGTTCGCGCTTGAGCGGTGGAAGGGGACTGCCTGGGCCTAGACATACGGTTTGGCCATGCTACATGGACAGGTGCACGAATTCCATGCAATATGGCTAGGACCTGGTGTTCGGTTAGCTCTATGTTGTGGAAATTTACCCAAGGGTAGTATAGATAAGCATAGCAGACTCTCAGGTAAAGCTACTAAGTTCTCTATGGTGATATAAGCCCATAGCCATAACTCTTAGCTGCAAATGATATATCTAGCTTATGACTTAAATATGATACTAAATGTCTGACTAATTATTTTGATATAAAGCTAACATTATAAAAAGCAAATTAATAACTTAATTACCTCTTATTAGAAGGATAAAAGATGTCTTTGATATATATTTAACTTCCTATAGGTAGGATATATAGATTTTAGATTTATTAATAAACACTTATATTAGAAAAAGTTAATTTAATAAAGGTTTTATCATAATGTATCTATTAGTGCTATTATAGCTAAGAAGAAGGTTAAAAAGAAAGGTTTAGGGTAATCAGAATGTCATGGTGGTATTAAGTTTATGAGTCAGTTATAAGGTTAGAAAATACACTTCTTGCCCAGCATAATGCAGGTAAAGCTCCATTCAGCAAGTACAGTATCTAATGATAGATACTGGCATACAATCCTCCAGCAAGATTCACCTCTGCGACCAACTTAAAAGCAGCCACTGACAGCCACTATCGAATGTCTCCCCATTTGGGACTTGACAAGAGGCCTCACTGTATCACGAACTCACGAAGTCTTCAGTGACATACTGACATAACTTAATCGGATAATGCAGGTACAACGCGGGAAACTGGTCAGATTATGCAAGGGCAAGCCAAACCAGATAAATACGTTAATCCACCCATTCACAACGATTGAAGAGGTAATGCTAAAGAACGATAGCCTCTCAAAACGGAAGACTACCGTTTACCTTCCATCCGTTTGGATAAATTGTGCAAAATTATTCAATGGCTGAGTTCTAGATTCAACGAGCCGGAAAAATGTGGAGATTAGTCTTTGAGTGACTGGCTGAGACGGGACTATTGAAAAACTGCACCTCTAGCGAATCGCCAAGTCCGAGGAATTGGGGTAACAATGGATATTTTGGGACAAATCGCTCCACTGAAATATTAGAACATTTGCATCTGAAGGCGCTGTTTAGAATACTGATTGTGAAATTACTTAGTGACTCCGGGATTTCTATTATCAGACATAGATATAGCAAGCGTTCAAGAGAAACATTGAAATTAATCGAGAATCTCATGTGATCAAGAGCACTCGGAAAGCCAGCTACTCGCACCCAAATTTCCACCATGCAATTCTATCATTCCCCTAGAAGATAACTGGTGCCAACGCGCCGACGCTCCGACGTGGCGTCGTTTAGTCGTCGCGGGGTCCCTTTGGTCACCCAAATGGATATAGTGGCTTGCCCCTCACGTTTCAACGTCCGCTATATGGCGCACAAACAGGGGATTCAAGGCTGAGAGAAAGCTTAATATCCGTTTCTTGGCGGAGCTGAATGCTCATCCGGAGGTTTTGTCCCTCTAACGTCTGTGATTTCAGACCACTTTTGCTTAGTCCTTGGGGACTTTGATAAGACTGGGCGGGAGCGCAGAAGCAGCCAGCGACGGAAGTAGATAAAATCCGTAGCATTCGTCCACTCCCACGATTCTCCGGGCTGCTTGAGCCCAAAGGCGATAGTGATAATACCTAACTATTATTGTTTGAGCTTCTGTACAATTTTAGGGACAGTGGTTAATTATTGGCCCTTAGATCAAAGATGAATGGCACATCCAGGGGGGAGACTTTTGCTGTCCTGGTTCAGAAATCAGCTCAGCCACTTCATAGATCTATTGATTTACCAAATTCAGTAGTTGGAAAATGTCGGCCGCTCAAGATGCCTGACGCAGGATCTTTAAGACCCGTAGCCTTATGAATGCCATGAACTGGGGAGGATCGGGCACTGGGTCCTTGTGTCGAGTCAAGCCATGCTAGACCAGATACCCATTCAAGGAAACTGGAGTGTACCAACGATCACAGCAATGTCCTTTTACAACGTTGTCTCTCAAACACTTGGACTTTATCACTCTTCAATAAGGTTAACAAGCAAACTAAAAAAGACATAAAGCTAAGCTTAACAACAATGATGCATAATTCTCAAAACAAGAAGGCAAACCTTATGCTTCCAGCTAAAAAAAACAAGCCCAGCCCAGGGACCGCGAGTCGCAGCGACAGGCCGAAGCCACGCCCGTGGGACTTAGCGTTGTTGGTCCCCTGTAATTTCCCCCGCACCGCCATCTCTTGGCCATGTGACGTCCCCGAAGTTCTAAAGAAGCGTGCACTGCGAAGCCACCAGCTGACTTGCCAGTTATTCTACCGCAGGCTGAAGCCCTGAGGGCTGTGTGAGAAGCAGGGGAAAAGGGAAAATGACGGACAAGAGAAAGATCAGGCAGTTACTGAAATCAGCTGCAATTAATGCGCAGTGAATACCTGCAGCATGATCTCATCAACTCTTGTCGTACGAACAGCTTGGGACCTAATGGTCCTGGCGCTGAGTCTCGAATCACGCATTGTCTCGGTAAATACTTCGCTTGTTGCTTGACTCCGATATATGCAGGGGTATCGACACTAACCCGCATAGGCATGGACAGGGACGTGGGTATTGAACTGGAGTCTATGCCTCGAGATCAAGTCCTGGGGACGATTTTCGTCGGCCCTCGGCTTTATTATTATAGAAAATTGGTTTGGCCATTCAATAACCATGATGAAGTGATCAGTGAGGGCGGGGATCTGTGCTGTTAGAGTTGGTGCATAGACCGCGAATGATGATCTAACCGATGTCACTTACACCACGAATAAATATATCTCCATTAGTCACTGTAGCCTATATGAAGACAGCCATAACAATTGCGTAAAGGACTCTCTGCCAAATTCTAATTTACTGCCAAATAACAAATTCATCGTATTGCAGACCATATTGAGTCGGACAACCGCCATTAATTTCCACTCAATGTTCAGCTGCATCTTGAAGCCTAGTAACCTAAGGTCTGGATCCCAATAGTCGGAAATATACAAAGATAGCGGCAATTTGTTTCTTTTTGCGCCAACAAAGTCAGCTTGTCCAACTCTGACAAGAAGCAAAACCGAGGGCCGACTCTTCAATCAGGTTGGTGGCGTTTCTCCGCCACTGTGACAGTGACATCCTCAAACCTCTTAGCCCGGCCTAATCAGTCCCCTGAACGGTTTGGCGATCGTGGCTGAAGGAAAAGGGGTTGCTTTCCAGCAGAAGTAACGCATTTTCAGATATCTGTTCACCGTGTGAGGCTTCTGCTTAAACACCTTAACCATAACTCATGCATACATTTCGCGCCACTGAGAGCTGTAAAGGAGATATGGAAGCGCCTTGTCCCGAATTGGACCAGCCGCGGTGACATCGGTCTAGCGCTGAGGACCTATCGAGGTCTGGATTGCGAGAAACTATTATCGTGAGATTTTTTGGGGTCAGGGGAGAAAGAGGCGCTGACCATCAGCGACACCATAGCAAACTATCGATTTTATCTCGCGATGATACCGAGCGCACTTCCTTATAAGAACTTCTGATCTCTCCCTCCAGTCCCGATCTCCAGGCACTCAACCAGCTTCTCTCAACAGCTGATCACCAGACTTTTGTCTATTCATTCTTTTTTTTGTTTGCCCTTCCATTCTTTTAGCCATGATCAAGTCTTTGGCTCTCAATCTCCTCCTGACCCTCGGGTCCGTCGCCGCTTCTCAACCCCAATCTGAGAACGGCCTCTCTGCCCGAGCTGACCCCTTCACCTGTGGCAACCTTGCTGTAAAGGTGAAATGGATCAACAAGTGCATCTGCACTGATATCATCCACGCCACCATTGACAGCTCTGGCAAATTCTGTACTTGCGACTCTGGCTACAAGCAGTCTGGTAACAAGTGCGTCAAGGACTGCGGTGATGATGCAGACTTCGGGTACAGCAGTACCGACAAGAAGTGGGCTTGTCATTGCAAGAACAAATGGCTCACCTACTCCAACAAAGCTTGTGCTTGCCCCGACAGTCAGACAGATGATGGTGTCAGTGCTTGTGTTGACAAGTGCCCTGGCGCTACATACACTGTTGATGGCAGTAGCTACAAGTGTGAGTGTTCTAAGGACTCTCAGAAATGGGATACCGGTTCTTTATCTTGCGTTGATAAGTGCCCCGCATCTATCACCGACTATAACACCGACGGAAGCTGTACTTGCAAAGACCCCGACTTCAAGTATAGCGGTGGCGACAACGGCGACTGCGACACCAAGAAGTGTCCTGTTGACGGAACCAAGTACGACGGCGATGACAAGGGTCAGCCCAAGTGCCCATGCACCGACTCCAAGAAGAAGCTCAATGGCGCCGGCGATGCTTGTGAACTCAAGTGCCCAGTCTCTGGCTCTGATTACACTGGTCAGGACGATGGCGAGGGTGCCCCTATCTGCAAATGCAACGACCCTTCCATGAAGCTCGACGGTGGTGCTTGCGTTCCCAAGTGTGACAGTGACAGCACATTCGTCAAGGACGGTGATAACCCTGGCGATGACCCTGTCTGCGACAAGAAGTGCCCCAACGGCGGCACAGAGTTTGTCAAGGATGGCGATAACTCCGGTGATCCCCCAGTCTGCAAGTGTACCGATGAGGCCTATACAATCAACGACCAGCTCAAGTGCGACAAGAAGTGCCCTGAAGATGGTACTACATTCGTCAAGGATGGTGACAATGCTAGCGATCCTCCAGTCTGCAAATGCGACGATGAGTCCCTGAAGATCAACGGCCAACTCAAGTGCGACAAGAAGTGCCCTACTGACGGAACCACATTCGTTAAGGATGGTGACAACGCTGGTGACGCTCCGGTCTGCAAATGCGACGATGACTCTCTTATTATCAATGACCAGCTCACCTGCGATCCTAAGTGCTCCAACCCCGATACCGAGTTCGTCAAGGATGGAGATGCGGGTCAGCCTGCTGAGTGCAAGTGCAAGGACGACAAGAAGTACCTCGATGGAAGCAACAGCTGCAAGAACAAGTGCCCTGATGGTGCTACCTACGATGACTCCGGCTCCGACTGGACCTGCAACTGCCCCAACGTCGGCGAGCACTACACCAAGGCTACTGCAGACGCTGGCCCCAAGTGTGCTTGCGACGATGACAAGCAAGTTGTTCCCGGCGATAACAAGTGCACTTCCAAGTGTCCCGCCGGCGCTACCTACACTCCTGATAACTCCGAAAAGGGCTACACCTGCGGCTGTGACGCTGCTATCGCTGGTTCCAATTATGACTCCGACAACAACAAGTGCACCTGCCCTACTACCAACTCGGACGGCTTCACTATCAAGCTCAACGATAACAAGGATAAGTGCATCATCGATTGCGGCACTGAAGCTTCCCTCAGCAGCGACGAGAAGTCCTGTGTCTGTACCCTTGCCGAAGGCACCAAGTTCGACAAGTCCGCCCTCAAGTGTCCCTGCGACGCCCCCGACTACAAGGCCTTCAAGGGCAAGTGTATTCCCGACTGCGGCAGCGCTGCTTACTGGAACCACAAGACTGTCAGCATGGATGCCTGTGTCTGCAAGAAGCGAGGCCAGACTTTCACCAAGGACGGCAAGACCTGTGCCTGCGATGGTTCTCTTGTTTGGTCCGATGGAAGCTGCCACAAGGACTGTGGCAAGGACGCTCACTGGGACTCTCGCCGCAACGACTGCGTCTGCGAGAAGCGCGGTCAGCTGTTCAATGGCAACGGCGCGACCTGCTCGTGTCCTACCGCCAAGCCTATCTGGGACGGCAGTCGCTGCGTCCCAGACTGTGGAGACTACGCTTCATACAACTACCGCGCAGGAGTTTGTGTGTGCGATAAGAAGGGCAAGGTCTTCACTGCCTCGAACAAGTCTTGCGATTGCCCTGCTCCTCAGGTCTGGCTCCTTGGAAAGTGCCAGGTTGATTGTGGAAGCGATGCGGGCTGGGACAAGCGCACTCAGAAGTGTGTCTGCTACAAGAGTGGACAGCTGTATGATAATGGATCATGTGCTTGTCCTGCTGATAAGCCTGCTTGGAGCTCCAAGTACAAGTGCTACAAGCCTAAGGCCTAAGTCTTGAAGCGTATGGAGGAACAGAACAGCCATTTCATATATTATGTGGGGTATAATCTTCCTTGGTGGACTTTGTAATGGATGATGTTGGGTAGTGACATGGGGTATTGGAGCGAGATGGATAGAAAGCATCTAGCATTTATGCGTAGAGTCTCATTAATTCATATCTGTTTTGTCTTTGACTCGGCGCATGCAAGTCGCCCTGCGAATCTTCCCCCAATCGTTTCTCCACAGCGACCTCTGATAGGAGCCCCTCAGCAGTGTTAGTGCTTACCTCCTGATGATATGTAACGGCACAATGCGTCTTTATACCAATCACAGCTTGCCATATCATAGTACAGGTTGAAAATACAATTCCAATTAGCAATTATCTCCTGCCGCCGCGGTCATCTCATCATCTGACGATGTCTTGTCTATTTATGATCACATCAAGCGCACCTATCTCTGGTATCATGTTGCAAGCATTCTCAGTAGTATACTACCTTTAAGAAGGGTTTGCAAAACTCCATCTCTGCTTCAATATTCGACAAACATCGGCTATGGCAAATACTCTCACCCTGTCGTCTGCGGTTGTCGCGGGCGGCCCGTTTGAGCAGCAAGGCTCTATTGACTGGGTCCAGATCGCCAGAATGTCCGTTTCTGTGCCGATCTCCATTCTCGCACGCGTTACAGCTGCCGACGTTTCTGCGCTAACGATCGTCGTGGGGCAGGAAATGTCATCTCTCTTTCAATTGTCCGCCACCGGACATGAACGTCTCATTAAGGCGCTTGCGGAACTGAAGAGCTTCTCTGCCATCGGAGATGCCATTTGGTTTGGCTTTGGGATCAAGCACATAATGCGAGTCCTTGCGGAGACTGGCAAAGGACTGACGTGCCTGATGCTATGTGCATGTCTTTCTGAAATTCATCCACCAAAGACGTGCGCCGAAATCTTAATCAGGTTGGCTGATGTTTGTGACGCCCCTGATCATCTACGTCCCTCTGCTAGTCAATGGTTGAATCTAGTAGGAGCTTGCTCCGGAACTCTCAAGTCCACGACCTTTGCATGTATCGCGGAGCAGTTCATGGCATTCCATCACCCTTACGTGAGCGAGGAATACATGGATGAGGCTGCAGATGTTGCTAGAGCTTTGCTCGCTGTGGCGCGTGTTTCCTCCGGTGTGCTGAGTTCGGTAACATTGACGGGCGGTCGATCCTGCGGATGGATCGCTGCTATTGGGTTCTACTTCCTCGGCTTGGAGGTCGAGATTCGAAGTGCCGATAATGCTACGATTTACAAGTCCACGACCAACGATGACTCGATCCGTCTGTTGGTCATATACGGGACAGCACAGTCCACCAACCAGGTCCAGGTCAACAGCACTGCATACTTCATAAACTCTCTTGATCGCGTCATGGCCCATGAGCAGCGGTTTGATTCCATTATATCTGGGACCGTTCCATGGAATAAGTGCTTTTCAACAACGTTCGGTGACTCCTTCAGGCACCTTCTGGATGCCAGACAAGATTTTGGTCGTCTAATGGGCGCCTCCGCACGGGTCTTTCGAGGCTTAACCATTTCGGATACAAGTAGCATCTTCAATTCTAATGACCGTGCCGATTGGTTCGGCTTTCAACCAGGTCAATACGGACATGGATTTTGGCATTCCGCTACTTCATGGTTCCCTGAACTTTTACTCCTGGGTCCCAACATTGATCTCGACACGAACATGCCTGTTGACGATGCTGTTGAGGCATATAATCAAGCCTCGGAGAACTTGGCACGCACCTGCAACTGTCATTACTGTTCCGGAGACTACTCGAGATCCATGAGGGGGTACTGCCTTCCCGTACTTGCCGAGACCATTATCTTCCTTGTCTGGAATGTTGCTGCTCTTCGAATCCACACCGATCTCAAGCCCTATCACTCTGGCTTGAGATTCATTTACCAACTCCACTCTGGTGAGGCTATGACCGATCCTAGTTTTGGAGAATGGTATGGAGGCGATGCCCATCGTGAAGCTTACTGGGGAAATATTGTTCATCTCGTACGACGTCTCGACCTTGCTTCAGTATACCATACGGCGCAGTTTCTGTTTACCAATGACTTATATCCTCTGCAGAGATGCAAGGCATTTACTGCCGCTTCTGTTGGGGGTCTATGCTTCTATTTTGACATCTTGCGTAATGTGTCAGATCGACCAGAAGAGGCAGTGACACTGCATGTTATACCTGGAGTAATCCAGACGAATGCCGGACGACAATACTCTTTCATCGCGGATAAAACGGGCACCAGGTCTGATGGTCTTTTAGGGTTCGACTGGATAGGCACCCGTTCTTTCGAGGATACTCCCCAATACAAAGTCGATTACAAAGGTAGTGTGACAGAGTCATTGGGCGGCAATATCTCGATCCCTATACTTGGTATGGACACAGGAAGCTCTGATTTGAATGTCAAGCTTTTCATTGAAGAGTCTGCCAGCGGCTTGCTCGTCGATCTTCACTTCATCAGTGCCGCGGGAACCTGTCGTGTCGGGGCATATACCACGCTTAAAGAGATCATCGAGAACTCAGGACTAGTCCAGTGCACTCACCGCGCTTGCGCCACGATGGATCAGATTAATTGCAACATATCTGTTATAGACGGAGAAGGCTCTGTGTCTGAGAATCTCCAGCCGAGAATCTACCTAAGAAGACTTGCGGGTAATGCTTTGGCGAGATGCGTTGGACTTTTGGTTGATAGAGAATGGATGGATGCGCCCATATTGCGCCAGCGGGAGTGTATACCATGCTGTATCAGGACTGCTGCCAACCTGCGACATGATCATCGGAGGTCTCCATCTTATGTTATTCTTTGATCTAGCTCTTGTTTTCAATGAGATTAGCACTGGGAACCTGCAGGCCTTGATAACTATAATACAGAAGATGGCGCTGCGGTGTTTATTAAGCGGATAAAGCGGCCGGATATGAGGAAGCCGTCTGGCGCTAAAATATTACACTGCTGCATATACTCACAGCATTGGATGGGGTCAAGCCCCCAAATTTATGCTTGGAATTAATACGGCTTTAAAGGCCAAGCTATACTAACTACAACAGACAGACGTCATAACAGCCAATAAATAATGCAGGAGCCTTGCGTTAGCTTAACACAGACGCTACCAATCTCGATGAAAATGCGTAATAGATCAAAGTCAAAGTTCCGGTGCAACGCTTTGTCTTCAAGCCGACATCCTGACATACAATTTGTCAGCCTAATACTTTTCTCATTATCGTACGATAATGAGGAATAGTTACAAAGCGGGAAATTAGCAACAAGAAAGCACGGTTTCCAGCTGTTCTGCATATACTCTCTAAAACTCAGTTAGGCACATGCTACTGCAAGCCGGGGCAATAACGTTGCAAGGACGGATTGGTCATCAGCCTGCATACTTATTAACTACTTCTAGAATACTGCAGTGCAGTTATCGCTTAGTCTGCGGTATACAACCTACGGAGGTCAGGGTAATTGTCCCGATTGATGACCTACACTTCGGATTTATCATGTAAATAGTCTTGCCGCAAGCCGAATCACTAAATGCCTATATACACTCTTCCTGTCATCGGTCTCACAGCCTATCTCTTTCCTCCTTAAGTCTGCCAGCAATACCTCAAGCCACCAATTATTAAAGATATACAAATCATCATACATTTTACAATGTCAACCAAACAGCCAGATATCACTCTTTACTTCCTCAATGCGAGCCGAGCAATCCGAATTGCCTGGCTATTGGAAGAACTTGGCCTCTCGTACAAGCTGGTCACCTCGCCAAGGGCAGCGAATGGTCTAGCGCCACCAGAGTTTAAAGCCAAGATTCCCACTCGGCTTGGGACTAGCCCTACTATTCAGGATGGGGATCTGGTAATCCAGGAAAGTGGTGCTATCTTGGAGTGAGCAGTGTTACTGTCTTCTCTGGCGGCTTTGTTGTTTGCTAATCGATATAGGTACCTTTGCGAAACGTATGACCATGCCTCACGGCTGATACCTCAGGAATCGCATGCCAGAGCAAGTGTCAGGGAATGGATTCAAGCTTCCGAGGGTACCTTTATGCTAAATGCCGTTCCGGTTAGTGTTTCTTATGGGCGACTTCGATTAGTGTTGCACTGTTTTGAGGGGGCTCTCTAACGTCGATAGATTATCATGGCCCGGATGGGAATGCCAAAAGAGGCCGCACAATATGTTCCCGGGCTGGAGGCTGCGATTGCGCCAATGGTGCGCGGCGCATTGCAGTGGCTGGAAACGGAACTTGAATCAGGTCCCAGCCAGGGCCAGTTCATTGTCGGAGCAGACCTTACTGCGGCAGATATCATGATGGGATTCAGTATTGAGACCATTTTCGCCATGAAGTTGGGAACGGAGAGGCAGGATTGGCCGCTGATCAGTAAATGGCTGGCAAACATGATGGACAGGAAGGCTTATAAGACAGCGGTGGAAAAGACAGGCTATTCAATGTAGCTCATCGGTGATAGAACTCACCTTACCATACGGCATAGTAGTTAGTTTTCTTTGTAGTATATTTTAACTGTAATTCCAGTTAGGCTTTATTACAGTTTACACACGTTTAAGGCCATAATCTGTGCTGGTCTTATCTTACCAATTTTGGCATTGGCTGTCTCTCTCTCTCTGTAAAGTTAGTAAGACGCAGCGCCAATGGAACCTATATTATAAACATCGCTTTGCGCCCAGATGACGATTGTCTACAGACTCCGTGTTCCATTCATCAACTTTCCACATTGCTTGGGTTACTTCTCACCAGATTGGCGTTGAGAATTACATCGTCGTGAGTGGAAATTCTTCTTCCCCAAACAATACCTTCGCTCGTACCTACCTCACCTAGTCTATTCAACTCCAATCTTGGCGATGTGCACTTGGGGAGTGTATATCACATTTGAGTTGACGCATTACACCACGTTCAAATTCAACCAATGAGTATATACAAAACAGCCTCTTATTGGAGATCCCTTTCTTTAAGCTAGTTCGATCGGAGGTATGAAGGGAGTTTGCTTAAGTGTTATCTCACGTACACGTTTTGCTGGCTCGGATTGCAACACAGGTCTCATCTGCCAGCTAGTCGTTGGCGTAGCATGGCCACCCTCGCAAATCGCGTCCGCTAAGTTCATACAAAATAGCTGGCAATTGTTATTGTAGATATTGTATCTTGGCACCATGGCCTTGATGACATCTTCGGCTATACATAAACGTCAATCTTAAGTAGTCCAGTTGCCAAAGTGTCACTCACCAGCCTGTCGGATAGCTTCGTCGTTAAAAGTAGTCTTGCCAATCACTATTGGCTTCTCCCATAAGCCAAGAAAGGTCTGTGCTGATGTCTTGTCGTTATTGTATAGGATGTTAAACTCCACGTCGCCACCAAGCTCGTGGTAGTAGTCCCCAACGAGGATAGCCCAATGGTGAGTAGGGTCTGGGGCAGGATTTGACGAAAAGTTATAAGGCGGCACACCCGGTTTCCGGATTAAGGTAATAGCAGCCACAAGCTTGCCGATCATCCCCGCCACTACATGAGATCCAAGGAGGACCTCTCGAGGGGGATCACTCTTACTTGGTGTAGCTGGAGGAATCATATTCTCTTGCTTTCCGGCAATTCCTAGCTTCTGCAGCGGATATCGAAAAAGATTCTCGACGATGGAGATGGGGAAAATCCCACCAGTAGAAGGGTCTATCAAAGATTGGGCAGGGGATGCAGAAGCGCCCGTGGCTTCCTTGAGGTGTTGCCAACTAGTATTCAATCAGCAAATGCCAAGTTCAACATCTCAACGACTCTCACATTGATTCCAGGTCCATTTTTGGTATTGTTGTAGCCGATCAAGACTTGTTAAAGTAGGTATAGAAGAGAATGTAATGCACGATGGAGAGGGATCAAAGTGCTTAAATATATATCAATAAATTCAGATTAAACTGTTTGAACGGTCAGCTCCGAAACTGGGTTTCGTGGCTGGCTGACCAGTGTTCCAGACCCCCCAACTGCATTTCCCTTCGTCCATTTTCAGAGAGAATCACGCCACAAACAGTCTTTGGCTACCTGCTTTCCAGCATAAAGATATTATATATCACAAATAGCCAATATTATGCATACTTGTCTTAGACTTTTGGCTTGCATGTGACAAAAAGCTGATTATGTGGCGCTGAGCTAGCCTACTTGAGTGATTTTATTCATAGCTTCGGAGATAGCATACACTTAACCATATTATGGGACTCCATGCAATTGATCAAGCGAGATCAATTGGTTGTCAATCGTTCCCCTCCAAAGCGCGGAGCCTTTCAAAGGTGGCGAATCAGTTGAACAATACGTCGTTTTCAGCTTGCCTTGGCCATCTCTTGTAAGGAACTGGCCAGCGCCCGGCTAAATGGTCTGTAAAACTTTTGCTCGGCTTTTCCTACCAGTTGAACAACTCCGGAAGGCTTATAAACGGATGTTGTTTTACTGTGCTTGTCGAGATTAATGAAATCCCTTCTAACGTAGAATGCTTTTAATCCTTACTTGCGCGTTGAACTTGAGCCGCATCTTTCTAGGCTGCCAACGCCGTTTCAGGTGGGCCATCTAAATTATGTTCTTGGAAAGGTCATAAAGCCAATACTTTTCATAAAGTCTACGAAGGAGACGAGACTCATCTTGTGCACCTCCTTGACTTTTTGCAAATTTCCTACATGAGCTATGGGCTGGAGTATACACAATGCTAAATTGGTAGTGCTGTTAGATCACGGAGTGATGACTGGGGATCTCCACTTCACGTAGCCTCGGCATCCTTGATGCTTAGCGTTTAGTTGCATGATCTCTTTAACAATTATAAGGAATAATGTTTATGTAAAAGCAAAAGTGCTGTACTTCTTTTAAGCTTGAAAACTCGGGGCAAACCCAAAGTTGAACCATTACATTTACACTTACTGAAACGCGGAAGCAAATTTATTCGGGCACTGCTTTGGTAGGCCGCGTGTAAGCAGTGCTCAAGAGATGAGTATTGTAGGCCAACCAGTTATACAATCCTCTTCAGATCCTATGTCAGTCGTCTTTACGGACGTCAGGCCACCTGACTACATCCCACTTTGAAAGGGCAAAGGCCGGTGGATTCAGCAAAAGGCCACATAGAAAAGCCCCGATAGAGTATGTTGAGTCGATACTATCTGCGCTATAGTCTACACGAGAGCAGACATATTTTAAGCTTCCTCTTTGGTATTCCCATATCAATTAAGTCTAAACCTATCATCTAACCATATCCCTCACTTACCGCTCAGATACTCTACAAGGCCATGTTTCAACCCCGCTCCAGCGCCAAGAATTCACAAAGTCCCCCTCTAACGTTAGCGACCTGCCACAAAGAGCAATGCCGATGCACAAGCGGCCCGTCCAAATGCAACCTTGCCTCAACGGCATAAGGTTTGATTCTGGAAGGTCAACTCGCAATTATGCTTAATCTGAGGGATCGCGTCACTAGGAACTTATGAAGAGTGATAGGCGGTATGGTGTAATATATCTCCTGCCACGAAAGGTCACGGAGCAATAGTGTTGTTACGATTGATGTGATGGCGTACAGCTCCTTCCTAACACAGCCTTCGGAGGAAGATCGCTGTTTTCTATATAAGTCGGGATTTCCATGATCGACGTTGTAGTTTTAGCCACGCTCTCAAGTCACTCCAGCTTTACTCCTGGTTGAATTGATTACTGCCATCATGCGTGCTACTCTTGCTCTTGCGACCCTCATCGGGTTGTCAAATGCCGCTGCTATCGACCCCCGCAAGGCTGAGCCTCTTTACAAGATCGAGCTTGCGCCTGGCGATGTCCGCACAGTCACCGAAAAGGAAAAGTGGGCACTGAGAGCTGTAAGTTTCATGTCCTCGCACAATTTCTCACCGAGTCTAACCGTCACAGGAACACAAAACCTTCATTGATGTCACCGACCTTGATGAGCCAGGTTTCAGCCTTCAGTTCCTCGCCAGCTTCCCTGGCGCTGTTGCTCAGACATCTGCCGTCAACGCTCTCATTCCTAAGCTGAGCCAGACAAACCTACGCAGCACTCTAACAGAGTTCATCAAATTCCAGAATAGATACTACAAGTCCACCTACGGCCAGCAGTCTGCTGAGTGGTTGTTTGGACAGATCCAGTCTATCATCACTGCCAGTGGCGCTAATAACGTCAAGGTTGAGAAGTTTACTCACTCTTTCCGTCAACCTAGCATTATTGCTACCATCACTGGAAAGAGTGCTGCTACCATTGTTGTTGGTGCTCACCAGGACTCTGTCAACCTTCGCAGCCCCGACACTGGACGGGCTCCCGGTGCTGGTGAGTCTGGTCCTTCACTTTATGTCAACAGTCACTAATTGCTATAGACGACGATGGCTCTGGAACCGTCACCATCCTTGAGGCCTTCCGTGTCCTCCTGACCGACTCCCGCGTTTCAACCGGTCAAGCCCCCAACACCATTGAGTTCCACTGGTACGCTGGTGAAGAGGGCGGTCTTCTCGGAAGTGGTGCCATCTTCCAGAAGTACAAGCAGGACGGCCGACAAGTCAAGGCTATGCTCAACCAGGACATGACTGGCTACGTCAAGCCTGGTACCACCGAAGTTGTTGGCATTCTCACCGACAACGTCGATGCTGGATTGACTGCTTTCCTCAAGAAGGTTGTCGCTGCTGTAAGTCTTGGTCTCCAATTTGCGAAGATTGAGCTAACTTTAAATAGTACTCCAAGCTCCCCACTGTTGACTCCAAGTGTGGCTATGGGTGCTCTGACCATGCCTCCGCTACCCGTCAAGGTTTCCCCTCTGCTATGGCTTTCGAGTCTACTTTCGATAACAGCAGCCCGTATATCCACGGTACCACTGATACTATTGACACCGTTAACTTTGGCCATGTTCTTGAGTTTTCCAAGATCTGCCTTGGCTTTGCTTATGAGTTGGGCTTTGCTACCACCCTTTAAGCGGCAGGTCGTCAATCAACAACATCCCGGTACCTTGAAAGGGCCTGTCAGGGTCAGTTTAAACAACAGTCGTTCAGTTTCATGTAAATAGATTATGAATTGATACTGCACATATCGGCAAGATAAGGGAATCCGCCTTTGCCAATGAACCTTGTGAGAAAATTAGTCACTTTGTGATTATTGTTAAGAAAAGAATGGCCGTCACTCTTTTATTTGGCGGAGAAGCACCGGACATCCGAGATATGGAGTGGCATACACCAAGCCCGAACAGGAAACACTCGTCGCGTATGATTGGGTGAAGCTCATGTGGATGAGGTGTAAGCACGCCATTCCAGCACCAAAGTTTGATCTCGGTAATCCACTGAATCCCGAGTATGTCCATTTCATCATTCGGGAAACCTTCAATTGTGCGCAAGCTGTTATAAAAGAGTCTCATTCACGACTGGAAAGTCTTCAAACTATCTATCAACCTGGCAGTTTTCAGTGCAATAAGAACCCATTTCATCCAATATGGCACCAATTCTCAATACTTCATTCGCTATCCCAAAAGGATCAACCATTCTTGTCACTGGTGTCAACGGTTTCATTGGTTCCCATGTAGCCAATGAATTTCTACAGCGCGGATACCAAGTCCGAGGAACTGCTCGTGACATTTCGAAAGCCGCATGGATCAAAGACTTGTTCCATCAGCAATACGGCAAAGACAACTTCTCACTTTGGCCTGTTGCTGATTTGACTTCTCCTCATGCTTTTGACAAGGTGATAAGAGGTAAGCGAAATTGGCGAAAACTGTCTCATTGGCACGCACTGACATTTTCAAAGGCGTTGCAGCAGTAGTTCATGTCGCTTCACCACTAGGCCTCGACTCCGGCACTGGGACCATGATACCCGATGCAGTCGCTAGCGCAGTAAATGCTTTGGAAGCAGCCAACAGTGAGCCAAGTGTAAAGCGCTTTGTATACACCAGCTCTTCGACCGCAGCAGTTTTTCCCGAGGCAGAAGTACCGGTTATTGTGGATTCGAATACCTGGAACGACAAGGCACTTTCAATCCTACAGAACTCAGCCTCGGCGCCTGAATGGTATGTTGCGTATGCCGCTAGCAAGGTTGAGGCGGAGCGAGCCGTATGGGACTTTTATCATAATGATGTGACGCGTCGTTCAGATCTGGTGGTCAACACAGGTAGGCAGTCCACATCAATTGTTCATCGGCATCACTAACAAACGGTAGTACTTCCCAGCACAAACTTTGGCAAAAGCCTAGATTGGAAGCATCAGGGATACCCATCAACATCAGGATTCATCAGGACTTTATGGAGTGGCACTGCTCTCGATTCACTGACCAATGCCTCACCTCGTAAGCTACACCACCGTGCGTTCTGTTGAGGAAGCTCACTGACAATACTTTGCAGAATATTTTATCGATGTACAAGATGATGCCAAGCTTCACGTTGCGGCCACCCTGTTGCCCGATGTACAAGGGGAAAGGATCTTCCCTTGGGCAGAAACGTGGAATCTAGACCAAATCCTAGCCATTCTACGGGCGCAGAACCCCGACAGAACTTTTGTCAAAGACTTCCAGGCCATGCGATATCTGGCAGACATCGAAATGCCGAGGCTAAGGTGCATTCAACTCTTGCAGGCGCTGGGTGAACTTGGCTTCACATCTTTGGAGGAGAGCATTCGGCTGAATAGTGAGGACTTGGCTCGAGCTGCCTGAAGCTTTCATGCAGGAGGTTATCACAACGTTGACGCGTCAACAAAGCATATCAGTAGAAACTACGGATAGTAATTAATAAATAACTTTTGAAGCCGTCGGACTACGGAACATTCGGGTTGCCGTAAATGAGGCTGATACGCGTACCGCATGTCACTAGCGTGCTGTCTCGTGCCCAAGTTTGAGAAATGCAGCCACATTATAAATCACATTTTCGACTGCCGATTGGTGCGCAATACGAAACATACAGCGGATAATCTCCGTTTCATCCGTCGCGTTCGGCTGTTGAGCGTGTGTACCTTGATGCAAATCTTGACTATGATCGGCACTGGGGAGACATGCCCACGTCGCAACCCAAAACTCAAATTCACAGCTTCACTTTTGTTTACTTATTTTACTTGGTTCATTCGAGATGCGAAAATTGATGACGACGCATGCAACTCATGGAAATTACAAAGTCAAATACAAAGTCAACCGGAGTATTAATAGACTTCCCTCTAGTGCCCGTTGAACTCAACCGCACAACTAACTTTTGTGGCTTCGGCACTGAAACTCAACGTCCTTCCTTTCTAAGCCAATAATTATTAATCCATGACATGCTGTTGTCGACTCAGAGCTTTCGGCAATTGGCTCAGGAATCTTTCCCATTGGCCATCCTGTTTGGAATCAGGAAACCCCTGGTTTCTGGTAAACTTAAATATAAAACACCACCAATAAATACCCTCCACCTCTTAGCGTCTAACGCTCAAGCACGCCCGCAGAGTAATTGCGATTAGCCCAACGGACATCAGAACCTAATCGTTCTAAGCCTAGATAAAACAAAGCCTCCGTCGAGCCGAAAGTTTGTTTATTGCAGAGTTTCCCAGGGTCTGCAATAGATAAAGATCCAGTTTTCCCCCAGGATCATTTTCTTGGCTCTCCATTGTGAAGACGGCCTGTATTTTTCTTTTGGTTCAAACGTGCATTTTGGTTTTCATCATGGAGTCAAGGGCGAGTTCGATTGTTGCAGCGAAGCGCGAGTCTGTCCCCACTGCTGGCAGTGTTTTCTTCGTCTCGTCTAATGGGCGCGTGCTCAAGTTGCCGATCCCGAGTAAATCGTATCGGGATCCGCTTACGTGGTCTTGGACGAAGAGGCTTTTGGGGTTTTTGGCGCTGCAGTGCTTTTCGATGGCTGCGTCGTTTGAGCTCAATCTGCCGGGGCTGTTGCTCCAGGCAATTGGGGAGGAGTTCAAGAACAAGGTGAAATAAATGGGTATCTTGGCCATTGAGATGATGCTAACCGGGAAGCAGCCAATGGGTCCTTTTGGAGTACAGTCGTTATCATCGGCAATGACTCTCTTTACTGGAGTTGGGTACTTGATCGGCATTCCGCTATCCACAGCAGTTGGACGACGACCTATTGTTGTTGGTGCCGCTGTGGTGACGACTCTGTCGACCCTTTGGGCTGGCTATGCTGGATCATTCTTGCAATTAATTGCTGCTCTCAGCCTCCAAGCCCTCGCAGCTGGATCAGCGACAGGGATGGTAAGTTAACATCCACTTGGAAACAGGCCGTACTAACAACCGTAGTTCATCCTCATCCTCATCGACGCCACCTTCATCCACGAACGTCCCAGCGCTCTCTCACTATTCTGGTGCACAGGCTCAGCACTCATCAAACTCGCTCTCTTAATCCTCCCATTAACAACCGACACTACACTAACATGGCGATGTGTATACAAAGTCTGGGTTGCACCATGCATACTCGCATTCATTTTGGTTCTTTTCTGTGTCCCCGAGACATACTTCCTCCGTCCTCCCGTCGCACTCGATGGTCGAGTGCTAGTTCAAAGCAGCTCTGAGAAAGTAGAGATCTATGGAGGTTGGGATGAAATTGAGCTGATCAGGAATGACAAGCCTCTACCTGACTTGCCGTCTTCTTGGTCAATCTGGTCTCACTTCAAAGTCTCGAGAGCACCTGGCACAAAGTGGGAGTCAGTGCTCGCTACATACGGACAAATGTTCTTGTGTATTCTCAACCCTCTTACCTTTTGGGTCTCTCTACTTACCGGCATCATCCTCAGCGGTGTCATCTTCCTGAATCTCACACAGCCCAGCGCTCTTATTGCAATGTACGGTGTCAAAGAAACAGGATGTATCAATATCTTGCTTGGCGTCGCAGGTGTTGTTGGCTCTCTTCTCGCATTCCCTCTCACAGGACCATTCGCTTCCTGGTTTACGCGATGCTACACCTTTCGCAAAGGTGGTATTCGCCACGCCGAAGTCTACCTGGCTCTATTTTCCATCCCTGTCATTACCGGCCTAACAAGCGTGCTTCTCAATGGTCTCGCCCTTGTCAACAGATGGCCTTCCGTCTGGATCTACATCACCTCAGCAATCAGCATCATAAGCTATCTCACCGGCAACGTCGCCTTCACTCTCTGGATCACCGAGGCTTTCCCACGATGGGCAGCAGCGGCGCTCGCAGTTCAACTGTTCACTGGAAACATGTTTGGTTTCGGGATTGGTACTGCCATAGCACCTTGGGTTCAGGAGGGTCATATTCTACAACCGACTATCCTCATCTTTGTCTTGATGCTTGTTATGGGAGCCATGGCGGTCCCGGCGGCGTTTTGGGGCAAGACTGTGAGGCAGTATATCCAAGGACGATGGAGTGACTCCGAGAGAACTGCGCTTCGCCCTCAGTAGGAAAACTATGTATCAAAAGGGCCTTAGGTCCGTGTACAAGCCAAGCAATGGCACAAGAAAAGTGTTTCTTAGCGTTCATAGTAATTGATTCATAAATCATACTAAATTCAAGTATCGATTGATGGTAAAAGCTCATGACATCTCAACGAGACATATCAAGCCGTAGTATTAGTAAAAAATAAAAAAAAAATAAAAAAAGACTTTCATCAGTTCTGTGTTTAATCTCATCTGCCTTGTCGCGATTTCTCGCCTTCTGAACTCTGAAACTATAAGCAGTCCAGCCTTATCGCAAAGCGTGTTACGAGTGTTGTCTACTCCGTAGATAAAGACGCCGTTCTGCTATATAAACAGATCTCCAGTTCTTGGCGACCTCATCACAATTGATTGGTGCGCTTAAAAGTTGTACCAGTTCCGTGCGTTGATGTCGCGGGCTACCCTAAGGTAGATCAAGTATCTTGATCGACTAATCAGGTCCGCCATGAAAGCTTTCTAAATGTGCGTGAGTACTAAAGTATACTTCGTCCTTTTCATAATCACCGTTTATCATCACGTATTGTAAGGAATAATTTGTATTGAGATAGTTCGGTTTCGGAGACAACATACAACTCATCATCCACTTGAAGCTTTTTGGCCAATGGCCAACGGCATTTCGACATTGATCCTGGTAGCGGATCAAAGCCTTGACTCTCATGGGTCGGCACGCTTGACCCGAAAACAGGGGACCTTTGTTGTTCGTGGAAACGAGAACGGGATGTGGGCGAACTCTTCAGAAGGAACATCTTGGCAATTATCTCCCACCGGAGTCTAAGGGTCTAGCTAAGTTAAAAGGGTACGTGCTATCCAGCTGTTGTCGGCCCGGAAGCTGTAAGAACGCCGACGCGCCGAGCAACGAAGGCCCTGAGCGTTGCGGAGCATTAACAGCAAGACATCGTTATCGGATCGCTTAAAATGTTCGTGGAGCTCCGCTGTGTTTGTTAAGTCCTTTTCGTTCTTATGAATAATTATCAACTGAGCTATAATTATGCAAGGGTATCGTTCATACTACGCAACAGGTAAGTAAATCGCACGCGACGGAAAAACGCGTCCCTTTTGGGACCTTCCTTACCCTATAAAACCCCTCCACTAATGCCCCCAGCAACATTTAGCTATCCGGCTCGCTAAACCCGAGAACCTGCTCGGCCAGTAGCAAAGCGAACTCCGCTTATCGAGCAAACACCTAACCCAGTGGAGTTCAAAATGTCACCTCCCGCCGCAGTGTTTCAGCTTTCCACGTGGAAAGAAGTTCCACTCAATTTAACAACAATACGAGGTATCACCGTCGAATGAGGAGATTCGCTCGCGGTGGCACTCGTTTCCAGCGGGGAAAACGGTGGCTGCGCTAGAACAACAGCGGGATATCGGTGGATCTGACCTGACTTTGGGTCCCCGTTGCAGGGGTTGCTAAAATGAAACGGAATAAGAGAGGCTCTATGAGATGATAGGAGTCAAAGCGCGAAAGAAACAGACGATGATTTGAGATCGTATAAATGGACTGAGGTTCCGGTGGCTTTGTTTGTTTGGTCATCGGTCTTTATCGCTCATTCTCTCGTTCTATCGCACTCTTTTGCATCATTCGTTCTTTACTCACTCTTCAGTGAACGTCACTCGTTATCTCACCGACACTCATTAAATCACCATTCACAATGCGAGCTTCTCAGACCCTTATTGCCCTCAGTGGCGTTCTCGGCCTCGCCCAAGCCGGCCCCTGCAAGCCTCACCCTCCCGCTTCTGTCATCTCCAGCACTGTTGTCATCGAGAGTGCCAGCAGGTATGACATTAATCCGACCCTTTTAGCAATACCTACTAACAACTCCCAAGCACTGCATCTATCCCTCAGCCCACCACTACTGCTGCCGAGACCAGCACCGTCGAGACTGCCACCGAGGTGCTCAGCACAGACGAGCCCACCTCAACCGAGATCAAAGTCCCCACTACTACCGCTGCCATCGAGACCAGCGCTACATCCGCCACCACTGATGTCCCGGTCCCTACCCCCTGCGCCATCGAGCCCGGATGCCAAGCCGCCGGCTTCAACGTCGACTACTACAAGAACGTCTTCGAGCGCGGCTACGGAAACGACGAGATGTCCGTTCCTCCTTCATACTACATCACCGATAACCTCACCCCCCTCGACTCCTCCGTCACAAGCGAGACATACTTCGCCCAAGATTACATGCAAGATCTCGCTGGCTACCCTCAGATCTTCCCTGATTCCGCCTACGCCGGAAAGGCTTGGTACGTCGGCTACCACCGTACTCTCGCCGGTGGAATCAAGGTTGACGCCAACAACTTCACCCTTGTTTACACCGGTTACTACCAAGCTCCTGAGACTGGAACCTACGAGCTCTGCGTTACTGCCGATAACGCCAACACTCTTTACTTCGGCCAGGGTAACGCCTTTGAGTGCGGAACTGGCGAGACTGACCCTAACGCTCCTGCTCTTGTCCTCACTGCTACTGGATATCACTTCAACAACCCTACTCAGTGCGGTCATGTTGATCTCATCGCTGGACGTCACTACCCTGTCCGCAATGTCATGGGCAACAAGAATGCTGTTTCCGCATTTGAGTTCTCTGTTACGACTCCCAGTGGTTCTAAGACCCACGACTTCGAGGGTCAGGCTTTCCCTGTTGCTTGTGGAGTTAAGAACTAAGCGGGGATTATTGTTTCACGATCTAATGCTGCGGGACTCTATAACACAAGCCTCGATGTCTACATGAGTTCACTTCACCAGTACTTTACATTTTATTCTGTAATAGTTAATGTTTTCAAATATAATCAACAAGAATTCTACCATATCATAGAGCCACTCAATGCCATTACTCATATGTATAACACAATCGCTCCCCTTGTGTATCCATAGCCTCCTCAACAGTGACATATCGCCTTCCAGGAAGCAAATTCCCAAAGTCCATCACATAAGCAAGCGTAATGTTCTTATACTCCTTATCCCCAAAGAAGTCATAAGGATACGCATATTGTGTATCGGGCCCGCTAATATCGCTCTTCCGAGCAGGCCAATCCAGTCGCTGCCATTTATCCCAGAGTCGATCGACATTGGTGTGATGCAGCCAGAAGATAGGATCGCCTGGTGAAGAGTACATGTCGCCCATCTCGCCGAGACTACCGCCAATAGCGAGATGGCCGCCGCCATGATAACCTTGGGACTCCGCACTAGCGCCACCCTGGACGCGCTGGTCGAACTCGAAGAAGTCTTTGGCTTCAAGAGTCCAGTCGACGACGGTTTGGTTGAGCTTCGAGATGCCATACTCTGGAGCGATGTCGCGGGACAGACAACGTGGGTTGTAATCGGTAGAGTTATCTTGTACACTTAGTCGATTGCTTTAAAGGTGTTCATAACGACATACCTGGACCTGCATGAACTTCGAAATCCCCCTTGGCAAAAGGGCCATCGGCGACGCAGCCTATTGTTTATATTAGTTCTTCCCAGTCCTGGAACAATATCATGACGTACCTCCTCCTGTCCTGCCAGAGACCTGTCTAGTCACGTTTGTCCAGCTACCGGTGTCGATGAAAGCGCCGTTACCCCCAAAGCCAGTCTTTGCACCGAAGATTGGAGAGTTTTCGAAATCCTCTACGGACTCTGAATCCAGTGTCCAGTCTGGTTTCGGGCGGTTAGTATTTACACGTATTCAGAGTGGTTATATATACCCCAATAAGGTTGAGCTCCACTGTAGCAACAAAGATTTCGAAGATCCTTCTCATATTGGGCAATGAAAATTCGATGCCAGCTGTTTTCTTCATTAGCTACTGATACACTGATGTGATGCTCGTTGCACCGACGCTTGAAAGAATCCCTGAAGGTCGAATTAGCTGGAAAGGTAAATGATGAATAGAAGTCCAGAGACTCACGACATAGTGAATAAAGTCGGTATTCACGATATGACTGACTTGAAAGTCGTCAAAGCGAGACTTGGCACCAGCGTATATGTTTCCCGTCTGCGAGGGCTTTGATGCCAGGCACTTGACCGAATTGATATACTCATGCTTCTCTTTGCTGCTCAAAGTTCTCCTACAACCAAAACCAACCTTGTCAGCAATACGATGTACAATAACTCAGATTAATTTGGTGCTTTGTGCGAGGACACTGCAACCTACCATTCTTTACGTACAAGAGGACTCTTGCAGCCACAATCATGAGTAGGTGCACATAAGCCTGACACAGCAGCAAAAAGAGCGGTAGCTAGCAGAGATGGAGGATGCATAATGAGAAAACAGGAAATCTCAATTAGCAAATGGAAGGTTCGGTAATATTGTAGTGTTCAAGAAACAGGGTGGGAAACTGGTTCTTAAATTATGCTGTCTTAACCGTTGGGTACCGCGCTACAAGAGCACGTATGACAAATAAGGTTTAGTGAGGAATGAGGGCTGAGACAAACTACCGGTTTCCAACCAACAGCAGTTAAAAGTGATGTCTAGACCAAACTACTGGTTCATTTGTGCATAAGCCAGTGGTAATTAACATAAGACATAGGATTAGACTCTGAGTCGCGTGAGAGCAATTATCATATGAGTATAGAAACAGCTGTCAAGCCACAATTTCCCAACATTCCACGATAGGAGGCTTATGATTGCAGACAAGACAGCCTAAATTATCATACGTTTCCAAATTGATTGAGTTGAATGTTAATCCTAAGTAACAGTCAAAAGAACTAGCCTTTGGAATTCTCTCTGGAAGCATTGGAAAATAGTTGTAGATGTGACAGGTGCAATTTGCAGCGACGAACGGGGTTTCTGGCATAATACAAAGACTAGTCCCTCCGACAAATTCTGAGATACTAAACTTTGGCTATAAAGCCTATCAAAAAATGAACACTATTTATGAGGTCCCTCTGCTTGACGAGTTATAGTGGAATGGTAATTAAGGTTTCTACTTGATTATTAGATGAGTCTTTAGTCACTGAGTTTTAAGCTGATTGTAATTGATGTTATTCTAGCTTGGATAAGATCACGTGGCACGAGCAGGGATTATGCCGCCAAGTCTTCGGTGAGGCTGATTCGCAGGCATAGCAGCTGATGCACGTCGAAATGCGCAGCCTGATTTCGACTTTTCCCCTCAACATCGTCTTTCAGCAGCGAAATACGATCAGCCCTCCCTGTGAAACCACCCGAAATCGGCGGAGAAATCACTTATCAGCTGCGAGGAGATACAGAACCAACTCTAGCCTGAGTGAATCCCTTCCAAATGGAGCGGCGGCGACTGTCTCATACTGATGATGGCGCGCCGCCCTATCACGCGAAACGTCGCAGAACCGGTGTCCAACACAGTGAGGATGAATTAATACATGAGCGTTATACAGTCGCCTGGATTTGCGCACTATACATCGAAATGGCTGCAGCCCGCGCTATGCTCGACGAGGAGCATGCTGACTGTCCACGGCAAGCTAATGACATGAATTCTTATGTGCTGGGGAGCATCAAAAACCACAACGTGGTATTAGCTTGCTTGCCGGCTGATCAGTACGGAACGAACAATGCTGCGAGTGTTCTGAGTAATATGAGAAGGACGTTCCCCAACATCGAAATCGGATTAATGGTAGGCATTGGTGGCGGAGTGCCGCTCAAAGCTGATATAAGACTTGGAGATATTGTTGTGGGTGTCAGGGTTATGCAGTATGATATTGGAAAAACACTCAGCGGCGGCTTCCAACGGACGGGAGTTCCCAAGATACCCGACTCTACCATCCGAACAGTCATCTCAAATTTGAGATCACGACATGAACTTAGTGGGAGCCGAGTTCCTGCGATCTTGCGGGAGAAGATGGGGAGCTACGCCGCTTATTCTCGACCAAGCGAGCCAGATCGCCTCTTTCAGCAGTCGTATCATCACCCCCTTTGGGTCTCATCTTGTGATGAGTGCGATTCGGCTAAGTTAGAGACGAGAAAAATGCGATTGTCTACCGACCCGGCCATTTATTATGGTGGCATTGGCTCGGCAAACACTGTGATGAAGGACTCGACTATTCGTGATCAGATCGCCCGAGAGCTGGACGTGCTTTGCTTCGAGATGGAGGCTGCTGGTTTGATGGATATCATGCCTTGTCTGCCTATTCGTGGTATCTGCGACTATTCGGACTCTCACAAATCGAAAGAGTGGCAGCGGTATGCTGCAGCGACTTCAGCAGCTTACGCATATGAGTTCTTGGAACTATGGAGGGGAGACTCTCAAGCATCGTACGTTGGTCACCATCAACCGCAATGTAAGTGACTACTCGTCGCCATAGTCTCACTCTACAGGGCTAATCTCCTATAGCTGAGCACAACATGATGTCCGGGCGTCATGAGCAGATACTAAAATCTTTGGACTTCGAACAAATCGATGCTCGGAAGTTGACCATTAAAGCAGCACATTCAAAGACCTGCCGTTGGTTTCTGAAACATCCCGACTACCTTTCGTGGATTGACCGGCAGCAGATATCACAGCATCATGGTTTCCTGTGGATCAGAGGAAAACCCGGTGCTGGAAAGTCTACCATCATGAAGTTCATCTATTTGGAGTCGAGGAAGAAAGACAGAAAAAAACAGAGCCTCACCGCCTCATTCTTTTTCAACGCCCGTGGAGAGTTGTTGGAAAAGACTGTCTCGGGAATGTACCGATCATTACTTTTGCAACTGTTCCATGGATTTCCAGATCTCGAATGCGTCTTGGATGACCCAGATCTTTTGCCTCGAAACCAAAGTGGTTGCCCTCCTTTGAACGTCCTGAAAGACCTCCTCCGCGTTGCAGTTGCCAAACTTGGTCAAAGATCATTCAAATGCTTCATCGATGCCCTTGATGAGTGCGACGAGCAGCAAGTTATGGACCTAGTCGAATACTTCGAAGATTTGGCCGAGCAATGCACAGAAGACAATGTTAATCTTCGTGTCTGTTTCTCCAGTCGTCATTACCCCTACATCGATATAAAATTCGGCATTCGTATCATCCTCGAGGAACAAATGGGACATGCCAGCGATCTCGAGATTTATATCAAGACTCATCTTCGAATCAAAGACAGGCCACTCCTAGCAGAACTCCAAGAGAAAATGCTTGAGAAAGCAGCGGGAGTGTTCCTCTGGGTTGTGCTTGTGGTCGACATCTTGAACAAGGAGAATTGCCGTGGGCGCCTGGCTATGAGGAGAAGGCTTGAACAGGTGCCCAGTGGCTTGGGTGATCTGTTCAAAGACTTACTGAAGAGAGACACGACTAACATGGAAGAACTCCAACTATCTCTTCTTTGGATTCTACTCAGCGCAAGGCCATTGAAACCACAGGAATACTATCATGCGATCTGGTCAGGGCTCCATTTGGAGGGACTAGCAGACCTTGACATTCCAGAAGTTGTTACAGAGGACTCCGACGATTGCTTTGCCCGGTGTGTCATCAGTTCATCTAAGGGTTTGGCTGAGATCACAAAAGTCAAGCAGACAAGAGTTCAATTCATACACGAGTCTGTTCGCGACTTCCTTATCAAAGATAAAGGTCTCCACGAGTTATGGCCATCGCTTGGGCCTGAATGGGAGAGTGTCGGCCATGACAGGCTGAAGCTATGCTGCTATTCATATTTCGAGCTTGTCACTAGAAAGAATCTAATAGGAGAGGCTTGTCTTGTCTGGGATAAGCTTCCGCTGGAGACAGAGAAATATCCCTTCCTCGAATATGCTAGCCAATTCGTTCTGCATCACTCTGACTTTGCAGCATGTGCAGCTGATCAGCAGATTTTCCTGCAAAGCTTCCGGACTTCTGTTTGGAAACGGGTCTTCAATGTGTTCGAGAAGTTTCAGGTTCGCAAATATACTCCAGATGCAGGGTTGTTATATATACTTGCAGACAGAGGGTATTCATCACTCATACGGGCAAGACTAAAGACTGACCCTGTTGTTGAGACGACTTCAACCGCAGACAGATATGTTTATCCTCTGATAGCTGCAATGGCCAAAGGGAACAAAAGCAGCGTCATTGCTCTCCTAGGTCTGAACTCTGGGCTTTATGATGGGAGTGATATCACAGAAGGATTAATGCCCAACATTGACGCTGGCGGTGTCTCCCGAAACCCACTATCTTGGGCCTGTGAAAATGGCCACTTTGGAATTGCAAAGGTTCTTGTTGAAAGAAACGGCCATTCCACAATTCATGGTAAAAGGAAATGGCCACCGCTGCTACTCGCGTTGAAAAACGGTCATACCGACATAGGAAAGTGGCTGATCAAGCACGGAGCGGATATTCACGCAGAATTCATGACCGAAAGCGCCATCTCGATAGCCTCAAGCAAAGGCCAGGCGGAAATAGTCAAGCTACTAATCGAGGCTGGAGTATATCCTAGTTTGCGTACTCCGGATGGGACTTCTACCCTATTATGTCGAGCTGTGGATCATGCACATGGAGCAATTGTGAAGCTTCTTTTGGAGAGAGGGGCAGATGTCGAGGGCAAAGCCATTGATGCCATGAGCCCCCTTGCTCTCGCTGCAATGAAACCAGGATCCAAGGAAATAATGGAAACACTACTCAACCATCGAGCAGATGTCAATAGCCGAGATAACAACGGTGATACACCTCTCCTTAAGGCTGTAAGATGGGCATCTGTCGATGAAATCGAGCTTCTGGTGAGAAACGGAGCGGATGTGAATGCTCGAAACAAAGCAGACGAGACATGCCTTTACAGAGCAATGACGAGGAATGAAACAATCTTTGAGGTTGTTCGAGTCCTTCTGGAAAATGGAGCAAGAGTTAATGATCGCACCACAAGAGGCTAAACTTGCCTCCACGGATATGCACGGCAGGAAAAAGCCATCTCTTCTTTAGGTGACCTATTCCGGCTCCTTGCAAACTATCGACCTGACCTAAACGCTATCGACTATGATGGCAACACACCTTTGCATCTCTTGATAAAATGTGGAAGCATGTACAATCTGTCAATGTTTGCCAACCAACCTGGTTTGGACTTCAATGCTCGCAATCGCCTGGGCAAGACGCCATTGCACGTTGCAGCTTTGCGTCATCCGCCTGGAACGGAATATCTCACCGTATTGATTAAGAAAGGAGCGGATATTAATTCTCTGGATCATAAGTCAAGAACGCCACTTGATGATGCAATGGAGAGAGGTCACGAGCAAGCCATTCAGCTCCTGATGGATAATGGAGGAAAGCAAGGTGTTACATGATTTTCTTATAAGGAAGAGCTTATTATTCTAAAGAGATATTTTACAGGTGCCTAAATAATTATAATTTATTTTTAGTTTGCTGATAAACCTAATATCAATGTCTTGCATATGTTGTAATAACTTAGGCAATTCATAATCCAACCTTGGCAAATTAGTAGACTTTTTAACTAGTAGTATCTAGGCTCAGTGCAATATCAGGAGATCCCTGGAAGTAATGTCTGCCCTCTCCTTGTCACATAAGCCCGCCGCTCACATACGATTAGCTGTTCCAAGTTCTCAGCCGGGCCATCTCCTGCTTCTGTAGCCAATACGTCTGGGAGTAAGCCTGTTAAGCCTTCCATGCCTGATCAATTAGTTCCTTTACAGATGTCAACTCAATATTGGGAAACATCTGGTTAAGTGATGCTTCATAGGCCAAGTTAAAATGACCTTCAGTAATCCATAAGCCTATAGCAGCAAGCAGAGTCTGCAACATAGGCTTGGGAAAGAACTTGTATGCCTCTACATGTGATGGAAGTTCAGTGACCTGTAGAGACTTCAACTTGTTTACATCGTCATGGACCACGGAGAATCGTTCCCCTACGTGACTGTACGTTAGACAAAATAAAATAATAGATAACCATTGACTTACCTCTCGCATCTTCAGCAATGGCAACAATCTTGTTCGCCGTGATCTTCTCACCGATGATGACACTATGCTTTGGCCATTTGTCCTTCGTGTTTACCAAAGCATCCACGAAACGTGTAACGTCAAAGCTATACGTGAAAGCGATCTTATCTTGGCCAGAACCTGGGATAGCAGTTGTCTTGTTGGCTATGTCGACCAGAAAAGCAGCATGTTTGAGATAGGTCTTGACTATGGGGTATCCATAGTAGTCAGAGAAATGTCCATTGGATACAACAGTATACTCGAGCTTCGTTTGCGAAAGCACTGCAAGAGTGGCAGCTGTGGCACGCACAGCAGAGGGTCACATAAGAGAGGGTTAAAAGAGCCTTGATTCTATGCTAGAAGGGGGTCGGCAGTGCTCCTTATATACCAATGGAGCGTTGATCCATAGGTGGCCAAGCGAACCAATCGGGCCAAACCCACCTTTTGACAGCAGCTGAGAAGTCGGGTAGTGGTGATCTGGTCAGAATGTTAGGCCAGGTGAACGGAGAGACGATAGAGTATCACACCCTTGAGCAACTTTGATCGACCATTGGCTAGCTATGAATCTGCGGGTGCTACTGGAAGAGTCACAGGCTCGAGCTAAGTTGACCTCTGCCTGACTAGCCTCCGGACAGATGACGTTCAGACACGAAATAACCACTTCGACATTGTATTTCTCTAGTGAATCACGAATGTGAGAGGCATTGGTGTAGTCCACATAAATTGTCGACTCATCATCGAGCTTCTTGAAGGTGTTAGCCAAGGCGTTTAGACAGAACCATTGTCTCCCACCTTGCGAGATAGAACTTAAACCCGGTTTTGTTGATTCTGACTGAGAACCTCAACAATCGTTCTACCGACATCCCCTTGACCGCCGGCCACAGCAACAACGTGCACCATGTTTAGAGATAAGGGAAAGGTTATACTGTAATGGTGTCTAGATGAACTAGTATACATCCAGTAAGAAAGAAGTATACTTGTTATTATACTTTTATTTCATTCTTGGGAAATTCCGCTTATGATCTGGCCTTTCTTAGTATAAGCGGCGGAGTTAGTGCTTTGTTTGCCATTTGGAGCTGCCTTGTCCGACTGAAGGTCGGCTACGCCTATGCACAAGGGTGCAGACGCCTCTGCGGACTTTGACTCTATGATGGAACCAATAATACGAGCCCATTATTTGCATTTTAACTGGAGACCGGGCGTCGTCGGATATTTGTCAAAGACCGAGCGGAGGGCGTATCCGACACTAGCAGCAAAGCCATCCATATCCGTATATCCGTTGGGTCTTAGCCGCTCCTACAAGGCTTATGAATAATATGTAATGCTTCGTAAACACTAGGCAAAAACTTGAAAGGATTCCGAAGGGATATCTGGATATGTTCATTGTTGTCCCCTCGCTAAAGTTACATTTGAGGGATAGACAAATCGGGGATCTGATCCATTCCAGAGTGATAGTGCTATGGCTTTGCTTGTAATAGAACCGACAACATTTTCATTAGACTTCATTGTAAACCTTAGCCCCGAGATCCTTGCCAATCCGAATGAGCAGATTTGAATCACCCATGTAGATCGTTCTGGGTAATGGTACCTAATAGTATGAGGATCGCAACGCTTCACTTCACCACGAAAGCATCAAGGCTACCCGGGTTCCCATGAAAATTTAATCTTGTCACATATGGATTGCGCATAGGGTGTATAGCACTGTTCGATGGTTGGGAAAGGCAGTCTGGTATAGCCAAAGCAGAAGTATTTATTAAAGTTTGTACAAGATCAAACGACAGAGGCCGCAAGATTCTGGAGCATTGGAATATCCATCGCATAAAGATCATTTCCATCATCATCCACAAACACTGAAGGACCCTCGCTGATCATCAACATCTCCGTCTCCACTTCAAAAACAAGCGGATCATGTCGTGCACCCTCATGTTCTGAAACATAATCTCCCTTCTCAAAGTGTCCAGCCTGTGGATGATCCCCGTTTCCCTTCAAGATGTAGATCTCGGCGCTCTTGACGTGTCGGTGGCGAGGTAGGACGCCTCCTGGCTCGGCTCTGATCATGACTGTGTAAGAACCGGTTTCAGGTGTGAGTTTGATGAGTTTGATCCAGATCTTGGGGGCGAGGGGGAGCCATTTCAAGTCGTCGCAGTGAATTGTGTCGCCCTTATTTGATGGCTGAGTTGAGGTGTGAGGAGACGACATCATGTCAATGGGTTGAGTTGCGGAATGTATTGACAGGGAGTCTAAGAGTGCAGAAGTAGTTGACAGACTTTAAAACATCTGTCTCGGCAATTTGCATTTATAGGTCCTGAGACGGGTTCTAGTACTTATGCAGTCACCCTATAAGAATCGGTTGAGATGGACAACTCAATACACAAACTAACCTTTAGCTGACAGGTAACACTTTACCTAATTTCTTTAACGCGCGGCAAGAAAAGTTTTCTTTTTCGGATGCTATTTCGCGTCCGGACATTGATGATATCCGAAGTCCGGGCAGCCTGTGAGCTAGATTCCACCAGGCCTGTGGAGTTATTGCTTCACTGAGCCAGTCACACTATTAGTAGTGAGTCACTCTCGACTTGGAGAAGACACATGCGCCAGTATTTAATAGTCATTTACTGATTTTTTGCGGTGATTACTGTTGGGCAATCTGTCAACATTAAACTCAAGATTTATGCGGAATCACAATATGAGGTCACTACATATCATCATGTTGCTCTTCAAAATCTGTAAATGAATATCTATTTGCTAGAGGATAGTAATAAGCCTATGGTAGAGAAGGACCATTCACAAGTGATCCAACAAAATTTGAAACTATGGCTTACCTGATTTCCAAATCAAGTCGAGGAATAGCCCACATGCAGCAGTGTATCCCTCAAGTTAAAAGCCGAAAGAAGGAAGCCATTTCTAGCGTTGTTGATGGACGGGCACCCCAGAGATCCAGAAGCCATGTCGATCCAGCCACAAGGGCACAATCCCGTCGACATTGCATAATCGCCATGCCAAGACGCGGAAGCCAGCTCTCTCAATCTCGCGAAAGTCAGGCTTTAGACGCTCGAAAACAATAGAGGGCCACAGAGCATCGCGATCCTCAAAATGGGATCTTAACTGTTGTGAATCATACCGCACACCTTTTGGTTTCGAATACAAAGGACCTCAATATCCCCCGCCAAAGTGTCGCCCCGATGGAGGAAGCGCAACCATTCCCAGTCGTAGAACATGTCGGCTTCGAGCTCGTTGAAGTTGTATCTGTATCGTGGCTTGCATTCGCGGCGGAGAAAGAGACTTTTGACGTTGTTCCTTATGTTACAGTTAGCATCAAGAATAAGATCTGTGAGAATGGAATGCTTGATTGAAAGGTAGGGGTGCGGGTTGGCCTTGATTCTGCAAGCATGCAACTTGGGGCCGAGTTCAGGAATAGCTCCAGCTATATCGGGATTCTCATGCCATCTGAAACGATGAGCCATCATAATTTCGTTCTCTTTTTACTGCTTCGGGTGTGCAGCCGTGCTCATCCAATAAAGCGGCTTATTCATTTCGATCATCCCGGAGTTTTGAAGGTCATCTAGCAATGCTTCAAGCTCAGGGGCCAGGCAGTAAGAATTTGCAGATGGAGTAGATTTCAACATCATGTCCTTAGAGACAGAGCGCTCAACTGCGTCGACCAAGACTGAAGGAACTGGGTTGGATATCATATCCGGGAGCCCGAGGTTCCACTTCATGACACGAATGCCATTCTCCAAAGCTTTCAGTCGTCGTTGTATTTCAGCTTGTTTGCGGGCCGAAGGCCAATACTCGATGTAAGGAAAGTCGAGAATTTCCCCCTCCTCTAGCAATCCCGACACTGATAAGAAAGACTTCGCATCAAATATAGGGATTTCAGTTAAGCCGAACTTGCGAGCTAAAGGTCCGCTACCCAACTTCAGAGCAAGAGCTTCATACTCTAATGCCTGGAGACAATCTTGAGTTTCTGCCTCGTGGAGGCCTTCGTATGCAGTTCTATCTTTAAAGCATATGGTAATAAAGATGATAATGTTGAAACTTATAGACTGGTATTCAGAGACGAAACTCAAGTAACACGTGACCTGACACGTGCTGCCACTTTTATGGCTCTTTATCAGCCCTCCCTTAGTCTTCTAATACAGTGAAGGCCCTGGTAAATCTAATAGTTACTAAGATACCTGCTTCTACTACTATAGCAATTTTGCCTGCTAAAAAGCAGAATTGTAGTCTTCAAAGGACTCCCCGGTTATTTATATAGCTTCGGCGAGCAGCGCTCTTTGAAGTAACGGGCTTAGTAGCAGACTTACTGGAAGGTATTAGAGTGGTCAAGCAGTGGCTTGAGCCTATGCCTGATGGCGGCTCACGTTGTGAGTGTCTACTTAACATTTACTATATGATGTCTGGGGAGCTGATAAATAAGAATTGGTTTGTACTTTAGCCTGATTGCCTAACCATCATAATACTGATATACCTGCAGGGTGAATGAAATATCTTATAATAGCAATGTTACCAGTCTAGAAGGTTAAGATCAGTTAAGCGAAACTGAAAGAGGCGACTTAGTTTCATGAGATGCCCTTTTATATGGAATATTTCTTAGTAATACAGGTACTATGACTTTTAAGAACCTTGAAAGGGCCCTATTGGCGATATTAACGATGCGATTAACTCGAGAAGAAGCACCCTGACCTGGCGAACAGATCCCGTACATTGAGAGGTCAACTAGCTATTCTGGCAGACCTGTGTAGCTCTACATCAACTAGTCTTATTCCTCATGAGATCCGGGCCCGACACCGCCAAATGGCATATGACGACCTGATCGACCTTATTGCGAAGATCCGGCGTGAAAGGTAGTTTGATGATATCCTGCTTGTGCAATTATGAAAAGAAGTCACGGGGATTTGGGAAATATGGCCCTTTTATTCTTATCAACACAAGTCCCTACCGTTGTGATGCATTCGTTGTCCAAATGGATGGGATTCATGATCAGCAACTAACCGGTCTGAGATTGGAAGACCTGCAGAAACAAGGAAAGGACCTTGATTTGAGAGCTGATGATGGCATGAAGTCCCTTCTGAACTGGGTTTGAGACACAATCAAGGGCCCTTGTCTGCACGCGTGAAGATTCCCCCGAAGCCGGTTCTCTACCTCATGTCGAGTGGACTCACACGGGGCTTGTGAGTCGGTCTTTCGAGCCTGTAGGAAGTTCGTGAAAACGACAACCTTTGATATTGTGGTGCATCGAGTTACGACAGCTTATACATTCTGAAGCAAAACATTGATGATTGGGCGACAGAGGACAGTTCCTGAGGATACAAATGACTCTTCTCTTATAAGTCGCATTAAAATGATAAGATCAAGGGTAACCGTATCTTTCTCAAAGTAATACAGAATGGTTAAATCGCAATTGATTCAATAACACAGGATCATGTTTCCTTCGACTTTGAGAAGTCTATGACAGACTTGAACAAGGTTTATTCGATTCCATATAATCATTTTGTTATTGGCGAAGGTGAAGAGATAGCCGTATGCTGGATTCAATCCCAACAGACCAGTATTTCAGTTGTCAGTGTCAGGGAGATAGGCGACTTTTCTTGTATTCCATCGTTTCACATTCTCAGCGATGCCTCAACTTAATCCGCATGGCCCGAAGCCTGATATCAGACTTCTCCAGAAAGATTGGCTACATTGAGTAGCTTTACTCTATGACGATCAATCATGGATCTCTCTGCTCGTGTACTACAATACCGGGAGTCTTTGCAGACGATAAAGTTGACTCGACGGTTTCAACGGGAGCCGGCGATGTTCCAGCGAGAGACCGTCTCTTCTTTCTCAAAAGCCTAACAAACAAGAAGTCGTTAACAACTGAGAGCCATAAGGAATAGATAGTTGCCGATGCAACCGGAAGGTTAGTCTTGAAAGAAAATGCAAGATATTCACTTACAAAATCACAGCGATCCCTCCCAGCAGAAAAGGCACTCCAAGGCCGACGCTGACACCAATAATAACACTTTTAGAAACTCCGCCAGACCTTTCTTTCGATGTGCCATTTGAATCGTCATCCTTGCCATTTTCTTTAGCCGAAGGTGTCGTGGTTGGCGGAACATAAGAAGACGGAACTCCTGACATTGCTACCAACTTGTTTGCGCTGTTTCCGAATGGAATCAAGCTCGTAACAGTATGGCTAACAGACTCAGGAAAATCGGCCTCGCTGTCAGTTGGAACAATAGTAACATGTGTCCGTGTAGTGGTATACTTTGACGTTGTCTGAAGCGACAATGGACAATTGACTAATCCTTCTGATTGGCATGCTACAACAACGAATGTAGCTTTGGTCGAGATTGTTGTTGTCTCCATCTCAACTTCATCATCGTTCTTCCCTCTCACCTCCAGTACCGGGGATGTCGTGATGGATAACGAAGCATCGCTGCTTCGTTGGCTGGCACAAGCATGTCCCAGTGTAGTGTAGAAGACAGGAATCTCAGTTTCGGGCATTGGCCCCCATGTTATATCATCAATAGCAACCGAAGCCCCAGCAGCAGCGCCAACAGCCAGTTGATAGACTTCCTCAACGCGAATGCTGCAGTCGTTGTCTTCATCCGTGGAAAGGGTGACGTTGGTGATTAACTCGGCAATGTTGGCAAATACTCCCACTTCAACACCTCCGCCAATATGAGCGATTGTCTTCCCGGCGATAGACACTTCAGGTGATGCGATTTCAAAGCCTGCTTTTACACCAACACGTAGAACAGCTTTGAACACAACACCGGCACTCTCGAGAGTGACTGGCAGAAATTCAAAGTCGCCACCATTTCTATTGAGCTTCCGTTAGTTCATATCAAGACACCGTCACAGAAACAAGACTTGCATTGTCAGATTTGAAATCTCTTTTGAGAAGATGGCAATGTCAAACAAAACGCCATCATCCAGTCTGAGATGGAATCCGCTACTAATGTTGATCTCTCCTTCTACAGATAGGATGAGGTCAATAGCGAAGATAACACCAACTTCCAGATTGTCTCGAACGGCGAAGCCTGCAGGTGTAGTAGAAGTGTACAAGTTCAGAGTATAGGTGGCACCAGCCGAGAGGACTGTGTCGATCAACATGTATACTTCCAATCCATCAAATTGGAACTGAAGTCGGAACTCCGGGATTTCGGGTATGTCAATATTCAAGTTGTAGTCCAATGGTGGCAGGTCGAAATCGTCCATGTCAAATCCGTCATCCAGATTATCTGCCACCGTATCGATGTATTTCTCTATGTAATCGGCCGTTTCGTCTGCCAGGCTGTCGATCCCGCGTCTGACTTGGTTGGTAAAATTGCTAAAAGCGCGGCTGACATTGAATTCGCGGTCATATATGAACTCTGTGGTAGCGGTTCCTTTGATATAGCATGTCGCGCAAGTAATTTCAATGCTGGCTGAAACTGAAGAGTTTCCTTGCTTGGAACCCAGCTCCTGCTCACTGCAAACAGATCAACACAGTTAGGGCTTGATGCTAAGGGTTCAGTGGCTGGTAGTAATTAACGCACCCCGTGTACGCGAAGAGGATAGCATTGACCCAACTTGTGTCTAAAGAGGTGCTGTTTTTCTGCTTCGAGTCTTTTGGCTGTCGGACCGGGCGGGCGGGGGTTCTTCGAACGAGGCTCAGTGTGTTGTACCCAGGGTAATCAGGCGTGTTACCGGCACGAACAACAGAGGCGCTCCCGAAGACTAGGAATGGCCTAGTCGCTAGAAAAAGACCGAGTAGTAAAGCGTCAAACAACATCTTGTTGAAGCATCAATTGGCATATGAGCAATATGGCCAAGAGACAAGAAGGAAAGGGATCATGAAAGGTTACTGGTGGGGGCAGTGCCCTCTCTGTAATTTCAGTAGCCTGCTTACTCTTATCTCTTTTGGTTTCAAGTTCTGCATGTTGGTTCTCAAATATGCATGTTGGCTCTGGATTAGGAGAGAAGGCTAGGTTGTGACAGGGGATCTACACCCTGACCCACCCAGCTGAGAGACATTTCCTCCCATTTAAGGTATAGCTGATATTTCAATGTTACAGCAATGTCAGATTAATGCAAGTTGGTCTGGTGCTGTCGATAGTTGAGTCGGATTCTGTTTATAGGGGAGAAGGGGGTAGGGGCATAAAAATGGGCTTAGTCCAGGAAATGGGACCTAGGTCTGGAGTCCTCAGTCCTCGCTCAGCGGCAGCTCATCCTAAAGCGGCAGGAACTTACCTCTAGGAATAAAAATGGGATTTGGTGTACTTGAGTTTCGTCTCTAAGTTGGTATTGTTACTGATGGATCTCCAAGTTTTGGAGATACCTGGTGGTGTATCGCCAAAGATCCGCTGGCCGGGGAAGCACAGGCTCTTATACGAGTTTAATTTTATAGTGCTTTTGAACGGTTTGCTCACCATATTTGGAGTTCATGCCATGTTCAACATCAGCAACAGAACATTTAATGGGAAACTGTGAACAGCACGGCAAGACTGGTGAACAAAACTTGAATGAACAACAAATATATGTGAACATGGACCTAGGCTTTGAGCATGAAAGAAATGATAAACTAAAGATATAATTAAAAGGTTTCTAGTGAAGTGTAGTACTAACGGTTGAGTATTTTCATGTGATGCATAAAAAGCCTCCCAGTAAGACATCCTAATTTCCAGGCAGATACGCTAGTACACATCAAGCTTCCAAGGTTATGATAACAAAGTGATTGAGCTTTATAAACTCATGTACAAAATCACAGTCTCAAGGCGATGTAAGCATGCTGCAGCTAAAAGCTGTCCTTGCTCCACTTCCCCTTCTCTCTGATCCTCTTTCCCCAAACAAAGAACAGATAAGGAACAGGGATCAACGCCGCAGCGATGCAACCAAAGACAGTTGTTCCCCAGTCCACTCCAAGTTTGTGGTACATAGGGATGATGAACAAAGGAAATGCGCCGGAGAACATGGATCGCATAAAGGTATTGGCTGCAACTGCACTTGCGCTATAACGAGTGAACGTGTCGATGAGATAGCCTAGTGCAGCTTGGAAGATGGTTGTGAAGCCAAGGCCAGTCAACGCAACGCCGATGATTGATGGCCAATAGTTGACGCTCGGAGATGAGGTCCCTAGTATTATTAGCCCTAAAGTCTCGTCGGTAGTCGCAGGCAATGCCACTTACATGCAAAGAGGAACTGTCCGGCTGTAAAGACGATACCTCCGAGCATCATCGGGGGCAATCTCGCTTCTGGGACAGCCCTGTATCCATTCTCCATAAGCTTCCTGCGATAGTATTTGTTGTTGTAAATATTGACCGCTGCTGCGCAGAGAATGCCGATTAACAGTGCGATAAATGGCAATGAACCGACCACTGGTCCCCACTGGCGCACTTCCTTATACTCGATCGAGAAGCTTTCAAGGTTGGCGTATAGAATGCCTGCATTTGATCAGGTACGGTCAGCCACTATGAAGAGGAAGCTTACCATAAACAAACGAGGCGTACAGTGACATGAGAAGACAGATGGGGGTTGCCATCATTTGGAAAGGACGAATGAAATACTTCTGGTATAGCTCTTTGAAGGACACGTCCCATTCCTCATGCTGTTACACTGTTAGCTCGTAAGTATATAGTGCATTGTCTTACCTACCTTAGCATGCAATGCCCAGTCCTGCGTCTGAAGTCTCAACTTATGAGCTTTCCTAGCCAACAAAATGGGGGCATAGCTCTCATCAATCACCAAAAGATCGACAGCAAGCTGAGCCATCATCACAATACCAGTCAGGTACTCAGTCCACCTCCACCCTAGACGGCTCGAGCACAGCGTTCCGCCGATTATAGGACCCAATGTCGGACCTCCAACAATAGTAACTCCATAAGCGACAATCGCGTTACCAAGTTGGTGAGGGGCCCATATATCTGCCATAACACCTCCGGTAATCGTAACAGGCGCGCTGCCAAAGAGGCCTGAGAAGAAACGGGTGATGAGGACGGTTTGGATATCTTTTGCTGTCGCTGTACCAAATGCGAAAATGGCGGCGATGAAGTATGGCTGTCTGGGTCAGTCATTGCATCTGAACAATGGAGTGCAAACTCACGATAAGGATGAGCCATTTCCGACCGTAAAGCTCACTCAACGGCCCCCAAACCAAAGGTCCAAGACCGAATCCAAAAACAAGCAAACTCGTCGCTGCAGCGGATGTCTCAGTGTTGACATTGAACTCGGTAGAAACAGGTTCAATCGCAGCAGCGAAAATGGCAGAGGCCAAAGTGATCCAGCAAGTTGTGAGACCATAAGAGATCGTGGTGATGAACTTCTTGCGGAAGGGCCAGTTCATAGGGTTGTAAGGGTCATCTGAACCGTCGAAGGTTACGAGATGATCTGGGTATTGATCATCAATCGTAGGTTTCTGGTCTTCTCGGTCCAAGGCCATTTCGGGTGTTATGGTAACTTGGTCACTCATGTTCATAATTGATGTTGCGCGTCGTGGAAAAGAAAGAATTCAGAAAGGACTGTTCTCCTCCAGCCTTTTATTCAAGGTCTTTTTTTCTTGGTCAGGTAATGAATTGGCAATCTGTTGGCTTATGCGGCGGCCGGCGCCGAGTCGACACCTGAGTTCCAGCCACTGACCATGAGCCAAGCAACGGACACTCCGTCAATCGCATTGATCGATATTTCCATGCCGAGCCCGATCACATCGGGACCTCTCCTGAAGCCCGAAAGCTGCAAAAGGTACCTTTGCTCGCTGATTGGACCAACTTTGACATGTGAGTGTTAGTCGGAGACGCATAAGCTTACCCGTCTCCGCCCTGGTCCGTGCTATCTCCGTTAGTGTGCCACTAAGATAAGATCAACAACGGGGGCCGCTGACACAGGCCCTGACATGTTGGTTCATCACCCCAGCCTTTACATTCTAATTCTCTCAACAATCCAAGGCCCATTCATGGCCTCTTCAATCTCAGACAAGTCCCCTCCGAGGGTTCCGATAACTTCATCCACTGCTGCAACTGCAAAAATGAGTTCTACCTTAGACTCTCCCGTTCTAACTCCATCTACTCCGTCTGATCCACTCCCTCTACGCAGCTGCGCGTTTTGCCGCCAGCGGAAAGTGAAATGTGATCGCCAGAAGCCCTGTTCTAACTGCCTCCGCGCCAATAACGAATGTTCATACCCCGCTGGTCGTGGTAGAGCTGCCAAAAGACTAACTCAAACGCTGGATACCCGTCTTGTCGATCGGCTCCAAAAATTGGAAAACATCATCAAGCAACTTACTAGTCAGGTCGATGCCACAGCCAATACTCTTCCATCTGGCAGTGGTACCGATAGAGAAGAAATTGGATCGTCTCCAGGTGGCGTAAGAAATTATCCTTCGGGACTGGATAACGCTGCTCCAGATGCTTCCATCGACCAGCAACTTGGTCGTCTGATGATAGATGATAGCAAGAGCTATTACGTCAGTAACATTTTATGGGCCAACTTAGGAAACGAGGTTAGTACTAGTGCCATTGTTCATCTACTACTGTGGCTAACTTGCTTGTTATATAGATCGAAGAATTGTGCGACATGCTACACGACCCCCTGTCTGAAGACGACATCAACAACCCTATTGATGCATCTGGGCTCATGCCGGAAGCGGCCTCGCCTCTCGGAACAAGCGCTTCAGTTCTGGGATTTCGGTCCCTCTGCAATTCTCTTCTTCCCTATCATCCACCTATGCACCTATCAGTCACTCTCTTGAATGACTTCATCGAGAATGTCCTTCCACTGGTGCATATTTTCCATATGCCCACCACAGAACAGTGGTTTTGGGACTCCATTGTCTCACTCGACACACTCGATAGAAACGCAGAAGCCTTACTGTTTGCCATCTACTACTCGTCAGTCATCAGCATGGATGACGACCAGTGCTTAAGCGTCCTCGGGGAGTCACGTTCTACCGCGCTTAATAAGTTCCGCTTTGTAGTCGAGCAAGCTATGGCCCGCGCAAACTTGCTGAACACGCAGAGCCTCATTCTTCTTCAGGCCGCTGTCCTGTTCCTCTCAGGCCTACGAAACGAGGATGATTCTAGAACAACATGGTCTTTGACGTCGCTGGTTTTTCACATCGCCCAAGCCATGGGTCTACATCGTGACGGAACAACCTTTGGTCTTAAGCCATTTGATATAGAACTAAGGCGACGTCTCTGGTGGCATATATGTCTACTAGACATGCGCTCCTCTGAGTTTCATGGATACGAACCTATAGTACGAGGTGACATGTTTGACACAAAGCTTCCCCTCAATATCAACGATAGCGATATCACCCCCCATATGACAGAAAGCCCTATGGAGCGTGAAGGACATACTCAGATGACGTTCTGTCTGATTCGTTGCGAGGTGATGAGAGCTGGTTGGAAGGTTGGATATGCATCACCAACTCCAAACTCGACAGCCACTGCAGCACGAGATGATGGTCAGCCAATTGTTCAAGAACTCAAGAGCCGATTGGAGGAACGATACCTACGTTACTGTGACGAATCGGTTCCATTTATGCTGTTTACATCGACAGTCGCACGGCTCATGATCGCCCGCACGTGGCTCGTTGTTCACTTTCCAAGCAAGAAAAAGAAAGCCTACGCCTCAACGATTATTCGAGACCACCTATTTTCCACCTCGATTGAAGTTCTTGAACTTTCCAGTTCTATCTTGACAAACAGCAGTATCTCAAAGTGGACGTGGCACTCTAAAACGCATATCCAGTGGCACGCAGTGATATTCGTTCTCTCTGAGATTTGCTCTCGTCCAGCTTCGACGGAATGCGATCGAGCATGGGAATTTATCAACACGGTTCATAACCGATGGAACATGAACGAAAGCGGTAAGAGGGGCACTCTTTGGAGGCCGATTCAGAGACTCATGGTCAAGGCTCGTTATGTACGGGAGATGCAACAGCTGGATCCGGGTTTCTATCTTGCTGGAAGAATGGCTACACCAGACACGACACCCGTGCAGGCTGGAAGTGCCGAATTGCGGCAGGAAACCCCAGATGTATACGGTATGCCTGACATGGCGAGTCCGAGTGGGTATATGGATTGGATGCTTGGAGGCCTCGCCATAGACCTATACGGTGGAATGGTGAACGGACCTAGCTGGGGCTAGGATAAGTATGTGTATTAGATTTCAGTCTTAGGGCCAGAGCTGCCCGACGTTGCATTCGTCTGACTGATTATTGTGCCAAAGCCTGGATTATTATGACTTAGCACTTATGGACCTTTGATATGGGCTTCTTGCCCTTGTTCCACGGTAAAGCTAGTACCTTCGGTGGACCATTGTGAACAGTAGGTACAGTGTGACAAACAAGGGCTCATGTAATAGATTCCACGTGGCGACAGCAAAGTTATACATGAGGACGAACAACAGGTCGTACAAAATAAATTTATGTGCATTGGAAATAAACAAAATCGATTAAAGCATGAATGAATCACAAAAACTGTATCACGATGTCTCTAGAACCTTTGCCCCCGACAGGCCGCGACGAAAGACTGCCCATGGTCAATGCACCAGTTGACCATTGCTCTGATCACCTTGCATCAATAACCCGTCCATACAACATCGCAAGTGAACTCCAAAGTTATGCCGCTAAAATCAGAGAAGTCTACTTGCACAGCAGAAGCATCATTATTGATACCGGGATAACCGATAATAGAAATGTTCCAGGAGGTCATTGGTGTGTGCTTCGTGTAATCGCGCTCCTGGCCCCAGAGGCCGTCAGTGATGATGTTCTTCGATGTTGGATTGTATTCGAAAAGCAGGGTCCTCGCATCGCCTACAAAAGAGCGGACAGGCACCAGGAGGTTACTAGACTTTTCCTGCAAGCAATCTCTATCAAAGAAACGACCACTAGTCTTGAGCTGTATCTTCAGCGCTTGACCAGTAGGGAGTGAGACCCCATCCAAGTAACACCTTAACGTAAATGTTAGCTTGAAAACGCGCTTGAGGACAACCGATGCTTGACACCAGTGGATGCTTACCTAGCTGAAGACATGCGAATACGACTGAAACCCCTCCATTGAGCATCTTGTGGGTCAATCATGTACTCAACCGAGCCGTTCTGAGTGAAGGCCGCCGCTAGGTCCTCTTTCGTAGCATAGCCGCACAAGCCTGCGAAGCGGAATGTTCGTGACTGAACGAGAACACGCGAGCCGTAGGCAACCACAGCTCCCTGGATGACAGCAGCATCTTCGAGGTAATCGACGACTGGTTTGACGGGTGATAACCGAAGAAGTGATCCTGCGAAAACGGTTAGTCTTGCGAGACAAGGACAGACTCAAAACGTAGGCCCAAACTGACCTTTGGAAAGCGAATGATAGTTGTATGCTGTGCTGTAAGTTTGGAAATCCTGGTACACAAATGTACGCAAGGCGAGAATTCGATCGAACATAGCTCTCTTGAGAAGATCGAGGATCTTCTCATCGGTCACGGACTTGTAGTTCATTGCTGCCAATCGTTGCTGGTTCTTGTCTTCCATGTTGGTTTGGAAAGACAAAATGGCAAGATCATCGCCCTTTTGAACAAGATTGGCCTGTGTCTTGATGTAACACTCACCAGAAATAACCAATGTCTTGAGTGACATGAAGTATTCCCTCTTCCCTTCAATTTCATACTCACGAAGGAAATCCTGCATATCGAGAACGGTGATGTTAAACCGTTCCCACTCCGCAATACCTACATCTGAGACCTCAGCAGAGTCCTTGCCTGGTCGCAGAGTCTTTGCCGAATCAACGTTGCTGCCATCCTGCTTTAGTTTGTTGATCATTTCAATCATCTTCTTGGAGGTTTCGACAATTTCCCCAAGCTTCTCAATAACTGGCTTGATCTTGTCGAAGATAGCCTTAAGCTTCTCATAGACCGCCTTCAGCTTTTGAATCAGTGTTGCTGCCTTTTCAACGCTGGATACGACACCTGCGCCAGCAGCAACGATAGATGGGGCAGCCGCACCAGCGGTGGCAATTGTAGCGCCAACAGCGAGAACAACAGAAAAGACGCCCTTGAGGATTGACTTGGTGGCTTCTTTTTGCTGATCCTTCTTATACTTCTCTACACCGGCTTCAAAAGCCTTGATCTTTGATGCAAGATCGTTGTTGTTCTTTTCGAAATTGGCTTTAGCAACATCATTGGAATGAAGTGCCATTTCGTACTCTCTTTGTCGAATACCGATGATAAACTTGTAAGTCTCCAAAGCATCATTGCTTTTGGCTAGGAGATCCAGTCCAGCAGAAACCTGCTGCTTTTTAGTGCCGCTATCACTTAGGTAGTCGCGGTAGGCATTCTCAAAAGCTAAAGCAGCTGTAAGACGTGCTTTGAGCACCTGCTTGGAGGCATAAACGTTGACAGACGATGCCTGGCCGATATCACGACCCAATGCTGGCGATGTCATTAGCAATGGACTGGAAAGAAACAGTGACTGTGAGTTACCTAAGTTGTTACGAAGTCCCACTGCCTGGTAGTGCAGTTGATAGCTGACAGCAGACCCTGAAGCAATAATGACGTAGTTGAGCAAGTCAATGGCAAACTGGCGATCGGTCTCTGCATGTACTTGGGCGACGAGAATTTGCATCTGCAGCAGTCGTGGCAGTTCACTGTACTGTATTAGCGTCTCTACATCGAAGAATAGATATCATACTGACTCAGTCGCGTAACCTTGATCTTGCAGCGTGCCGTCGTCGTTGATAAGCTCGAGGTAGTTGACGTAGGCCAGCGCAGTTTTTGGTGGGTCTCTTTGAGTTACACTCATCTCACCAGTTGGGGAACATACGTAAGAGACTCCAAACTTGAGAGGGTCAATCTTGACCTTCATTCGGGTCGCTCCAGGCTGTGATTTGACAGAAATGTCCAGCTCAAAGCTGCTTGGGGCATCAGGAACCCACAAAACCAGAACACATGTAGAGGTCATGTCTACTCGGAGACTTGGTTTGTCACCAGCCACAGGAGCAATGAGCTTGCGAGCATAGATCTGGATCGTGAATGTACCGTCGGTCACATATCCAGGGCTATTGATACTGTCTCCATTGATTTTATCCCCTTCCTGGATGATCAGAGTGTCACAGAAGATATGGACAAATTTGAGTGAGATTTTCTTCTGGGAGCCCAGGTCGCGAGCCGTTTTGAGTGCTTCGGCCAGCACCAGCTTAGGGGCCCGCAGCCAAACCTGCAGGTCATGTAAGGCTGGGTTCCGATGAGTGGGGTCAAAGAGATTACCGTTCCCTTCTCATCGCTGCTGCCATGAACTCGCTGCGAAGAAAGAAGTGATTTCCCAAGCGCTTTCTCACCTAAGGTGAGAGGCTTGAGAGAGGTTTCAACAGCCAATTCAATATCCATGATACTGCAATGGGCCCAAAAGGGTAAGGAAGATAGTTTGGAATAAGCGTTGGCGGATCAGGTCTTGATTGAAAGAATTGCGAATGTTCTATTAGACTGCAGCATCGAAGATATTTATCTCAACGTCTTGAGCATCCGCAGTGTCCAACTTCGATTCACTGACATCTCAATCTCATAAGCCCAAAATCAAAACATCTGACCCTTCTGCTCTCGGACCGCCTTTGCCAAGAAGTTCTTAGACATCTATCGTTCCATTGATGCAGACTGCAGGTCTTGAGGCTAGCTGAACTATCGAGGCTGGCTGAAATCCAACCCAGAATTGGTTCACCGCCCTAGCGGTGGCACTAACTAACTGGTATTTCCATAGTTCATTTCCCCGCACCTAGCAATTGGTCGTGGCATGGAGGCTACAGGACGGAACAAGCGCCCTCATGCCGGTCAAGCGGGTCAACTGGCGCCACATAATAAAGTGTGACGGCGGCATTAGTGGTTAGGGAACCGATCGTTTCTACTGGATGCCTAAGTTCTATGTAGGAGCATTAAATCAAATCGCGGCCGAGTAAGTTGAAGATACACATGGCATGTCAAAGGTCCGTTTTATGAGTTCCCGACTGTATCGCTTCAAGGCGAGAGGCCGAATCTTGAAACAGTGTGAGCGTGTAGTCATCTTCTTTAGGAAACAATCGCAAGTATCATAGCTTCTCTCGATCTCGTCGTATTGCCTCCATGCATCCATAAGGGTAATCGTATCCATAGTCTTAGATGACAAGCTGAAAAGGTTATCTTGGAATATTGTGTGGGTAGTTGGTATGCTATCTGAAGTCTGCTTTTGAGAGTATTACCTTTAGTTGACAGACCTGACGACTGATGCTTGTATCGCGCGACTTACCTCGTATCCATGGTCTGGACTCCTCATGTCTTAAGGTTTTTGCTTGAGCCTGCATGTTCGTATTCCTTTCAGGCAATGCTTGCGTAGTGGCGTTGCTGGTAGACAGCTGAAGGGAAACTGCGACCGACGAGTATTAGTCTTGACCAAACACTGCGGGCGGCTAAAGACTCAAGAAATTGGTCTCATGGAAATATCGACAGCAACAGAAATGCAAGCTAACAGTTCATCACATTCTTGATCGTTTTTCAGCTGCGATGCAACCGCCACGAGTGATCTTGTATGCCACGTCTTGAAACATTGCAGACTCAGGGGAACTGAGCGAAAGCCTCAGGCATGATCTTGAGGCCGTCCTCGGACTGTCCATCATCAGGCCAACTTTATGAAGAGGCTTTGGGTATAAAAGGATCAAGAACACAGGCTTCTCAACAACAATCCAAATCACACATCAACATTTTTCTACCATTGCTCTTTACTCAATCACTACAATATGGCTACTGCTCAAGTCGTCACTCCCAAGCAAGTCGGTCCCTGGGCCAAGGCAGCAGACGTTGCAAGCAATGTCATGAAGCCTGCGCCGGCAGGATTTGTTGCTGGAGATCCCAAGGCTATTGCCAGTCAGTTCATCCTCAATGACCAAGCTTTTGTCGATTTGCAGCTTTATATCAGAGCTGCTCTGATGCTTCCTGGGTCAAATGTTCAATTTGACATGGAATTTCCTGAGACCTTGTTCAGGGACTGGCTTGCAAAAGACAAGAAAGGTGATCTGTACAATGTCTGTCAATTTCAGCCTCTCTGTCGCGGCACATCTAACCTTTGTTAGCAAACCAAAAGCACGCTCGTAGATATCTTCGCTCGCTGCTACAACTTCCAGAACAACACGGTCGATAGAATGTTGGCATTCAGTACGTCACTCTTGCTCTCTTATTTCATCAACTCGAGATTATTAACTACAATTCCAGCGGACAAGTTACTCAAATTCTCGCTAACAGAGGACGAGCGTGTCGCTGCAATTGCCAAGCATCGACCAGTGGTCGAGGACGAAAACCTCGTGCTTTCGGACCCCAAGGTCAAAGCCGCAATCGGCGCAATTTGGAGTGCTTGTCAAGGGCTAATCGCTGATGCATCAGCAGCTGAAGCTGAAGCAAGTAAGCTAGTGGAAGTTCTTAGGCAGGTCAGTATATTCCGTTTGGATCACGTTGCCTCATGCTAAAGCATCAAAGTTTCATACCGACACCGTAGTCGATGCAACCAGGGTTGAAGATATACAGCGCAGAACCAATGCTGTTTTTCCGTCGCCCGACGACATCAGTCGGTCTGCAAGCACAGAGTATCAGAAACTCCATCTCCAGCTGAAGAAGATGTATGACGATCAGCTTGAAGCTAGCCGAAGAATCGGTTGGCCGAATTGTAAGTGATAGCTCTTCGGATCATGCAGTTCTAGGACCTAATAAGTGGCAGCTGGCGCCCTAATTTACATCAACAGTATTGGTTCTGTTATGTACTGCAACGATAAGCAGACATGGGACAAATTCGCTGAAATCGATCGATCTCTGCAACAAACATGGGGTCAGGCAGAGAAAGCGCATCAAAATGCGATTCGGCTTTCAGGTAATACGTTAACAAGCTCTTCTCATATACAGATTCTGACCAGCCAACAGCCAAGACCGACTCTTTGAAGACAATGATCAAGAGAATCGGCGATACTATTAATAAAGCGATTAATGCGCTCGACAAGATCTGTAGTGCGTACAGAAATGAAACATTTATGGGCAGGCTGACACCGCGATAGAGGACTTTGTAAGCTTCAAAGGCGAGCTCGAATACATACAGACGAAGATCAAGGGTATGAAGGGGGCCATGGAGATAGAGGTTGAGTGGCTTCGTGGACTGGCATTTGCCGAGCTTGATGCAGCCCGAATCTCCTGGAACCAGGTATTCACCACCGCACATCCGTATGCCAGGTGACTAATAATACATAGGTCAGGATTGCGGCTAGCTACTACAGAGAGCACGGTGTTCTCCTCAAGAACACTGACAAGGAGAATCTGGAAGCACTGCAACGCCCTCCACCAGCTGGAGAAGAGGTAGAGCTTCTTGGCGCGACATTTGGTGGTATCAACGTGACCAAACTCGCCATATCTTTGTATTCTCGTGGCACCTCCATCGAGGTTCCGGGCGTCGTTCGTGATTTCTCTGACCCATGGATGAATGTCGAGAAGACGTACACCATGCTCTATCGCGTTGGTAGCGAACACCGCGTTTTTGCCAGCAAAGAGTACGCTGCTCAGGAGAGCTTCATATACACGTTTCGCAAGGATTTCGGCAAATCCACAGCCGGGTCCTCTCACCACAGTCGTGTCACGCCTCGACAAGCTCCCAATGACTGTCCCATTGAGATCTTAGCGGTTATCTGGGGTCCCGAGAAGCGAGACCAGCAGAGCGTCATCGACTATGTCTACCGCTGCGTCAATAACGCGCCCGGTATCGTGTGGAGCAATGAGAAGCTTGGAGGTGACAGCTGGCCTCGCACACAGAAGACTGGTGTTATCTATTACCGCAGGAAGGGCACAGACAAGGTTCAGCTTCTTGTGGGACGCGAGAGGGAGGTAACCCAGTTCAACGCTTGATTCACAGAGGCTTCTCATTTTGTTGGCAACCCTGTGTTGTGAGCTAGGAGAGAGCTACAAGCTGATGCTTATTACGTTCTTTATATAGTCTGAATCAGATTGATCTTAACACTACACTACTATCAGATGACGCAGAAGTACCTAGAATCTCAACATGTGCACTACGCATGTTTCTGTTCGTATTCGTCTTTGGTAAACTCCTTCTTCTTTCTCCTGCAGGACTAAATGCTTAATTACTCAATTACTCGTCCATTTACCACTTACTTCACTTGAAGTATTTCAATATTTCGAACCGCGCAACCTGTCGTTGGCGGCATAGAGTAGCATATGATTGCAATGGCCTTTCAGAATGAGTGTATAGATTGGTAGCTCCGAGACCTTGCGACAGCATTGTGTGGCGGAATGATGGATAGGCCAAGCTGGGGCTAAGATAGGAACGTGTCTTAGATTTCACACTCAACTCCTCACCAACAACTCTACAGACTTAAACAACCATCTATCTCCATTGTTTATACACCAGCACTGACATCGACCAAGATCTTAACATGGTTATCCTTATCATTGATAAGCGCCTGGAACCCCTCCTCAACAACCTTATCCATCTTAATAACCTTTGTAATCATCCCTTGAGGCGTAATCTTGCCATTTGACAGTGCCTCAATGACCTCTTCAAAGTCACCGAGAGCATACGTGGCGCTAATCAAAGTTAGAATTGCTTCAATGAAGACAAAGAGAGAACTTACCATCCAACGTATGATCGTTCACGGAACACGATCTGATTCATGTTCAATTGAGCCCTCTTCTCCCAGACCGCAATATTAACAAGAACAGCTCTAGCCTTTAGGCAATCGAAAGCTGCATCAATCGCATGCTGTGATCCAGCTGCGTCAAAACCGACGTCGGCACCCAAACCGCCCGTCAATTTCTTGACTTCAGCCACGATGTCGTCTTTGGTGGGGTCGAACACATGATGAGCGCCAAACTTCTTTGCAAACTCTCGGCGCTTCGAGCTGACCTCACTCAAAATGATGTTTTTGCACCCTCTGCCAATCAATGCCTGCACGACAGCCAGTCCAATCGGTCCGCCGCCAACAACAAACGCAGAATCACCTTCTTGATATGGCGATATCTTGATTGCGTGCCATCCGACAGCAAGAGGTTCAACGAGCGCTCCAACCTCGAGTGAAACATTATCAGGCAACTTCTTAACAGCATCCTGCGGAACGACAGTAGTTTCACAAAGACCGCCTCCCCAACCACTCAGCCCGATAAACCCATTCTTATCACAACAATTGACAAGACCGCGCTTGCACGAACGGCATTCATTATCGTAAATAATCGGCTGAACGCAAACGCGATCTCCCTTTTGAAGGCGACTAACTTCACTCCCGACTTCTTCAACAATGCCACTGAACTCATGACCGAGAGTGAGGGGCGATGTTTCCCCGGTGATGCCGTGCGGGGTGCCGGGCTTGGGAATGAGATTGTTGCCACCGAGATACTCGTGGACGTCTGTACCGCAGATTCCGCAGAATTTAGGGGAGATGCGGACGGAGTTTGAGTCGAGGGAGGGGAGGGGTATGTCTTCTAGCCGGACATCTTGTTGTCCGTGGAAACGCACTGCTTTCATTGACATGGCGGAAGTTTATGGTCGAGTACCCAACAATATCACGAGTGGTGATGGGAAGAAGAGAGGGGTTGTATAATGAGGAGACATGTTACTTTTATAACATCCTCAGCTGATATAAACGTGACGCAAAAGACGGCCTTCCCCTCATCACTGCTACTGTACGTGTTTCCAGAGATAGTAATGCGAAGTCACAAAGTCACTTACAAGCCTAACGTGATGGGATGATCGGATTACCCGATGGGGATTAGGTTAGTGTTAAGATTTGGACAAGGTTATGTTTCCACGAATGAGGAGTCGCGTGGGAATGTGGGGGAGACTCGGCGAGAACCGATGAACATGAAATCGTGATCAGCCACGACTTGAAGTGGTCTGTTCAATCAAGTCTCGCCATAAATCATCAAATCGATTGAAGTGGCAAATACAGGAGATGAAATGGCCGAGCTTGGCGTTGGAGATATTAGTTATACCTTACTCTATTGATGTCTATTGCCATATGGTCACGTTTGTCCTGCCATTCGTGTCAAAACAGCACGGACGTATGTATGCTTTGCATTGTGATTGCAAACAACGCTTCATAACTTTCCAGAATCACGTAGTTATGATTATGTATATTGACAATTTAAGATACGTTTCTTTTTCATGGTGACATGAGCTCCGTTGTTCAATCGTGGGATGCAGGGTATTCAGCCTCTACAAACCGCAATACCAGCAGATAAACTATTAGTCTTTATCCTTCTCCTTCTTGGTGTTATTTTTTCTTTGTATCACTCTCCTTCTCCGCAGCCTTGCTTTTGGTGGCAATATCAATTAAAAAATATCTAATATTATATATAAGTTCAGGGAAGCTTTAGGTAGTTTTTGTAAATCTTTAGACCCTATAAGCTCTAAGGTATCTTAATAGATCAAATTTTGCCTGGTTTCTTCCCCTAACACACCTACCCTAAATATCAACCAATCACGTGGTTCGCCCATTGCCGCTAAAATGAGGAGTCAGCGCATCATCAGCTGGATTTTACAAAAACCGCCATCATGCAAAAGAAAATATCGTGAGTTTCACAATTTCCACAAAAATACCGATGCTTATCATTGTCAGGTGCAAGCGTTGCCAATATCGTAAAGTTCGTACAACAATCTCTCCATCTCAAATGTATGCTGAACCAATATCACAGCTCAAGTGCTCCAGAACAGAGCCATGCGAAAGTTGTTCCGAAGCAAGTAAACCATGTGAGTATCGCGAGCAAGATAAGAAGAAAAGGCCAGTGTCTTCAAAGTATGTGTCTGAGCTTGAAGAACGCATCGCGTATCTTGAGGGGTTGATCATAAAGATACGCGACACGGTCCCGGAAGCGCGGAGCATTGTATCAGAGACATCGGGATTTGGCGAAATTACTCTTCCTCCAAAGATTCAAAGTCAGCCTTCGCCTGCGGTCATTAGTCCGCAACCTGATAATCTGGAACCTGATCCGGAAGGATCACTTATCTACCATGGTCCGACGAGTATCATCCACGGGAAGCTTCCTCAGGCAAACAGGGTGGCTGCGCATCCGGACAACTCAACACTTGATGCAAACACTGATTCGAACTTTGGACAAGTCGCGCAGCATTTCGGCATCTCCCTGGATAATGACCTTGTTACGAGCGCACTGATGCACTTCTTCAAGTGGCAATATCCGCAGTTCATGTTTATTTACCGCGAGGCATTTCTACGGGACCACTTTGGTGACCGACAGAGTTGCAAATACTGGTCCTCTGGGCTGGTTCTATCCATATGTGCCCTGGGCCTGTTAATGTCGCCCAATGCTGTGCAGCGACGAGCAAGTGAGCAATTTTTCAGCGCTGCTGAAACGACGCTTATAGTGTATGGCTTCGCTCGACCGTCAATCGCTACCGTTCAGGCTTTTCTATGTCTTGCGTTTTACGAAATAGGGCGAGGAAATATGTCCAAAGGCTGGGGTTTCTCAGGTAAGGGCAACTGGTTGAGAACAAGTTCAATGCTGAGTAACAGTAGGTATCGCCTTTCGAATGGCGCAAGATCTTGGCTTCCAGAGAGATCCGAAGAAATGGGTCTCATGCGATACATCATTGGCGACCCCAGAAGACATAGAGATTCGAAGACGAATTGTCTGGGGTTGTTATACCTCTGACAAGCTCATTAGTCTGACTCTCGGCCGACCAGTCTATTTCTCACACCATGATATAGAAGTTGAGAACTTGGAACGACTGCCGTGAGAGCCAATTACGTCCTAGATATTATAATGTTACGCCGCTGACGTTGAACAGAGATTTCCCGGAGTTGGAGTTCTGGCTTCCCATAGGGTTTGACAGCCAACAAGGCGATTTTGGTGAAACCAAACCAATGGTTCCATGCTTCCAAAAGCAGATCGAGTTGTCCAAGGTCATCGAGCAGATACTAGCGACTTTGTCCTCGCAAAGCGCAGCTCAAGATGGCCTCGCTTGCCGAGGGCACCTCGATAAACTGAATTTGGAACTTAGCCGGTGGGAAACGTCTCTGCCACAGTGTGCTCAATGGAATAAGTGGGAAACTCCGAGTACTCTCCTGATTCCGAGCGTGGCTTCTTTGCAGTTCGTCCTCCGCACTGTGGAAATCCGCCGGGCTGACAAATATCTAGTTTACTTTTTCACAGCATTCGGATCGTCACCAACATCGATGCCGCAGTCCACCATGAGTCGACGAAGAGTAAAGACTATTGCAATTCATCGGCTCAGAATATTATTGCATTGGTTCGAAAATACCGATCCCAGTACGGGATGAGATTCGCACCGTTTGTCCTCATATATAGCTTGGCACAAGCGTCGCGTTGCATGTCTATGTTCGGGACGGTGGAAGAGGTGAATTATATCGCCCGAATACTCGACGAGTGCTCGCGTACATGGTCGATAGTCCATCAATTGAGAGACGGAGAAGCGCCAACAGTATCATGGTAGCGAGTATTAGGACATGGAAATACAGACACCAATTGCAGTTGGAATCATGTTGTGATAGCAATGGCGGTTGACTATATAGCTCGTCACAGGATTTACAGAGTACCATGGCATGTCTGACGTTTATTAAACTCACGAACATGCAACCCAGCTAAGTTCTCCTTATATCTAAGGTACAGAGATTCCCGTTTCAATACCACTTCTCAGAACCGAAGCAAGTTTCTTGATGTCCTCTGTGCCATTGTAGAAGCCGAATGATACCCTGATGCCAAGTCGATACGGCGTCACGATGATTCCATTATCTCGTAGATGAGGCATCCATCTTTCGTCATGTAGATCCAGGATGTAGAGATGCGGCGCATGCTCTTTGCGGCCATCAGGACCGACTATATTGATGCCCAAACTCTCGCACTCTTTCTTCAACACATCACCTAAGCTATAAAGGTGACTTTGTACCCTCTCAGGGCCAAGAACATCGAGATAGAAGCTGAGGTACGCCTTAGCGACAGCACCCGAGACAAGACTCAGGTTCAGATGATCATATCTTTGAGCAGAGGGATGGTAAACAATAGAGTCATCAGGAACAAGAAGATCAGCTCGAACATTGCTCACAGCTCCATACCCCACAACAGGTGGAGTCGGATCAACAGTCTTGATGACGTCCGGGTCGACATATAGAGCTGCAAGACCTGTTGGACAGTGAAGGCCCTTGTGCAACGAGAATGCTGCCGCCGAAACACCAAGTGCCTGCACGTCTACGGTCGCAAACCCGACCTGTTGTGTGATATCCGCAATGACATGAATGCCTCTCGGACGGAAGGTGGAGCAAATATCTGCGACATCGTTCCACTGGCCACTGTGAAACATGACGGAACTAAGCCCAATCGCAATCGTTCGGTCATCCACATGAGGCGCAAAAGTTTCAGCTTTCGCCGGTCTGACCTTTCCATTCTTCTTATCAGCCTCGATCGTAGGAACTTGTCGAACTTCCAAGCCCAATGGCCGGAGGGACATCCACTGATACGCGTGGTTTGGATGTTCTGTATCAAGCAGAACCACATTATCGCCCGGCTTGAAGTGTAAGCCACGAATTATCGAGCCAAGGGCTTCTGTCGTGTCGCGTGTAAAGGCAATGTTTGACGAGCCGGTGTTGATATAGCGTGCGAGCAGCCGACGGGCATCTTGCATGGTTGCTTGCCAGGCCGGTTTGGGCAAAGGGTTGTACAACGCCTCGGAGGCATACTTGGTGATGGCTTCGTGAACGATCATATTGGAAGGGGGAGCAAATGAGGCATTGAGATAGGTAACAGCCCCTTCGTGAACCAGAGGAACAAGACGACGGAATGTCGAGATGTCACTGTTGGTAGTGGGTCTTTCATGGGCTTTGCCGTTGCCATTGGTGATAATGGTACCATTGAAAGGCTCGGAAACATTGGCTGAAGGCATTTTGATAATTTGAGTAGTAAGAGATTAGCTGGTGATTCTTCATCTGCAAGCTGGGAATGCCTGTCCTCAAGCCCGGCTATTTGTAGCTACTATGATGGATGCCGATCGGACACCCATCTGCCATTGCAGCCTCCATGAACTCGATGGAGCTTCAACTCCATGCTCGAATGAGTTATCCATCATATGATCAAGACAGGGATAGCGCGTATGGAGTGCCAACTCCGTCGCCAAAAAGCTCCAAGAACCGGCTTTAGGGCACGGAGTTGGACCTCCATGTGGATCCGTCACTTCGACTAAGGGGTCGGCTAGCGGCGAACCCATCATCATAGCGATGCTTCCCCCGCAAATTTCCCCGCAAGATAACGTTCTCTAGATTACCTCTTTACGGTTGGCGACAATTGGGGTTCTGTGCTATCTCTTGTGGTACGAACTAGCAGGAGTCAGTTACCGGTAGTCAGATATGGAGGATAGGACCATAAAGTCGGCGGTTCCCCGTACTTGGCCCCGACTATAAAGTTGGCCATTGACCGAAGATATTTACTGTCGCACAACATCGATTTGGCCGTTTTTCAGTCCCCTCTTAATTACAGTCTTGAAAATGTCATCAGAGAAACGGCAGAAGGAAGAAAGTGACTGTGGCCCAAACTTGGAACCAGCCATGACAAGCGACGAAGGCACCATGACAGCAGAAGATGGCCAGCTTCGCCGCGAGTTCAAAGCGCGTCATGTTTCCATGATAGCTGTAGCTGGTGCCATTGGTACCGGGCTTATCATTGGCACGGGAACAGCTTTGGTGCGTGGTGGCCCTGCGAATCTTCTCATCGCGTATTGTCTTGTTGGAGCTGTGGTGTTCTTCGTCATGACGGCCCTGGGAGAGATGTCTATTATGTTTCCTATGGACAAGGGTTTTGGTGGCTATGCTACGAGATTCGTTGATCCAGCTCTTGGGTATGTCTTATGAATTCTTGACCAACCTGACATTTAACTGACGGAATAGGTATGCGACCGGGTGGAATTATTTCTTCAAATATGCCATCGTTCTGCCGAACAACCTCACAGCAGCGGGTATCATTATCCAGTATTGGAGGCCGGATCTCAATGTGGCCATTTTCGTCACTGTGTTCACAGTAGTGATCATCCTAGTTAACGTGAGTTCCCCATTATAGAACGGCTCTCATGACGATATACTGACATAATATCAGCTCCTACACGTCTCCTTCTTCGGGGAAGCCGAATTCTGGTTGTCCTGCATCAAGCTCCTCGTTATGACAACTCTCATCCTCACGTGCTTCGTCATCTCGGTCGGCGGTCAACCATCAGGAAAGAAAATCGGCTTCTCATACTGGAACGATCCTGGAGCTTTCGGCGAATACTTGCTTAAAGGGCCCAAGGGACATCTCCTTGGCTTCTGGGCAGCGATCGTCCAGTCCACCTTTGCCTACACTGGAACAGAAGTCGTAGGTGTCGCATTCGGCGAAGCACCCAACCCCGAGAAGACGATTCGAAAGGCTATCCGTCAAACTCTCTGGCGAATTGTTTTCTTCTACATTATCGGAGCTATTGTCTTGGGCATGGCCGTACCATATACCAGTTCGCAGCTCATTGGCGGTACAAAGCAGAAGACCGGTGCTGGAGCTAGCCCTTTCGTCATCGCCGTCCAACTGGCTGGGATTCCTCATTTCCCTGATGTCATCAATGGGTGTCTTTTGGTCTTTGTCCTCAGCGCTGCGAACTCTGACATCTACATCGGCTCTCGTGTTCTTTTTGGCCTGTCTCATGATCATCAGGCTCCAGCGATCTTCGGCAAGACTACTGGCAACGGTGTTCCTCTGGCTGGTGTGATATTTACTAGTTTGTTTGCTGTATTAGCATATATGAACGCGGCCAAGAGCTCCTCTGTGGTCTTTGGATACCTGGTCAGTCTCGTGACTGTCTTTGGAGCCCTTAACTGGGTCAATATCCTTGTCACTTACATCGGCTTCACGCGTGGCTTGAAGGCGCAGGGCATAGACAGAAGTTCAATGCCTTACCGAGGAATGTTCCAGCCTTATGGAGCTTACTTTGCCCTTTCACTGACTATTCTAATAATCATTTTCAATGGTAAGCTTTACCTGTTTAGCAACACGCAAAGCTAACCGATCCAGGATACGGCGCATTCATTCCAACATTCGACGTCGCCAAGTTTTTAACTTCTTACATTGGTGTCGTGGTATATTTGGGAAACATCGTGATTTGGAAAATTTGGAGACACACAGAGCGTGTGCCGCTAAGTGAGATGGACTTGACGACTGGTCGTCTAACGAACTACTAATGTCCGACTGTGATATCTGGCGACTGCACTAGCAACCTCGCTTGATAGTATATAGGCTTCTGATGTCTCTGAGAAGTAGCAAGCTTTGTTGTACTCTATATTATCATATTCCAAACATTCCACCTCATCTCCAAGACCCTACTTGGCCGCTGATTGTCGTCCCAGTCATCCAGGTTATTATTAGGGCGATGAAAAGGGAAGTAACTTGGTGTAATTAGCTGACTGCTTTGACATAACCAAGGGCTCGGTAAAGCTTACCTGACAAAAGCCCAAGCCACTGGGGTGAAACCCTCACACTCTGTTTTGATGTTATTAAGAAAAAAGGAGATGCTAAGTTTTCCTCATGCTTCTCAGAGGGGGGTATGTGGTATATGACTCCTTCGGCTAGGGCAGCAAGTTCGCTGTCTTTGTGTCGTGGATGGGAGAGGTTCACACCATCCGTCAATGGCCTGTGAGTCTCCTCTGAAGCATTCTCTCGATCGATTGAATGGACTATATAGTCCTTGTCCTTTAAATTCATGGCTTCAATCCATTCTCGAAGTGTCATTTTCTTCGGCCTTTTAGGATCCAACCATATGATCTCATTTTCCAACGTGCAATCAATGAGATCACTTCACACTTCAACTATTTGAGTATTCTCAAAGTTGAAAACAAGTTTACTGTGAGGAATTTCACGTTTGATGATTGTAACCCAAAAGCTAGTAGTTACTTCCTGTTCAAGGAATCTCATAACGATATGCAAGAATCGATCTCTGTCAAGGCCTTGGGAGCTCTGAGAAAGTCTTTCAAATCACACCAAATCAGAAATCTGTTTGACAGTTATACTTGCCACGAAGTCTGATGTGCTCTGGCAGTATATCTTATATCAAATTGTAAGACTGGACTATGACTTTTGGCGCATGGCTCAGTCGAAAGCCCCACGTCAAAGAAGTAGTCGAGATCTTCTAAGGTCGGCCGAGTTTGTTTCAGAATGAGATATATGAATAGCTTTTTGCCAATAGCACTTTCTAGAACCGACGGAAAGTGGTCAACCGTCCATTTGACATATTCGAAATTATGTTCCATAATAGCTAAGTAGAACATACTAAAGACCTCTTCTGAAATTTCTGAGAGCATAAACTTCTCAGGATCTCCGGCATCGGAATAATAACCAAGAAGAAACCTAGTAAATTCGTTTTTACGAAGATGTAGCCAAGAGTCCCTCGTGGGCCGCTGGACGGAGCAACAAAGCCAAGAATTCATGGCTTCTAGAAATCGATATGGTTGACTTTTTATTTTGGTTGCAAAGGCGTAGCAAAGCTGCTTCAGCGCGAATGCCACCTGATTAGTATATATCGCCAGGGTCGGCAAGCTTTGCCTCTGCAAACAGCAGACAAGAGAAGGCGTCAATGCTGTTGGAAGCCTCTTGACACGTTGCTTATGATATCCTTGACTACTACATTTTGTAGTATATCTATAATAGATTGATGTAAGAAAGTAATAGTGGTTCCCAGCCAAAACTTATCATCGACAGTTGCAACTTCAAGAAAGCCATTACAGCTGCCGTGAAGCCATTCGGCATAAGACAAGACCTTGGTCTGTTTTCTATTTCGTGGTAAATTCCTTAGATGGGAAGCCATCCTGGATCAAGAATTCGTTATAGAGATTAAGAAGGATAAAGCTGGCGATAGTGAAAGCCCTGAGGTTATTCTTACCTACAGCTATTAGTATTTTTATTACCTGAAATATCTTCTTTTAGTTATCCTTCTCTAGTCGATTAAAAATATAATGCAATAGTGTTTTAAGTCCAGAGGGGCGATCATTAACAATTTATAATAGTCTTTCTTTGGAAATATTATTCTTAATTTTCCATAGAATATCGGCTGTGACTAAGACTATCCATAAGAAGACACTAAGAAGACACCATCTGCTTTCACAAGGATCTCGTCGATGAGATGATCCCGAAGTGTCTGGTTGGATAGATGTGAAATAAGACATGCCCTTATGCCAAGCCAGGTAAGGTCTAGCAGCTAAAGTCATCTATCTTCCGAAAGCCTGTTTAAAAAAAGGGTGTAGTCTCTACTTGAGATGCATATCTTAAGGCTATCATCGGAGCTCTTAATCTAGTTATTTAGAGTCTTGATAAGATATATATAGTCTTGTTCAGAGACTTCCTCCTGTTCAAAGGCTTCCTCCTTTTCATAAAGGCTATTAATGAAAAAGTAGACCTAATAAGTTTTAAAATAATATATCTATAAGCTATAATTGGTAATTACTCTTTATAAATCAGACTTGATACTTTTAGCTAAAACATCTGAATGTCCTTATAATTACTAAATATTATTTTAAATATCATCCTATACTATAGGAACAACATCCTAAATTAAGCATAGATAAGCTTTAAGAATATTATAAAGTAAATAATAATAAAGGCCATTAATAGAATTCTATAGACAAGTTCTAAAATTCTAGAAGGAAAACTTAGTAAGATTTAGATCTTTCCCCTCTAAGGGTATATACTAATATAACAGGTTGCAAATTATAGTATTAGAACCTACCAGCCTATTCTTCTAGTTTGGCTTTAGTTGTTAAATATAAAGAAAGGAATTTTACTCGGGTTGACCTCCCTAACCTTAGCTTGCTAATAATATAGAAAATCTAAGTAGATAATAATAACCAATCTAAGAACTTTTAACACGACTGGACTATTATATCTTTATATCTTATTTTACCATAGTTATCTGTATTAGGCGTGTTTTCAACTTTAAAGATCTATTTGAATATGTCACAATATGGTTTATACGCTCTATCATCTGTTATATATATTACCTCAAACCTTAGAGTTTTAAGAATATAATACTATTACATTATATTAAGAGTATCTTTATATAGGAAGAAAAACTGCAACAGCTAAGACTAGCAGGTCTATAACTACTGAGTTCCTAATATCTGCTTTAAATAATTATTATTATTCTATAGCTATTTAAGCTTATTAGAAACTTTCTCCACTTAGTTTAGGACTTTTATTAAAAAGAGGGTTAAGTTTTAGCTGCTCTGATGTTAAATAAGCTATTAGATTTAGTTTCCTTGCATAAGGCTTAAAGCGGCAAAATACCTAGAGAGATCTACTAATCCTAAGATTAGTTAATTCCTATAACCCTCTAGGGCCTTTTCTAACCCTTTTATCTCATCGTCTTTACACCAGCCTTGAAACGCCGAGTAGTATTTCAATGATACTATTGTCGATTTTGGTTTAAGTTTATCTAGTCCTCGCCCTCATCATTCTTTACATCCTTCTCTTTCACCTGAATCTCGCTCTTGTCTTTCACTTTCTTCTTCTGCTTTTCTTTGCGCATACCCTTCTTTTCATTTTGGTCCTTGTTCTTGTACTCGTTCCCACCATCCTTCTGACAATTAAACCCAGGAATAGCATCCCCAGCTGCCTTTTCCAAACTCCATGCAAATTGTCCATCCTTTAAATGAAAATTCGCTTTTCCAAACTTATGTCTTGACAACTTCTTCTTGAACTCTTGGGTCGGGAACCCATCCCAGCCAATCAGATCGGCCATAACCCACTTCCCATAATCGTTCTCAACCTCTTTCACGTCCTCGTCCTTGGCAAACCGAAGGGCATGAGTTGACATAAAGCTCTTGTGATACACGATCAAAGGATGACCGTCTTGAAGTAGCGGCTTATCCTTGTGACGATATTTTCCGTGGGCTGAGGCTACGACGCGTTGGATGGTGCTGGTCGTGACAAAGACTACTACGTTTTCCCAATCGTGTTTGTGGCCACTCAATGGCAAACGCGTTCTATCCGTTTCAAAGTAGTACTCATACCTTGATCCGATCAACGTGAGCTCGCGGGCATATTAGCGGTTGGGGACTCACATGTATGCGCACCATCCGTTATTGCAGCGCTTTCTTGTGTAGACGTTTGCATTGTCGAGCCGAGATCTATCACGGCAGTCGCGTGTTATATGACCATGTTTGGAGAGACCTTTGTTTACGACACCATATCTATCAATAGCTGCGGTGTGATAGCAGCTGTCTTTGTCAAAGTCGAGGGCTGGCTGGTACCGAAGACTGTCCTTATCGGCGTTTGTATCTAGCTTTTGCAATAAAAGGCGACGAAATAGCCTCTCCGGGTTTGAGATTCGACTGGGAAATGCCGAAGCAATGGAGACTAATCCCAGGGTGGAAAAAAGTAGAGTTGGGATATACATCTCGATTGGTGATGAGGAGTCTCAGTCATATTTCGGAGCAGAATTAATGGAAGCGACTCGGACTGATATTGGGCCAGAGGCCAAGTGCAACGACTAAGCTTTTGGGATGGCGATAAGGTTAATGCTTCAGCCTCATTGAGTTTTGCTGTGAGGCCAGAGCCCTCACAGCTTACAGAAGACGTGAATCAAGGCATCATCGACTGTTAAACCTAGAGTGACACCATTGGTCACTTCTGTTGCATTGAGCACTGAAGATGTAAAGGCCACTTCCTCCGCGGTAGTCGGGTCCTCTACCGAGACATCTGCTTCCTCGGCGGAGACATCGGATTCGTCCATCACAGTTGAGACGTCTGCAGCCTCAGCCACCACGGACTTTAAAACAGAGACTACATCGGTTGAGCCAACTACCACCGATGTCACCACCACTGTCGCTGAGACAACCTCATCCGCAGCCATCCTTACCTTCACAATGTTTGCTTCTGGTTCAAACGCCGTCGCAGGCAGAAGTCTCCAAAGTTACAGCCGCGACGGTGCCGTCGCCGTATTCGACCCCGCCACCGACGACGACAACCCCTCCACTCGACCATACTCCATCGACTCTCAAGGCAGGATCGTATATGACCTCGGCTGGTCCCTCTGTGGATACTATGGTGCGACGAACGAGGAACTCAATAGGCCTGCGACTGTTGTGACCTGCCATAGCGAGACTCCGTTGCAGACGGCTTTTCTGACTTGCGAGTTGTCTGGTACCTTTGGGATCGAGTGCTCGCTCCCGGCGATCTCTTGTGTATCGAGTGGATCTACCAGTATGCCTCCGACATGTGTAGCTGCTACAGGTACTTGGAGCTTAAATTCTGTCGGTGTTCGAGCGTTTGGTCACACGTGGCAGATTGGCAGCAGTGATACGCCCGCTAATTATGAGCGCATGACCGTGAGCATCCGGGAGGTTTGAGAATTAGTGGCGGAAATCTAGCTGCAGGTATTCCTTTTGTACATGAACAAATATTATGAAGCACCAAATCGTTTTGGGATTGAATTTAGGAGTGCGGTACGTGGATTCGCGGACTATCCTATCAAACCGTTTGCCCGAGTCGGTCGTGTTTTGGTACTCCGTCGGACTAAGAAGTTAACCATATTTTGAGTTCGGTTGGTAGCACATTTTCCGATCCGGTGAACAGATACTCCCGGGGCGCACAGTGATTCTAAATCGTGATTAGAGGCTTATCCCTGCTACCGCTCCATCTGAGTCTGTCAGAAGTAAGTTCCCCGCTGTCATTTCGACACTGCACTGGAATTACCAAGAAAGCGTGAAAGAGATGGCAATGTTAAGATGTATAGACTCTAACTCGACACTTATATAAAAATGATAATGTTCAAGAAGATTAGAAGTATGTCTCATATTGCATTCAACCCTCGCGGCACCGGTAATGCTGCAACAACTCTCAGCAACAAGCTGGGCACTCATCACGCCCAAGTCAGTTCCTTAGATCCTGCTCCTAGCTTATCTAGTTGAAGCAAGTGTTCATGATACCACTATCCCATCCCTCTTGGGCCGCCTGAGTGACGTCGTCGGGATCAACGAAAGCCAGCAAGCACGCACCAGTGTCTCGTCTACGGGAAAAGCCACGGCAATCATCTTCAGCCGCACAGAACTGAGAGCACTCGGTGATATCATTAGAGATGCCGGCAATGCTCAGATCACCCAGAACGACATCGCATAGGATAAGAGCTCCGTTCTTGCACTGGCCGGTCTCGGAGGGACAGTTGTTTGCCGGTGCTGCTGCGGTTGTAGTTGTGGCCGCTTCGGTTGTAGTAGTTTCGGCGGTGGATGTGAAGGCTGTAGTTGTGGGTTGAAGTTGTTGTCCACAGGTGCCCTTGATACCACTGTCCCATCCAACTTTGTCCGATTGGGTGACGCCTGCGATGAGAGTAATAGCCTTGAAGCAAGCTCCGCTCGAGCGGACACGGGAGAAGCCGGCGCAAGTATCATCTTGGTCGCAGAACGAGGCGCACTCGAGAATATCATTGGAGAATCCAGCGAGTTGCAAATCACTGAGCTGGACATCACACAACACTGCCGAGTCACTGGCGCATTGCTCAACTGTTGAGGGGCAGGTAGGATCGGCAGGTGCCAGGGTGGTTGTCGTCGTTGCTGCTTCGGTTGTAGTGGTTTCGGCGGTTGATATGAAAGCTGTGCTACTGGACTCGGTGTTCTGACTGCACGTTCCCTTGATGCCAGATACCCAGCCACTCAAGTCCACGACAGCGTAGGTTTGAGAAGCAGTAACCTTGAAGCATGTTTGGAGGCCGTCCGAATACGTGAATGCCAGGCAAGAGGTGTCGGAGTTACATTGCTGGGCACACTCGTTCAGATCAGCGACAGTGGTAGGATTTGTCAGGCCCGAGAGAATCACGTCGCATTGAATTTCCATGGTACCAAGGCACTGGTCTACCTCTGAGGGACAGGTGACAACGGGATCGGGGGCAGCGGAAGTAGTGGTTGCAGCTTTGATAGTGGTGTCCGCATTCGACGTGGTGAAAGAAGTAAGAAAGGTTGTGGGCTTTGACTCGATTGTGCTAGTCTCCGTAGCAGACTCGGCGAGGCTAGTTTCCACCGTTGTATCAGCCATAGTAGTAGTAGTAGTAGACCCGATGAGGGTGGCCGAGGCGGAAGCGGTTGACGAGGCGGTGTCGCTGGCGGAAACAGTGCTGCTGGGCACCGACACGATTGAGCTTGTATGGCTTTCAGGCTTGCATTTTCCAGCAGATGCAATGCCAACTGCAGCGGAGAGGATCAAAAACGAGCGAATGGCGACCATGATGGAGGTCAAAAAACAAGGCAAATGTGAAGTAAAGATCGGACGTCAAAGAATTGACAATAGTGGGATGAGAAAGAAAGAAATCTGGATCAAGGAATCAACAGAGGGATTCCCTCTTTATGAAATGCTTGTTTTCTTAGTGGCGCTGTCTCCTGAGAGGAGTTCATTTCTTTTTGGCTCTGGAGCTGAAAATGGCTCGAGGCTATTGATGATTATAGCGACATTCGGTTACAGAAATGAATAGCGTCAATTAGCGGCACGGTAGTTTATTTACTAACGACAATAGTAATATTAACCTTGTTAATTTTTTCTACACCCGGTATCATTTTCGTATTCCACAGTTACGATAAATGCCATGCTCTTGACATCGCGGATAATCAACTGATGTAATGAAGATTGGTGATTGTCACGAGCGGCGCACACAGGTATTTCGATGCCGAGTCATACCTAACGAGTTCTTAGTAGTGAGCCTAATGATCTGACCTGCGCAACTGCTCAACCAGCCTTCAACTATTAGCATGCATGACTGAAACGTCCAGAACGAGTCAGCGGCTTATCGTTGGAAGCGGTCTCACCTTTTTGGGTACGTCATCTGCTCGGAACCGGTGCTTACTATGTGCTCCGATGTCCGGGCCGGAGAGGTTTATAAAACCGTTCCCCGCCTTGATGAAATTTCAGAACTATAGGTCTCTACACGAGAGCAGATATTCTTACAGCACTATCAACCATGGCGTCGGAGGTGTTAGAACCGCGAGATGTCACCTTTCGAAACTACACTACCGACCAAGCTTCCGACTACGCTGCGGGACGACTTGGCTACACCGATGCTCTTATCGACTTCATTCTCAACTATCACAGATCCACTAATGGAGAGACTGGATGTGTAGTGGATGTCGGTTGTGGACCAGGCACTGCGACTCAAAAGCTAGCGCCGCACTTTGATCTAGCTTATGGCGTTGATCCGGGAGAGAGTATGATCACAACAGCTACTACTCTTGGTGGAAAGACTGGAACTGGCGCCCCAATCGTATACAAGCTGAGCACGGCAGAAGATATTGACAAGATCAATGACATTCCCCATTCCTCTATCGATATGATAACAGCTGCTACTGCGGTATGTACATATCTCCTAACCCAAAGGCCTTCACTGACAGTCTCGAGGCTCACTGGTTCGATATGCCGAGGTTCTGGGCAGCAGCAGCCAAGGTGCTGAAACCAGGAGGAACTGTCGCAATCTGGACAGTTTTCAGACAATCGGGTACGCAGAAATTCCTCTCCAGCGTCTACAGTATGCTAATAGAAATTGTCTAGGCTCATTCAACAATAACACCGAACTTCAATCCATCTTTAACGACTTTCTGGACGCTCTTGCCCCTTACTCAACCGCAAGCACCCATCTCACTCAAAGCGGTTATGTAGCTCTTCCCATGCCTTGGGATGATCCCGATACTTCTGCGTTTTATGATCACCGAGTACCTACGCGCCATGTGCTCACTGCTGAAGACGGCTTCGTCCCCGACGCAGGCAGGACGGGAACCGAGCGGAGCAGAGTTGGTGAGCCCCTAGACAAACAGCTCCTAATGATAGAGAGATTGGTAGGAACATTCGGTTCAGTGAGTCGCTGGCAGAAAGAGAATCCTGAGCTCGTGGGGACAGAAGAAGACCATGTCCGGATCCTGATGAGTAAGGTACGGAAATTGTTGGAAGACAGTGGAGAGCCAATCGATTTGTCAACCTTGTCGGCAAAGATGGCTGTTGCACTGATATTGGTGAAGAGGAGGTGAACTATTGTTCAGCACATGTAATGGAGAAAATATGCTCACATTGTGTCAATTGTGGTTAGACAAGACCTATACATAAACAAGAATTTCCTACTACGGGCTTTGGTATCAATATCATGGCGCCCAAATTTTAGTTATTTATCTCTCCAATAGGTCCTGTGTACCCGTGTCTTCCCTTCCACAACCAGTAAATGCCTAGTAGCAGGGTCGAGCCACCCCAAACTAGACAGGCATAGTTCATATTCTGAGCAGTAACAGGTAAGGAAAAGGGCAGGCAGTAAATAACAAAAGCAATCACCATATACGTGCTCGCGATCGCATTGACAACGAAACCCAGCTTTCTACCTAGTCGTATCGGTCCACATACGACATTTCTTCGTCCTGTGAGAAGGTGAGGCAGGACCGCTGCGGTGTATGCCGACGAAGACATAAGTACAAACGAACCAATAATAGCGTTAAAAGCTGTTTTGCTTGCGACGTAAATGCACCCCATCAAGGTGACGAGCACCGCAGAGGCCATGGTTGCATTGATGGGTGCGTCGAACTTGAAGTTGAAGTTGGAAAAGATTGATGGCCATGGTGTTGCGCCGTCGCGGCTCAATGCCCACAATGTTCGTCCACACGTGATGTAAAGACCGATTATGCTTAGCCCAATGCATGTCTGCATGAGAACCAGGAGACAAATCGTCCCGTCGGCTGATCCAGTAGCTTGGAGGTAAATCTCGGCAAGCGGAAATTGGCTCGCGAAGATCCTGTCGTAGCTATGGATGGAATACATGAGAGCGATCAGATACGAGAAGCCCGTGATGAAGCCCGTGAGGACCTGAAGGCCCATGGCAAGAGGCACATTTCTCTGCGGACGGGGTATCTCCTCAGCCAAATGGCTTACAGCTGCAGGACATCCAACACTGTAAGCGCCGTTCAACATGCCGCCAAGGAATACTATGATATTAGGGTATCCAAGGTCGGCTTGCCACTCAAGCCATACAAAGGACGAAGTTGCATGGCCACTTCCCCCGCTTCGAAGAGGTACAGCTGCAAGCACCACGATGGTGATGAGCAGGCCGATCAGGAGCCAGTAGATGCCGAATTGGTTGAGGAGAGGCATTGTCCGGCCAGCGTAACAGACCGAGAAGCAGGCGAGCCATGTGGAGATAACAAATACCACAAAGACATGAACTTCTTTCACAATGTAGTCGGGATGTTTCAGTGCATAGATCTGGATGATGCTGTTGCTCCATATCGCAGCCATACTTGCACCAGCGCAGATCCAGCCTAGATAATTCCACCAGCCGGCAAAAAAGCCAATGACCCGGCCATATCGTCTCCCAGGGGTGATAGACGCCCAGTAGTATACGCCCGCGCTGGAGGGCATGGCGCTGGCAAGCTCGGCAAGGGATGCGGCGACGAAGAAGTAGAAGAATGATACGACGATGAACTCGTAGAGAACGCCTGTAGCTGGATCAGTTGCTGTGAGTCTAGCGTAGGTAGCATGCAACATACCTGGAGATCCGCCATTGAAGATTGCAACTTGAATTGAACCTCCAGAAGCAGGCCAAACAACTCCAATGATGATGCCTAGGCCTGTGAGAGACAGGAGTCCGAAGTTTACTGGTACCTCCTGCGTATGCTCTGCGACGACAGAGCAGCCGTCATGATTGTCTGAGGTAGCCGTACTGTCTGGATGTTTCTTTCCGAGAGATTTATTATCTTCCATTGTAATTAATGTTGCTTCGAAATAGAGACTTGATGGGGAATGATAAGTTGGAACTGCAAGTGATAGAGAGGGTCCGCTCCCAGGCGTCTTGAGGGAAACTTGACGGCTATTCAAAACATGGCCTTATCTATAATGTCATTACGACACCCGTATACAGGACTCGGAATACCAGGGCAGGGGTACAATAACAGAGATAAAGGACTCCCAAGATTACAGTCACATATCGCGGTCTCGGTCTGATGTCTAAGTTACCATGTCTCTAAAGATAGGTCTAGCCAGGAATTACTAGTATAGGATTGGGCTTATCTATTACCGACATACCGAACCAGGCTTCCCCGGCCTTGCCGACAAAAGGATCCCTAATACTAGGTCGACGCGGGGAAGTTCGCTGATGGTCATGTATTGATACAGCAACCCCGAGGGTGTATCTTAGCCGCCCCGTCTTTCCTTATCAGGCTACCAGCTTCTAAACTTAATCAGGTTCGAGCGAGAAAGGGTAGTGGTTGTAGAGAACTCCTGACGTAACTAAGTAGGTATATCCCTTTCTCCCCTCTCTGGCCTTTCTACAGTTCGAGTGCAGTATTTGAAGGGACTTGGCCAGCAACAGAACGCCAAACCGACTGCTCGCTTATCAGCAATACAACGCCCTGAATATGTCTCTCCAGGTCTCACCGTCGACGTTTCTTGGTCTCGAGAGCTGCCATGTCTTTGTGACGGGCGCATCTGGGGGAGTCGGCGGGGCTGTTGTTAAGGAATTTCTTGGTTAGTCGTCAATCATCGTGGCCCATGTTCGTTCACTGTGGCTAATATTCGTGACCAGCCAACGGGTGTCGGGTCACTTCTTTTGATAGGAACTCGCTGAATGTCGATGCACTATCAATTTCAGAAGAGCAGAAGACGAGACTGCATCATGTTTCGGGTGATTTGAGAACTGAATCATCGATTGCTCAGGCATTTGAAGAAGCCAGCAGCAAGTTTGGCCCAGTCCAAATCCTCATTGCCAATGCTGGCATCACAGACGAGAGCAGTCACCCATCGGTCTGGGATATTGACACGGAGAGATGGGATGCGGTCTACTCTGTCAATGTCCGAGGAACCTTTCTCACCATCAAGCACTTTCTTCTTTCAGTTAAGCAGGCCCAAGAGGCATCGGGCAAGGAACTAGACAACGTCGCTATTGTAGTCACCGGCTCCGAAACAGGCGTTTTTGGGCAGGCTGGTCACGCTGAATATGCGTCGGGCAAAGCAGGTCTTCAGTATGGACTCGTAAAGACCGTCAAGAACGAGATTGTGAAGCTCAACTCAAAAGGTCGTATCAACGCCGTTGCGCCTGGATGGATCAACACCCCATTGATTGGGGATCGGCTAGATGACCCGAAGGAGAGATGGGCTGAGGCAGAAGCGACTGTGTCGCTCCGCAAGATTGCAGAGCCCAGTGATGCAGCTCGTTGCATGGCATTTTTGGCATCTCATCGAGCTGCTGGCCATATCACAGGGCAGTGCATATCTGTCGATGGAGGCCAGGAGGGTCGCTTACTATGGAGAGAAACACAGGATGAGCTTCAAGCCAAGACCGCCAGCGATTCCTTGACGCATAGAGTGGCCTTGCCAACCGCCGCCAATCCTCCTGAGAAGCGCCGAAGATTGAGAATCTGTCTCTCTGTTGACTTTGACGCTGTCTCGGGGCTGATAGGAACGGGCCATGTCCCAGAGAACAAACTCGCCGACTACTCGGCTGCCCACTTCGGCGGCAACGTCGGCGTCGAAAGATTATTGAGGGTGTTCAGCAAGCATGGTATCTCGCAACATGTGTCTTGGTTCATTCCAGGCCACTCGATTGAAAGCTATCCACGACAGACCCAGGCCATCGTTGCGAGCGGCGCAGAGATCGGCCTGCATGGCTACAGCCATGAGAGCGCATACTCGTTATCTGAGCAGCAGGAAAGGGATATACTTGTGAAGTGCATAGAGCTAGCCACTTCCCTCTGCCAGGGTAAGAAACCGGTTGGGTATCGAGCTCCCCTGTACGAGATCAGGGAGTCAACAGTTCGCCTCCTGGAAGAACACGGGTTTCTCTACGACGCGAGCCTAAATTCCCACGACAGCTTGCCTTACTTCCTCCCCAAGACATTTTCAGAAGGCAAGCCGGCAATTCCAGACTACAGTCAACCTGCTAGCACCTGGATGAAGCCAATAACTTTCGCCGAGCAACCTGAGCCCGGGTCGCAGGATGCGGAAACGTCTCTGGTAGAGATTCCCGGAAGTTGGTACACTGAAGATGCTACTCCCCTATGCTTCTACCCACACTCTGCAACAACCCAAGGCTACGTGAGTACAGACGTCATAGAGAAGATGTGGCTGGACCGTTTTGAATGGCTGTGGGAAAATGAGAGCTTTGTAGATGAAGGTCCTGGTGCTGGATACGGATCTATCTTTCCACTCATCCTGCATCCTGAGTGCGCTGGCAGGTCTCACGTTATTGGTATGATTGACAGGTTTGTCGCTAAACTCAGGGCAAAGGCCAATCACGCCAGTAAGGGAGAAATCACCTTTGAGTGCATGACAGATGTAGCAAATTCTTGGAAGACAAGAACGCCTAGCTCATAGATCCAGTAACGTAGCCTTTGAAATGGACCAGTACTCTCGTTTTCTCTGACTATGCGCGGCTCTCTTGTGCCACTTGGCTCGCATTTAGTCATCAATCTGACTTTACGTGGAGACGGTCGATAAGCCTCTCAAGATACTCTGTTGAGTCTGAACAACTGACTATAATGATATTTCATTCCTTGCAGTTCTCGCCAACTGTTTCTGTGCAAATTTCTCAATGTAAATTTATACCTGTTTATCAAACATCACCACAAAGCATCACCATTCTGGTTCCAGAAAAGCCTCCCACTCTTCCCACCATTGAGTCTCACATTCTGACCAGTCACTGAAGGAGACCACTTCTCACTCGCCAGCACCAGGCACATCTTGGCAATCCCCTCTACATCCACCGCCTTCTTTTGAGCAACCGTCGCTTCGGACTCGATCCACCTGAGTGTACCAGCCTCGTCCTCTAAGCACTCTATTCTGAACCTCTTCGTGTCGACAGCTCCCGGGGAGATGGAGTTGACTCTCGCCGACGGATGGACACGTGCAGCGTCCGGTGCTAGGGATAGAACGAGACCGAATTGAACTGCGGCTTTGCTTGCTGCATAGTCTGGGTTGCCGGCGACTCCAAAGTCCCCAGCCTCGGAAACGATAATTGTTAATGAGATGTTCTTGTCCTTCTTGTCTTGTGGTAGTGCTGTCGATGAATTTGGGCCATTGACACCGTTCGTTTTCGTACTGCTGTTCTTGAGCATTTTCTCCACATGTTGGAGCCATAATTTTGCGGTTATGAAAGTTCCTGTTGTGTTCTACTCAAACGTTAGAAACCTTCCAATCAGACTAAAGATAAGATTTAACGCACGATGTCGAGAGTTCTGCGAAATTGGCTAGTTGACATTTTTGTAATAGATGAATGATGCTCGACGAAACTGAGATCAACTGCAGCTGCGCAGACGCAGAGTGTAGGAGTCGCATTAAACCGTCCTTCGACGCTCTTCCATGCGGAGAACATGCCCGCCTCGTCGGTAGTATCGACCGCAACCCAGAAGAGATTCTGGTGTTCTTTGACAAACTTGGACTTGTCGATATCAAAGCCGCCGACGAAGCAGCCAGCAGCCAAAAATGCTTCGACGATGACCTGGCCTATCTGTCCTCCTGCGCCTGTCACCACCACCACATCGCCTTGAAGGCCTAGTCCAAGATCCATTCTTGATGTTCTGTGTTGGGTCTCAATCGCGAAAACGAAGGGACATGTGAGTTTATCCAATAAGGCAAGCGTTTGTTTGGCTGGTGCGATTTCTTTGCTACAGACACGATCGTTTTTGCTGATTCAAGGCACACTCTCACGCCATGTAGAAGCGGCACTTGGCAGGTCAGTCCCTCACTTCTTCGCACTCGTGTCTGCTATCTCTCGAGCTCAAAATGGGAACCTGAGTCGATTAATTAGCTTGACTTTCGTTTGGATCACTTGGACCTGTAGCATTCCAAAATTACCGAGTCTGTACTAGTGGAGAGTCAGCCGCCGTCTCAAGCACCACCGGAGTTCTTTGGTTATCTTGCGGGGTAGCATGATCTAGCCTGCACACTAGCTTCGTCTTGCCAAATGGAGCAAGACTTTCAACAGGCTTTACGGGGGTCTCAGAGAAGCGGGCCTTCTACCGCTTACGCTACTGTAAGTGCGGGACCGTCTAGGATAGCTTAAAAGGGTAATTCTCGCAACGATCATGAGAACCCCAATTTGTTGGCTTACCAGGTGGCAGCATTCTAGACTGGAGAATTTCAGCCATCGACGCTTTTGGCACAGAGCGCGCTCAAAAGGTAGAAGGGCTGGAGTGAACATGATAAGCGGCCGTGAGTTTGGTCTAATGTTGTCATCGTTCAAAGCAGCTGTTTGCCGAGGCTTTGAAGATAATGCCTACCCTGCAGCACCCTCTTAAACATCCATTTCTTCATAATTTTATCGGTCGCTTGTTTCAGGAATATGGAATAGGTCGAACTCTTAATTAATTACATTCTCAAGGTTATGATAATTTCTTTGACGAGTAACGTTTGCTCAATTTCTTTACACGAAGCAGAATAAACTAGGCTGTCCCTCTTGAGTAGAATCCCAAATATTGTGCCAGGTGGACCTGGGTCTTTCTCCCTTCATTTGGTTGTAATGGCGATAACAGTTAAGCAGATGCAACTACAACTCATCCTTACTAACTTTGTCCGATCTTCCAAGACCCTGCAATCCTCTCTTGACCATAGACGTCAAAATCTCATAAACGACCTGTGCAGCCGCGAATGTCGTCTCTTCACCTGCCCCTTGATAAACAGGCGAAACCTCCACGACATCCGCACCGACAAGGTTCAGACCCTCGATGCCTCTCAGAATATTTATAAACTCCCTGGTTGACCAACCGCCAGGCTCAGGCGTGCCTGTTCCTGGCGCAAAGGCTGGGTCAAGGACGTCAATGTCTACCGAGAGATACACCAAGTTTTCGGTGCCTAGAATCTTCATTATGCCATCGATTATACCTTGTGTTCCAATTTTGTCGATGTCATCAGCTGAGAATCGGATCCAGTTCTGCGCAGTGTCGTCTTCGTTGTCCTGGATGCCGGTGAGTCGTGTTCGCAAGCCCGCGTGGACTGAGGGATGGGATGATGAGTTGGAGAGTAGTCCTTCCTGGTTGGCTAGCCAAAACATGGATCCATGGTTGAAAGGTGTCGTTCCCCAGTAAGAGGGATATGCGTGAGGGTTCCACGTGTCAAGATGGGCTATTGTGTTGCATGTCAGCAAGAAACATGCATATTTGGGCAGGCATAGGGTACCATCGAAATGAAGCACTTGGATCTCGCGATTTCCGTAGACCTTCTTCAATGCTCGAAGAGCAGGCAAAGTCAAGCTATGATCGCCACCGAGTGTAAAGAGCTTGGGCTTCGAAGATATCGATGATACAGTTCTGCGCATTCCCAATTGCTCAAGAGCCTGCGTCATCTGCTTCTGAGCAATATCATTGTCGATAGGTGTTATAGGAATATCGCCGCAATCTACAATCTTGGCCCAGTTTTGGTATGGATTGATGTCTGCTCGAGGATTGTAGCCGCGGAGGGAGTGTTGGCGACCGGATGCGTGACGAATACTTCTTGGACCAAATCGTGCACCGGGTCGATACGTCACGGCGGTGTCGAATGGAGCGCCAATAATAGCGATGTCGTAGGGCTCGGTTGGCTCTGTCAGGCATTTAACATGATTCAGGTGCGCGAAAGTGCCAATGCCGCCGAATGCCCACTATCTGACTGTCAGTCAAGGTGTTCGGGGGGATGTGAAAAGAATGGCCTTACATCAAAACCCCATTTTGCCTCAAGTTCGGCCAACTCTTCGGCAGTCCATTTCTTGTCGTCGTGATGGTGGTTGCAGCCAAGGGTCAGCCCAGCGAGGGGGAGAACTGGGAGTAGATGGTTGACTTTCATTATCGTTTACTAATTTCGCTTACTTAGGCCTCGACCATTTTCCCTAATTTAACAAGAGCCTTATTTATGGTTATACCGAGCATTTTCTTTGCATGCCACCCGACTCGATAAGCATGTGGGCTATGACTGGGCGACTCGTTTAGCGGAGCACAATCGTAACGACCTACTAAAAGAGGATATTCCAGGCTAGTCTCCCTCTGTCCTGGGCTAGGTAGTGCACTTAGGTACCTCCATTGCAGAGACAATTTTTGGCATGACAATCACATTGCTTCCTTGTGTCACATTCCGTGCCGATTACAGTTAGATTAAGCGGTCGAGGCATTTGTCAATTGAGGCATTTCGCGTCTCCCGTGCGAAACAATTGCTGATAGTGACTGCTCATCTTTGGTATTGGATCTAACGCCAGTCATCATGCCATAAAAGTCTCCCAGTTATTCTGCATCATCACATCCATCCAGTACGCAGGTCGTCCTGAACTCTCATGACGATTGTCTGTCTCCGCCCAAGTAGCCTCAACTATGTCTATACACCGCTGAATTGGGTTCTTTGGTAGAGAATGCAAAAGCAGCTGTAGTCGACCTCTCAGAAATCCCCGCGCCCGATGAACATCAGCCGCAACTAGAGCCAACGAGTTCCCCAAGCCCGCCATGGCCTGTGGAGAAGCCGACACTTCGACTATTGGAATTGTTAGTCCACTGCAGACTGCGACGATCAAGAATGGATGGAAGTCTTTGGTCCCAGATTCAGCAGGTATGGAGCGGAGGATTTCGACGGCCTTGAGCGTGAACTGTCTTAACCTCTCCTCCGCTTCGTGGGCAGATACTTGAGCAACATCTCCACCAGCATGTGAGTTCTGAAGGCTCATCCTTGATACAAGAGTGTCGGGAAAGACGTGATACAGCTGAATAAGGCCAACAAATCGATATACTTCTGCGAGGGCTGTGAGATGCCAGGTCGGTGTTTGTGAGTCGCCCGTTTGCACTATTGCGGACTCTAACGGAACCTGCAGGTTGGTGAGAAATATTTCTAATTCAGCTGCTTCATCGACCTCGCGATGTGCCTCCAGAATACTTTCCCGTGTGAGGAATTGTTTGGACATGGCACGACGACGATTTCTTCTGACCAAACGGCCGACCCTTGCGAGAGTAGTATGGATCTCGTGCGCGACTCCAGTTACAGGATGTGGTATTTGGACCACGGGGAATATTGATCTAGGTTCTGGTTCTGGATCTGCTGGTCTGATCAGAGTCAGAGTGCACTCAAAGATTGACGGTCGTGATTGCCAAGTGAACTTACAACAGTGGTAAATGCGGCGAGTCGAAAACTTCATTCTCATCCCCATCGACCACAAAAGCCAGGAACATTTCCCAGCAAGCCAAAGTATTCTCGAAAAAGGCTTGGCTTTGTCCTGTCGTCGCCATGCGACCGGAAGTCTTCAGACTCTGTACATGTTTCTTGAGACGGGGAAAGTACTCAGAACCAGTGTCGTTGACGTCGAACCAGCTAGCTGTACCACCAATCATAAATAAGGCAATCAGCGCCTGTTCATGAATTGCAGAGTCATCAAGGTCATTAAGAAGACGGATGGCTTTTTGTCGAAAGTACAGTCCGGTATGTAGCAACTGAGGATAGACATTGGAGAGAAACGATGCAGCCATGCTCTGCAATGTACAGTATATGAGCTCCGAGGATGTCCATACGCGAGAGACGGTTGACCTAAATGGGTTCATCTCGCTGTCGTATAGGGCGAGTATAGCGGCTGTGTCTTTGAAGTAGTACTCGACGAGAATGGTACTGTAATCGTTGAGAGGTCGGTCGACAACTGTCGAAGTGTAAGGCTGCGGCGTCCCAGCGACCTGCACTGGTTGAGATGAGACGCTTTGCGGTCGGTTTGTATCGATCGGTAAAGATGTTATGGGTGATGCTGAAATTTCCCTCTCTGGGTGTATTGGCTCTTTTGGGCTCAACTTCGCCGTCTCAATTGTAGGGCCAAATTCTTCTGCCATTTGCAGCAGTTCTGGAGTCTGGATTGATGTCGCAGTAGCATTGGGTATGAGACCAAACGACATGAGTTCCGGCATCATGTCTCCAAACGCTTCGTCGATCCAGCCATCACCGCCGTGGCTGGGAGAAAGGGCACAATTTCCATCCACGGCAGCAGGGTCAAATGCGGAAGAGAAGTTTGAATCCAGGAGAGCAGCTTCCGGCTGGCCTGTAATGTTGGAGTGCCTGGTCGTCGATGGCTGTAGACTCTGCTTCGTATGTGTTGTTCGCTTTTGGAGTCCGTTATCGGGACGTGCTTGGTGCTTTTGTGACCATCTCAGACGGATAATCGGCCCAGAACAGTTTATATCGAGGCGAGTACATCTGCCGCAAGACGGCCAAATCTCATCGCACTTCAACTGTCATGATGAATCTGTCAGCACGTTTGTGTATGGTCGTCTGGTATCATTACTGTATTTACCCGTTGGGACTTGCATGCGGCGCATCCACTGCGTGATCGAGCCCAGCTAGGCATTCTGAGCTTACTAGATAGTTAACTAGAAATGGCTGCCAATCATCAATATCGATGAGACTGCCGGGTTATCACGAAAGAATCGTCATGAGAGTATGTAAGAGCATGGTCAGAGCTGGCTTTGTGGGGAAGCACAAGCTAAATACCAGATTCGTGGTGACAGGTCCCTGACTCAAGACATTTAGCGTGCTCAGACTTACGCTTCAGTATCCCAGTCGCCCTGACCCACGCTATTATGTAGCGAAGCCAGTAAGTAGCCAGGAGCCTATCTTGCTATCAAGACGAGATAGCGAGGAGCGGAACTGATTCTATTAAATAAACCCATCACTAAAATAGAACCTATCCAATTGATTGATAAGGCCAGTAAATGACCTATCGGGGTGCTACTTTCATCTGCGACACACAAATAGACAAGCTATTTATTAGCTGAGAACTGTTGCCAACAGCTTACATCGACATCAGCGGTACCAGCTCATAGCCAACGCAATAGAATCAAAGGCAATTAACTGGTTCCTCAATTTCGCAACTACATAATAGATAGGGATATTCCCTGCTTCTCCATCAATCCATGGAATTCAAATGGTCCGAACATTTTTGGGTTTAGTTCAGCCCAAAACAAGTCTAGGCTTCGCTGCACGACCTCCAAGTGCCGCATCTTGTAACGCGACCTGCTGAGAAATTCCCCAAGCTTTCTGCGATAGATGTCGTCAACTACGGAAGATCCGGCGACAGCCAGGGCCCAAACTATATGGGTTGCATAAGAGGAGTTTCCAAGTTGGACAGCTGTGTCGATCACAACCTTGGCCTTTGTCTCAATACTCTCGTGATCTAATTGTTCATAGCATTTCAGAGCGCATTCTAGAAACACTGCCAAAGCATTGCGTACGACCTCACCGGCCATTATCCGCTCTGCGCTTGCTTCTGGTGACGTCCAAGACTCGATTAGATCATGCAGTGTCTCGTAGGTTGCCCAAAGTTCAAGCGACAAGGTCGGTAAGCCCAATGACTCAAACGTCAAACGTGAGAGATATAGCTTTTGTATAAGTGGTATCATCTCGAATAGAGAATGAGAATCCGCCAGCATGGACCCGAAACAAGGTGACGTTGTTAATGGACGAAGGTGATCAGTGATTGATTCAGGTAATAGGTCGTTGGTATCGATCGACTGAGTAGTGTTACAGGAGGCAAGAAATATAAATCCTTCATATGTGAAGCTCAATATCATGTCGAATTCTTGTAACTCGAGCGGAGGTCGATACCCCAGACGAAGGAGGTGCAGAAAGAGATGGTGAATAGCCTTTAGATGATGGTGCAAGGCAGTCTTTGGTGTGTTCATTAGAATCTAGTATCGTGTTATTCCTTGTCACATGTCTCAAACCTCTCAAACTGACCTCGTATTGTGACAGGAAAGAGGTGACCAACAGTAGACGAAGAATGTCAGACTTATCCTTGACTTGGTCACTGGTAATGACTTGTTGAACGCCACGTATAGCAAAGACATAGTGCTTCCGTGCAGCCATCTCCACATCAACCGCGACTTGTAATCTGAAGGACAAATGTGCACCGCTGACGGCCAGGACCGAGTGCATAAGCACGTCATCGGTCTCGGCTGGAGGAAGAACAAAAGAGATAAATGGGTTTAGAGAGGGCTTTCCCGCTGGTAGTATCACAGCTGTTTCATAGGTGTAATGTTGTAGCAGGAGTGAGGATAGGTTTGTAAGGTTGCATGCTTTGTTGTAGAAGATCCGATTGTTGTCGTTTGGAAGGGTGAGAGCTTCATTTCTGGGACGAGTCTGAAGGGTGTCGGGTTGTTTATCTTGAAGCCAGATACATATTATCCCATTACGTCGACAGGCACTACACCACGGCTTGGTCTCATCGCATTTCTTCTTTCTTGAACGACAGGTGAGGCATCCCGTTTTGGTGCGACGTTGCCAGACTCGGAATGTCGTTGGATATCGAGGAGTTTCCCGGGATGAGAATTGCCGGTCTAAGGAAGCTTGGGTCATGTCCATCATCCAATAGTGAATATCTGGTCATTAAAACCCCTTTCAAAATGGCAAAGAATTAGAGACGAGAGTCTGAGAACAGAAGGGAAAAGGTTGTTAGTCCGGCGACCCGCAGGTGGAACATGGCACTAGAGGTTCTTATCTTATCGAGCCGCGCTGCGGGGAACACTTCTGTGTCTTCATTGGCAGTCCTTGTGCGCTAAACTAAAAAGGCTTAGACGATGGAGACCATTGAGGGCTGGTAAGTAACCAACAAGCTTCACACGATAGCGGCTCGATAACAGCATGTAACTCCGAAGTTCATGAAAGAACCACCATGAAATCTATAAAAGATTTAGTACTTTCCATCCCAATAATGCCAATCCAAAATCGCTTCTCATCCAGATCTACTTGCAAAATGGCACAAAACTTCCAAGTCGTTATTGTTGGCGCCGGACTGAGCGGTCTCCGAGCTACAAGAGAAGTCCACAATGCTGGCCTGTCTTACATCGTCCTTGAAGCAATGGACCGCGTAGGAGGCAAGACCTTGTCCGTTCAGGCTTCTGACGGTAATGGTGTCGTTGATCTTGGAGCATCCTGGATCAATGATACAAGCCAGTCTGAGATCTACAAGCTGGCCAAAGAGTTTGGCTTCGATCTTGTTGAGCAGCGTACAGAGGGGAGTAGTCTTTACAGAGATGAAATGGGGCAGGTCCATTGCATCCCTTTCGAGATGCCAGCAAAAGTGAGTTTGTCATGTAACTTTGTGAACAAGTCTGACCATGCATAGCTTGAGCCGAAACAGCTCAAGGAAGTTGAGCAGTTCATGCAGATTCTGTCGGATTATGCTGAAAGATGTGACATCGACGATCCTTCTAACGTTCCAGACGCAAAGTACCTTGATTCCGTGACAGTCGCAGAATTTATCGCGGGTTTCAAGGATCCCAGTGCTTCACCCCTCGTCAACAGCATCACGCGCAGCTTACTCGGTGTTGAAAGCGACGAACCCAGCGCTCTGTTCTTTCTTGACATATTGAAGAGGGGTACAGGTCTGAAGAACGTCATCTCTGACTTCAAGGACGGGGCCCAGTACCTTCGTAATCGGCAGGGTAAGCTTTGTCAGCCATTTGCCGCAGATTTGACTAACGATATGTATAGGCAACCAAGCATTCTGCGATCGTCTTGCTGCTGGACTCAACTCAGGCAGTGTGAAGATCTCAAGCGCAGTGAAGGCCATCACGCAGAAGGAAGGCGAGGACTGCCTAGTTGAGACTATCAATGGCGATGTCTACAGAGCAAACAGAGTCATCGTGTCAGTGCCGACCCCATTATACCCTCTCATCCACTTCGAGCCAAGTCTGCCACCAGCCAAGAAAAAGCTCGGCGACTCTGCCAAATCAGGATATTACATCAAAACAATCCTTGTATATGCAGAGCCATGGTGGCATTCTGCAGGTCTCTCAGGCGTGTATAGTTCCACCGATGGGCCAGTCGTCTTCACGCATGATACTTGCATTCCGCAAGATGGTCAATATAGTATAACTTGCTTTCACGCTGGCGATCCAGGGAGGAAGTGGTCGAAACTACCAGCTGAAGAACGAAAACAGGTTGTATTGCAAGACATCTGCACTGCATTTGGCACTGTTGTGGATAATATACCGGAACCTATCAATGTCATTGAGAAAGACTGGACGAAGGATCCTTGGGCTCAAGGCGGACCTGGTCCTGTTTGGAGACCTGGGTTCTTGGCGGGTGAGTCTGGAAAGGCGATCGCTGAGCCGTTTGGGAATATTCATTTTGTTGGGACAGAAACGTCTTCGGTTTGGAGGGGATACATGGATGGAGCCGTGAGATCGGGTATCCGAGGAGGCCAGGAGGTTGTGACGTCCCTTGACAAGGTATTTGGCTCAAGTTCCTGATAGCAATATTGTCAAAGTACCTGAGTTCCAGGCTTCCGCCTTGGGATTGGAGAAAAAAAAGTCATACTTAGCCATGGTTCTTTCATGAAGAACGGCACTGGCAGCCTGACCTCGTGAATGCCATTCATCGGCATTATTCTGCCTAGTGCAAGCCCACACATGGCATTTAACCCTAAAATCCTTATTTTCAAAGTAACGCGAGGGGCTGATGAAACTGATGGCAATCACAACAGTTCAGTTGGTCCTTGCATGCAAGGCAATCAGGATGGCCTAAGGCTGCACGAAGGTGAGCGACAATTGTTTTTCCGGATTCCGCTTCCAATTACCATCAGGAATTCTGCACATTATTCGGTGCTAGGCATCAGCCCGCCTCTCCTAAATCCTCTCCCAAAAGTCGCTGCCATGACCACGCAAAGTTCTGAGCTAAATGGTGTTACTAACTCATCTTCCGTCTGGGGTGACTTCGTAGACTCAGATGGCGAGTGTGACGTCGAAGATGCGTGCAAACCAATCAACCGATATGAGGAGGGACTCTACCTTCCCATCTGCATCGGTGAAGTTATCGCGGGCAGATATCGAATTGAGCACAAGCTAGGTCATGGCGGATTCTCAACTGTCTAGCTGGCCTACGACATGCACAAGAGAAAGGACGTCGCCCTCAAAATCATGACAGCCGACCCCGGGGGCGAGCGAGAGTTCCTTAGGCAGAATGAGATCATCAGTTGTGTGCCAGACACGTCACGTCTCTTGATATACCATGACACGTTCTTGTTGCCCGGCGCCGCCAGAAATCCCCATCGAGTCCTTGTTTTCCCCCTCAAGGGCCCCAATCTGAGAGATTACGCCCGGGAGACGTCTACAATTGTTCGGAGATCAGCTGCCAAGCAGCTGCTCCAAGCACTCAAGACACTGCATGATGGTGGAATGGTACATCGAGATTGGTCCTAACTCCTCAACGCTAATCTCCAGACAAACTGATCACGCTTGACAGACCTCAACAGCGCCAACGTGATGTTTGGTATTTCCTCATTTGAGATTGGTGCTGATTTAACCACCAAGTATCAGATTCTTGGTCGCCCTCAGAAAATAGAATTGCCCACGGACCATGAGATGTGGAAGGATGGGCAACTGGTTGCACCAATGACTCCAAAGGACAGCTTTTGTTGTTCAAAATATCATCGCCATTCGATCTGGCACTGAAGTAGACTTCAAGCTTTAGGTACCTGTCGGATACTGCGCGCCTGAGCGTATGCACCAGATAAATCCGACTTTCGCATCTGATATGTGGAGCTACATGTGTATCTTTACTGAGCTTTACCTCAAGTGGCCTCTCTTCGGCCCTGGCTTCTTCGGTGGTGGATTTCGCTTTGTGGCTGAACTTTTTGTCAGAGTGCTGGGCCCTCTGCCTCTCTCGTGGAAAGGCTCATACGACGGCGATGGAGAACCAGATGAGAGCTGGTACGATCAGAGTAAAGTCTCGGAACCAGAAATGTCTTTGGAATCAAGAGTCACTCAATCTCGGGATACTGTTGAGCCTGCTGAGCAACAGCTGGTGCTCTCTATACTACGACGGGGTTTTTCTTATTTGCTTGAGGAACGGTTGAGTGCAGGAGAACTTCTGGAAGATGCCTCATTCAAGGCGCTTATGGACAGGTATGGAGTTTACAGATTGCAAACGGTAATAGTTCACATACCTTTTATTTCACACCAAAGTCTTGTCCATGCGGGCTGCTACAGTTAAAGATCAACTCGTGGCTTGCAGGGCGTTTTGCGAGCTGTCGACAATGGTGCCGGGAGAACCCGTACAAGCTTATCTATAAATAGCGACATACAAAAATTGGGTCAAAGGACGGAGAATTTAGAAAGTCTCGGAGCTTGGCTTTAGCCAAGAAAACCGAAGCTTTGGGACACAAAATTGGCACGCATTCAGATTGATAGAAATGACCGTGCTTGCCTGCAGGCGATAGAAGTATCGCCAGGACCATGCTTGAACAGATGTCTCTCGTGGGGGAATATGCATGAAATTGCCATTGAGTTTTGAATCTGCTAACGTTAGTAGCGACATAGCGGCGCTCGTGATACACGGCCATTTAAATGGACCCTGCTAACTGGTTCTAACAATCTTTGTCCTAATTTTCTGCAAACTACCCTATGCTAAAGATTTGCATAAGAATCATTCTTGCAACCATACTTACAGTAACAATCAGGCTATAAGGTTAATTATTGCATTGAATTCACAAGCGAGCTCGATGCGGGGATGGCGATTTGTAGTCCCAATCTGGCATGTTCTCCATGATCGATATCACAATGAGAAATTCCAGTAACCTCGCAATGTTGCAATGTGTGGAGTCGATGAAACTTTATGCTCGCAGAAAGAAACCGGAACAAACGTACCGAGGAGATATACAGTAAACGAATGGAACCACATCATCCATGTTCTATAGATATAGGCCTGATGTTAATATCACCGACGCATAAGCGACAAGACACCGTTGACGTTCCAAATGATGGTTTGCCGATTGCGTTGAATGGTGACATTTCATCGTAGAGCACCTGAGATCTAATAGCTGCATCTATAAAATACCACTCCACGTTACACTGTTCCTCGCCTAGTCTTCGCCTACAAACTCTCCTCTTCGGTTGGACGCAAGGGACTCAAGGCCCTCAAGTTCTAGAACCTTGATTTATCCAATCCCAGAACAGCATCCAACTGCCGATCACTGCTAAACAAAAATCAACGATATGAGACAGCTTTTAACTTTAGCATTGCGTGATCAAAAAGCAAAAAACCTAAACTCTTGTTACAACAGTCCACAAGTCGGCGCAGTTGATGTCCGTGAATCCGATGGCTTGAATGCCCTGTTAGTTCCATGCATAAGTGAAAACCTTCTTGTCTCCCCCTCCCATCAACACGGCTCACCCATCCTTGCAAAATGCAACCCCTGAGTTGCTTCTGCCGGGTGGTACTCGATCTGAATGGTCAGTTGGCAGAGCTTCCTCCGCGGTTACCGGGACGTTCCATTTATCGCAATCCGTATTCCGGATCATCCCATGATACGTGAGATGCATGTCGCTTAGGGTGTACGAGATCGATTGGTGCTGAAGCGAAGGAGTCGAGATTTGAGTGCTAACTCGATTTAATACTCTTGACCGAGGACTTTGTTTCTGTTAGTCAGTTTTAACATGTGCCGAATCCACAGCGTTGGAGGCTTAATTTTCCTTGACGGGCCTTTTATATACAGCTTCTAGAAGTGAACTAGACGACCCCATAGATTAGCAATGGAATCGTAAGCTTGGACGGAATGTCATTCCAGTGGGATAGACTTTGCACTGACAGGTCTGCTATTCCCTGCTAGGCAGCCGCGTCGGCCGCGGAAAAAATCCAAGGGTACGAAATCTACAGGGCTGTTAGTAATAAAGTTTAAGCAGTGTAAACTCTGATTACAGGAGGTAGCATATTAATTCGTGCCCAATATATTTCTCTGGGGAAACTCGTCTCGGTTAAATGCGTGAAACACAACCGACACTCGTAATAAAGTATATACATAATGCATTACAGATATTCTCAACCAGCAAGTGAAGAGAGAAGAGAAAAGGTGTTGTAATGGCCCCTGTAGCTTACATGGTACGATGAATGGAGGATGCCGAAACGCGGCTCACCTCCCTGTTACGCGGAAGCGAAAGGGGCAAAGGATCGGCAGTTGAGGTCGAGGCCTTTGAAGAGCCCTTGATTGGTGTTCCGACCCCAGATCGACATAATCCGCCGCACGGAACGGCTGTTGATCCCGCCCCACCCAGCGAAGGATTTACCCATCTTGGCTTTGTGATCCCACACAAAGTCCGAAAAATCATGAGGTAGCGCAAGGATGTGCCCTGAAATGAAAGAAAGCCTCAACGGCTTAGAGGCAAGTAAATCTCCGGGTTCTTCAGGCACTGAAGGAACTTTGATGCAGGGGTTAAATCAAAGGATGAGATCCTGTGAGCAGGAGAGTTAATGCCAACCAACACTGTTGCGTGTTCTGGAGTTGACCTGTAAGTTTAACATGGCATGGACAAGAGGGACTCGGTGGTTTCTTATCGAGTCCTGATATGCCCGGTTGAGATAAGTTGTCTCCCGAAACACATGTCTTATACGCAGGGTGGAAAAAACAAGGGAGTGCATGGTCCCAGTCGCATCATTGCGTTAATTAGATATCAGTGACATAAACAGTCAGAAGCTTTATCACCCTAATCCACCCCAATTTTCAGTCTTGCGGCTTTGCTTTCATGTGTTTGATCTGTAATTCATCAATTTCTCACAAATCGTCGAGATGCTTTTACCTCGTGAGCATGAGACGCCGTTTAACAAGGCGCCTGTTATTCGGGCGCTCTCGATGATTCTCATGATTGTTACTATGTTCTCGGTATTTATTCGTGTTCTTACACGGATTGCTACGATGAGGAGATTACGATGGTCGAGTCTGTTCAAGTCAGATGATATTCTGATCTTTGTGTCGATGGTGAGTATCTAATTAAGTTTTGATCGCTGACGATCTCTGGACTGACATTTTAGATCTTTGTGATTGCACAATCGGCGGTCGTTTATTCACAGGGCGCAAATGGGATGGGAAAGCTAGATGTGTCTTCTAGCCAAATATCGCTGATTCTGAAGGTGAGTTCGACGGCACATAACTGCGACTGGTCTGACGGCGGTATCAGGACCAACTCGTATCGGACATTCTGTTTTATCTCGCATTAGCTTTCTCCAAGATTTCAGCCACGACGACCGTTGGAAATATGTCACCACTGTCTCACAAACGAATACTGCCGATTCAAATCATCATTGTAGGCTGGGCCGTTTCTGCGATATTTGTGCGAGCATTCGCATGCTCGTTACCGTCATCTTGGGACTACATCAGCGGTTCATGCGTCGATCTGGTGGCATTCTGGGCATACGTCGATGCTGTCAACATTATCACCGATCTTCTCATCACAGGTGTCACCATCGAAATTCTCGTGCACCTGCAGATGCCAGTTGGCACAAAAGCAATGGTCGTTGGCGTTTTCGGCTCACGCATTCTGTAAGTCATCTACGCCACGCATCCACACAAACTAACAAGTCTCAGGATGATCCCTCCCGCCGTGTCTCACATCTACTTCTTCAAACAAGCTCTCGATTCATCCACACCGATCTTCACAATGTGGAAGCCCACCATCATCGTACAAGTGATCCAGTGCGTCGGTATCACCACCACCTGCATACCCTTCTGGTGGCGCTTCCTCAAGAGTCTCGAATCAGGCCAGATGGGTGCCGGCGATATCTTTGGCGCACTCAGCAAAAGCAACAATAGCAAAAGTGGCGGGACGACTAGAGGGACGGGGAACAAGTCTAGGTCTAACCACACGCTGACGTCTGGGTCGCAGGCTTTCGAGCTGACGAGCAGGCAGGGGGATGTGAAAAAGTTTGCGCATATTGTGACGGATCATGGGAAGGGAGGCTCGTGGGATGCGGCGCGGCAGAATAGCCAGGAGGCCCTTGTTGATCCCTCTGCTGGGGTTGTTCAGTGACCACTCGGATCTTAATTGCAGGTACGTGCGGTAGGTACCGGTGTTCTCTTTAGCAATGATAATTCATGGATCCCGGTGCCGTTGGGCGGGCCGAACCCTTGTAATAAAGTGGGATGGTTTAATGGTGTGGCGCAATGCATGTCCCTAGCGTACCTGGTGAAGATAACAAGGGTCAGAGTCAAGACCTCAGTCCACTCGTTCGTAGTTTCATCCTACGCGATATGCATGTCTCATGCAAGTTGGGAATACCTCCCCTACTCGGCTGTAGCGCCAACAGGTGGTTCTACTCGCGTTCCACCTGTACCGTTACCACGAGTGATATACCGTCAGGGATAGGATATGCAAGTTCGCCGAAACTGTTTGTCATATCTGACAGGCATGGGGGGTTGTATTTAACTTTTTGCTGCAGACGGAGTTTCTTTTTAAACTTTCCCCAACTCCCCCCGATTTTGAGGGTCATTTATTTGCAGCGCAGACTGCATACTTTCTTTTTGTAATAACGAATCTGACCCATTTTGAGGGCGATCAATATGGCTACTCAGTACGAACTCAACGATATGGCTGCTGCGAAACATCCCCGATCGACGGTTGAAGATGCTTCGGAGTCCAGTGATCAGGATCACATGGACAACGCGCAGTTGGCGAAGCTCGGAAAGAAATCAGTCCTCAAGGTATGCAACAACAATTGACCCTCTTGAAACCCAATTGACACAATATAGAGAAACTTTGGAGGCTGGACAATTCTAGGCTTCAGCTGCGCCGTCCTCGTCACCTGGGAGGGAACCCTCATGAACTTCGCTCCCGGTCTCAGCAATGGAGGCAGCGCGGGTCTCATCTACGGTTACATCTTTGTCTGGATAGGAGTTCTCAGCTCCTTCGCCTGTCTCTGCGAACTCGTCTCGATCGCCCCGATGGCTGCTGGCCAGTACCACTGGGTCGCCATGCTTGCGCCTCCACGATACGCGAAATATCTTAGCTACATCACGGGATGGATGAACTTGGCAGGGTGGCAGGGTACGTCTGCTGCTGCGGGTTTCCTTACTGCTACCATGATTCAGGGTCTTGTTATTTTTACGACTCCGTCTTATGAGGCGCATACGTGGCATGGTAGTTTGATGATTTGGGCTTGTGTCCTGGTCGCTATCATTATTAACACTGTCGTCAGCGCTTTGCTTCCGATTTTGGAGGGAATGATCTTGATCTTGCATCTTATCGGCTTCTTTGCTATTCTCATCACTCTTCTTGTCTTTCGCGACAACGATAATGGCACTGAAGTCTTTACCGAATGGCGCAACTCGGGCAATTGGCCCACTCAAGGTCTTTCATGGTTCGTTGGACTGTTGGGCTGTGTATTCTCATTCACCGGTAAGTCTTGATCCCAACATCAATTGCTCAGTCAACTAACGCGCACCAGGTGTCGACTGCTCCTTTCACGTAAGGACCACCACTCGCAATCGATGTTTATGTTACTAACCATTTCGCAGATGTGTGAGGAAGTCAGAAACCCTTCTTTGATCGTCCCCCGCTCCATCATGGGCAGTATCACCATCAACGGTCTTCTCGGCTTTGGCATGGTCATCGCCATGCTTTACTCCGCAACCGATATTGACGCTGCCATCGAGACACCAACTGGTTACCCCTTCATGGAGATCTTTTACCAAGCCACTGGATCAAAGGGCGGAACCGCCGGAATGGTGTCACTTATTATCGTCATGACCCTTTCTGCTACCGTTGGTGTCATTGCTTCGACATCACGTATGCTCTGGGCGTTTGCTCGTGATAATGCTCTGCCTTTCTCACCTATCCTCTCAAGAGTACGCTCAAATGTCTCATCTGTAGGAACCAACTAACAAATCACAGGTCGAGAGCCGCACCAACATGCCTGTTTGGTCCATCACGATCACCTGTCTCATCTCCTGCATTATCGGTCTCATCAACCTCGGTTCATCAGTCGTCTACAACGCCATCATTTCAGTCGCCATCTCCGGCCTTTACGCATCATACTTCATGCCTGCGATTCTCCTCCTCTACCGTCGCTGCGATAAGAACTATCAGATCAGGAACATCCACGGCGACGGCCAAATTCTCGAATGGGGTCCTTGGCACCTCAAGGGCATGTTTGGCATCATCAACAACACCTTTGCCTGCATGTTTATCAGCATCGTTTGGTTCTTCAGCCTGTGGCCTCCCCAAACCCCCGTCGATGCTAAGAGCATGAACTATGCCTCTCTCATGACTGGCGGCATTGGTATCCTCGCTAGTATTTACTACTTCCTTCGTGCCAACAAGGTTTACGTGGGACCTAAGAAGGAAATTTAAATAGACCCAGTGCGCATGGAGCCTAATAACACCTGCTCCGATTCTATCATTGTCTAATAGCTCTATAGCAAAAGTTTGTCTACACTGATATTATAAAATACATTATTTCCAAGGCATGATCGTCAGTTCGGGCCATAACTTTATCCAACGCTGTACTTTCTTGTGGTATGTCTCTTCTGTCATGATCATCTGATTCGGGCGCACCGTGAGTCTGAACATATCCGAGAATCCCCATGGCGCAAAGATATCCCATTCTCCATCCTCTCTCAGTCGAACGCCGATAAGCGCAGTGTTGGTCCCCCAAGTAGTCATAGATGCCTCACTAGAGCGATGTTGAGGGCACGGTTTGCCAAACTTCTTCTCGTACCAGAGATGCACGCGTGCTTGATTGCGGATCTCAACTTCAGTAGGAATATCCGCAAAGATCTTCTTGCCAGCCTGAATGACAGCATCTTCAGCCTCCCATGATAAATCCGCGTCGTCAAAATAGATCAGGTCGTAGTCGTCAATGCCTAGTTCTGGGTCGCGGTCTGTGACGACGTTCCAGACGGTTTGCGTGAGTGCACCAGCGGCGAGGTACCAATTGGGGAGTTTCATTTCAGCGGCACGCGACAGGACGGTCATGAGTGTCTTGTTGCATTCTATTGCTTGACGAAATCGAGCGATTTGCTCATTGATTGGAAGGAGAGCGGCGTCCATTTTGTTTGTAGAGTTGAGGTTTAACGGTCTGGGAAGGATGAAAAGTTCACGCTTGATCGCGGCTCAAGGTGAGACCACTGCACGTGACATGCATCATCTTGCATCGCGTTTAGGCAGCAAATCGAGATGGCCATAAATGATGAGAAAAAGATCACAAGCTCTGATTATAACATCTATATCTAATGCAATTTATACTATTCTAAGCTCATGGGAGGCTGACTAGCAAGTCTCGAAGCTTGGGAAACTTGGGTGAACCCATTCCCGAGACTGGATCCCATCCCTTGGCCGCCTTGAACCCTGCCGTGCCGCAACCAGGATTAGATCCTTCAGTGATCTGCCAATGTTAGATATTTTCTCATTTGTTTAGGATCTTGTCGACTTACATCAGTGAAAACTTCAGGATGCTGATACAGAATCTGGTTCAAGAAGCCAATTGGTTTCTTTCCCGCCAGCAATCGCTCATCATTGATTCTGTTAATCATAGCAGCAAACATGGGAGCAGCAGCGCTGGTTCCTCCACTGATAGTGGTCTTGCCATCCTGGAGGAGAGTGACATTTGCTCCCAGAAGCGCGACATCAGGAATAGCGCGTCCCGAAATGTTGTATGTTCCCTTGGGGTAGTGAGGGCTGTTAGCGGCGAGATAGCTAGCGACAGCTTTGCGCTGGTAGGCTGGCTGTGCATTCATATTACTGAAACCGCCTAGGCTATGTCAGTAAGAGCTAGTGATCTGAGGAGGATACTCACCTCCGGAGTAAAAGTTGTGCTTGGGATCATAAACAGCAACTTCGTTGGTTCTGCTGCCCGTAAAGTTGACTTGTGTCGCTCCAACTGCTGTCACATATGGACAAGATCCAGGGAAGAGAGAGTTGAAAGCTTCCTTCTTCTTATCGTAAGGGTTCACGGTACACTGCGTAGCACCTTGAACACCACGATCTCCAGAAGCCACAAGAACACTGACACCACTGAGAGCCAACTTCATCCACTCGTGACACTGACGTTGGATGTAACGACGAGGTAGAGTTTGTTCATCAATTGCGAAGGAGATTGAAACGACGTTTGTAACCTGGTACTTGCCGCACATAGCAGGGCCTTGGAAGCCACCAAAGACAGGGAATGTAGGATCAAGATCAGGATCATCGCCTCCATCATACTTGCAGTAGCTTGCGTCAACAGCGTCGAGAAAGTCATTTGCAATACCTCCTTTGTTGCTATAGGGGGTCTGGAACATGGTAACGGTCTGGGGGTAAACGATTGGATACGACATTTCGATGTCGAGTAACTCTTCGCCTTCGACGGGCTCACCTTCTGCCACGGCACCATTGATGCTCTTGACTTTAGGTTTTGTTCCCTTGGGGATGAATGGAGCGTGCTTTGCCCAGAATTGGTTGAGATCAGCTGGCTGATACGGGTCACCATATCCAAATAGACCCATGGAGTTATTCTTAGCTGCCTTAGTTCCAAGAGGAACGCCGTAGAGCTCTGATGTCGCCAGTTAGTAGGAAGCGGTGACTTCTTGCATTTGACTTACTTCGGATACAAGCTGGAGTCCAGCTTTCGCTACAATTGCGCAGATCATCTGCTACTGGGAGCTTGTATGGCGGTGGCAGGGTATCGATGACGGGTTTAACTGCATGGCTGCGCTTGGTCTTGCCAGTCTTCTGAGATGGGGCCAAAGCAATGAACTCAACATCGTCTTCAATCGCAGATGGAACTGCGTGGTCGGTAGGTTCGAGGCGAAGTTCACCAGTCGCATCGTTGTGCATAACATGAACGCCAGCTCCGAGCATCTTCCCAAGCTGCTTGACTGGAGCTGAGAACTCTAGGACAGCAGCTGCCTTCTTAAGATGCACTGAGGATAAGTCGATACCTGCATCCTCAAGCCAGCGCAGAACCTTTCGCTGTGAACCCTCGCTGGGTTTAAAGAAGTCTTGCTATAAGTTTGTCAAAATGGGCAACTCCGGAGCAGATTGAAGAAGAACGTACGACTTCCCTGAGCTCAAGATAGTGCCCAAACTTCTCTGAACTAGGATCCGAGATATCCATCAACAAAGCTTCAGCTTCAGCAAGCTTAGGCTGATGGAACGCGACAGCAGCGCGAACCACTTCGTCTCCAGACACGGCTTTCCATTGCGATTGAGGAAGGGCACCGACGATCTGCGCGCTCAGAAGCGCGACAAATGCTGTGTAACAGTGCATTGTGATATGAACTCGCAGCAACGCGCTGATTTCATGAAGAATATCCAGATACAGACTTCTGTAAGTCGAGAAGTCTTGGCAGGTCAAGAATCACGAAAGTAAAGGGGAAACATTTTGTAGTTCGATGAAATCGGCTAGAACGGTCGGACCCAGTTCCTGGTTTCAAAACCTCGTATTTGAGCCGGAACTAATTTTAGATGGTTCTCGTGATCGTAAAAAGCATAGCGTTGATGATAACAGACTAGTTAACCTATAGCGTCCGCAAATGGAAAGATCAGTTAACTTTTATCTGCTAATGCTTCGTATTTCCTCTTGACCTTCCATTAATGTCAATGCGTCAGTGTCGTTCAGACCGGAACCACCGCAACAAAGACCGCTCGGTCAAATACGGCTGTTCTATCAGTTCTAGGAGAAGAAGGAATCGAGTTGCATTCGGGAATAAGTCCATTGAGCCTTGTTATCAACATCCAAGGGGAAATCTCTCTTAAACGCAACTTTAGATGTGAGGACATAGTCTGAGTTGCTCAACATGCCGGTCTTGAATGAGCCATGGAAAAGGCTTGAGAGCATTCAGTGAGCACAAACAGAAGCTTCAAATAGATCTAGTCACAGGTGCAGAGCCGATCTGGCGAGCATTCACTGCAATGGGGCCTAGGAACTGACCTCGCGAACCTTTTCTGGGCTTCGCATGTCGATTTGCAGGGTTAGTGTAATATACCTTCGCTCGGCCCTTTCTATGCCGAGACTTCCAGAATGCTTCTGTAATGCCCCCAACAGACAAGGTTATACGCGGGGAAGCTGGTCTTTCTTTTAGCCTAATATGCGGATATAGTATATTCATTGTATACGCTATGTCAATAATCCATTTGCCACATGTCGTTCAAAGAACTTCTAGTCAATTAGCTGTTCTGAGCTCAATCAAGGCCGGGTAATGGCTTGACCAGCAGCCAACTGTTCAGCGATCTTCTTAGCCAAGATTTGGTGAAATCCTTGTGTTGGATGAGCGCCGTCGATATACATGTACTCCAACGCATTGTATTCACAATTTTCTGACTTGAAGTCTGGCGTAATCGTACCACTATTATTTATTAGTCTAGATCATGGCAAGAAGTTTAGTAGGCTGCTTTACCTCTTGTAATCTGCACAAAATCCCGTACTCTTGTACACCGCGGTCTCGGGAAATTGAGTCGGATCTTCCGTGACAGCAGTGATCAATGGGACAATGTCAAACAAGAAAAAGGTGCTGTGAGGCAACTTGCGGTCGAGCTGTTTCAAGAGTTTGTGGAGCTGCTTGTTCCAATTTTCAGATGCTGCCTTGAGAGTTGGTGCAATGGGCTTTGGGACGTTATTCGGGAAAAGAGACTGCGGCGGCGTCGAGATGAACAGAAACTGGCGAGCACCGTGGCCGTGTAGGTCAGTTGTAAGCTCGCTTAGGCGCTCCATGATTTTGATGACCGTCTCATCCTGGTCAGCGTCATTGATGGTGCGGTATATATCGTTGATGCCGATAAATACTGTATACAGCGTACGCTTTGGTGGAAAGAAGTTTGGTTGTTGTTGTTGTAAATATGCGTCAAATCTATTGACCTGGGTGACTACGTCACTTGGCCCAGTCTTGACAATATTGACATCAGTGACAGCGCCACCGACAGCCATATTATATAGCAATACGGATGACTGATTATACTGTGTAGTCAAGTACATGGGCCACATTTTGCCATTGGAGCTTGTTTTGCCGATATTTCCGAATGGGTTGGAGACGGAAGGCTGAGCTCCAGAGGTATTGAATCGAGTGTCCGTCCATGAATCACCGCTAATTGCATAGTCAGACTTATAACAACTAGAAGTAGCGGACTGTCAATAAACTTACAAAGACACAATTTTGTTAATCTTAGAAAAGTCAAACTTCTGAGAATGTTTATCCAATGAAGGCGCTGCCGCGATAGTATGCAGCGTACTGGCAAGGGAGACCAGACCGAGAAGCTTCATCTTGGAGGCAGAATTGACAACAATGGGACTAAAGACAGTGCCTAGATGCCCGGAGAGTTTATAACAAACCTGGGGTCTTGCAGGACTTAAAATAGGAAGCCATTTCTTGAATCTCGGTGGTCAATCCCCCGAAGACCAGATTGGCATATTTCCAGAATGCGGAACATTTTGGGGGTGAATGGTGCTAACCCTATATGCCGGCTGTGGGCATAGTTAAGACAAATACTAATCAATTAGGTACCATGCGTGTGGGTTTGTCTATGATAAGGATATTTACATCGAAGCCTAGTGGCTGAAAGTGTATATTCGCCTTATAGCAATATACAACGGACAGCACTAGGACCAACAGTTCAAGGCCTCTGGGACACTCTCCCGGCTACCAAATAAGGTGCCCTGAGTCCCTGACTAAGGCAAAAAGTTAGTGGGAAGCTTAGTTGGAGTAGGTGGAGTCTAGCGGGGAGCAATGCCGGGCCAAAGGAATCAACTGTGACGACAGCTATCTCAACTCAATCGGAGGCTGAACTCAGCATCATGATATCCAGTCTCCAAAATAAACGGAGATTAGATAAAGCCCATCTTGGAGATCCATGAAACCCAACGGTGACACGAGCATCAATGTCTCTGATAACTCACTCCGATAGGCTCCAACGATAACGGTTATCGGCCCCGCCAACACTGATAAGCCGTCACAAGACACTCTCCGTGGTAGAGTGCGGGGTAACTGTCGGTCTGTCCCGAACGGAGGCGACCGCTCTTTGCTCCTATATCGGGAAGGTTTCCGCCTCATTATATCATTCTATCCCTTCTTCGTTTCTTCCATCAACAACATCCATCTCAAAAATGCCTTCAACATCAATCTACCAGTCTGTTATTTATCCCGGCAACCACGAAAAGTTGGACAAGCCTAAGGATACGCAGAATTTCATCGACAACAAACTCGTCTCTTCGAAGACGTCGTCATGGATCGAAGTTCATGACCCTGCGACAAACAATGTCATCACGCGTGTTCCTGAGAGTACCAACGATGAACTTCAAGAAGCAGTGAAATCAGCCAAGGCTGCGTTTCCGGGATGGAAGAGGACGAGCATTATTAAGCGTCAGCAAATAATGTTCAAGCTGACGCACTTGATCCGGGAGCATATGGATAATCTTGCGACAAGCATCGTCACGGAGCAAGGAAAAACTTTTGCTGATGCCAAGGGCGATGTTCTTCGTGGACTGCAAGTTTGTGAGACAGCTTGCGGAATCACTACTCAGCTCGGCGGGGAAGTCCTCGAGGTTGCCAAGGACATGGAAACACGCTCCTACCGAAACCCATTGGGTGTTGTTGCAGCCATCTGCCCCTTCAATTTCCCAGCTATGATTCCATTGTGGTCTCTTCCTGTAGCGACCGTCACTGGAAACTGCATAATTGTCAAGCCATCGGAGCGTGATCCGGGTGCGGCTATGATGATTGCAGAGCTTTGCAGAGAAGCTGGCTTTCCACCTGGCGTCGTCAACGTTGTCCATGGATCAAAGGACACCGTGAACTTCCTTCTTGACGAACCTGAGATCCAAGCTATTTCCTTCGTGGGATCCAACAAGGCTGGAGAGTATATCTACCAACGAGGATCAGCAAACGGAAAACGCGTGCAAGCAAACCTCGGAGCAAAGAACCATGCTCTTCTGAGCCCAGACGCCAACAAGGATCACGCCCTTGATTCAATTGCTGGAGCTGCTTTTGGTGCCGCTGGACAGCGATGCATGGCGTTGAGTGTTTTGGTCACTCTTGGAGACGCGAAGCAATGGTTGCCAGACCTTGTCGCGAAGGCGAAGAACCATATCGCTGGCAGCGGCTTTGACTCAAAGTCGGATTTTGGACCTTTGATCACTCCTCAGAGTCGCGATCGCTGCAATGCCCTCATTACAAGCGCTGAGAAGGACGGTGCGAAGATTCTTCTTGATGGTCGAGGATACAAGCCTGAGGGTTTTCCTGATGGCAACTGGGTGAGTTTACCGTGATTCACATACGATCGAGTCGCTAACATAGTCCAGGTCGGCCCTACAGTCATCTCCGGCGTCCGTCCTGACATGGAATGCTACAAGGAAGAAATCTTCGGCCCTGTCCTCCTCTGCATGGAAGAAGAAACTCTCAAAGACGGCATCGATCTCATCAACTCCAACGCCTGGGGTAACGGAGCAGTCATCTTCACAAACTCTGGAGCCAAGGCATCTCTCTTCCAACAAGAAATCGACGCTGGGCAAGTTGGCATTAACGTGCCGATCCCAGTTCCCCTGCCCATGTTTTCTTTCACAGGAAACAAGCGCAGTGTGGCTGGAACTGGTCTTGCCAACTTTTATGGAAAAGACGGATTGAGGTTTTATACCCAGTGGAAGACTGTTACTTCGCTTTGGAGGGCAGATGAGGCGAGCACAGGAGAGAAGTTGACGAGCATGCCTACCAATTCTTAGGTGTATGTTTCGGTGGTTTATCAGGGCAAACAGTGCTTATCTAGACTTCAATCAAATATTTCCCAGGAAACTCATAGATACTTTGTGACGCGCAGATTCGGAGTCAGTAGCGAATACTGGGGAGCCTGGAGAGCTGAAAATACCCCTGTCCGTGGCTGCATACTCATTGCAAAGCATTGGCTCAGAGCATCCGTCACTGCAGGGATTAATCGAGGCCATCCTGTCAGCAAGCACAATCCCCTCAATGCCTTTCTTCTACTTCCTTTCACAACCATCCGGTTATTGAACCCGGCTGATCAAATATTCTACTTCGCTTCTCTCGCGCCAGCACTATGGTTAGAAATCACCCTCAGGATCCCTTCCAGCGTCGGAGTCTTGTTGATAGAATCTCATCTTCTTACGCAATTCAATCGCAGCTTATCGGCGCTATCCATGGACGCATAAGTCCAAGAACCGAAAAGCCAGCCACGCTATTAGTCTTGTCGTTCAGGTTTTTACCTCACAGGAGAAATGTCCGGATAAAATCAGTAAACATCAGTGTTGAATTCTACGGAGATGATAGCTGTCCCACTATCTCCTCAATGGCGCCTGACGGCAAGGTCGATGCTGTAAGTTAGCCCCCGGCATGACCCCGTATCCTGTGCTGAAGGTCTTACTATCCAAAGCTCAAGAATACCATTGAAGAGACCACGGTGAATGCCAACGCTGGGATTGGCATTGGTGATGGCCTGGGCCTGGAATTAGGGAGAAATGTCTTGGTAGAGAGAACTTCGAGTGTTGTCCTCACTGGCTACAAATCCCTGAAAGGAAGTGCCGTAGGCCTACCAAACGTCGTGAACTGGACCATTATGGAAGACCCGATTATCAAAGCAGGTGTTCCGCCGTATCTGCAAACAGCCATTTTACTTTTACGAAGGACAGATGAGGTTTTCAAGGCCAACGTCAATGTCAAAGCTGACGTTTCCGGGTTCTCATTCCGAAATTTACAAGATGGTTTGCTCGAGAGTGAAGATGACCCTGTGATCTTTGATCCTGGTGCATATCCTCTGATACCTAACGAGCTAGTTGGCCTGGACTTGCATGACCTCGGATCGATTGATCTCTTCCAGCTTTACAAAGTGCGGAACGTTATCGACAACGATGACATTCCGCACCGTGGAACTATTGGTCAGACTGTCAGGGACCTTTTCCAAAAGGATAAAGCAGCGGATGACAAAAGCGAATCATGGTTTATTGATCTCTGGGACAACAATACCGCTGGTGATGCACGAAACGTATTGCCCAAGTCATTGGATCGAGGCGAGTTGGCAAAGTACTTTTCCTGGATATCGGAGACACCTGTATGACATTGGTCTGTTCTTATATTAGAACTTCAGTACTGATTCTATCAGAATAATGATGCCCCAGCACCAATCGCACAAGCGGATCGAGAGGGGCAACAGGCCCAGCAACAGCCGAGACATACTCATTTCTGCAACTTGATGTTTGTCCTCTACACTTATGACTTGGCCCCCAGTACTGACTTGACAATTTAGTGCAAGGCAGTCAAGTGAGAATGAACTCACAACCTTCAACAAGTTGGAAAGCCTCCTCAACGAGCCTCCTGTCGTGCTGCTATCTGAATTTTTCGACCTCCCAGACGACTTCGAAATCTCTCGACGCCATGACCGTGGAGGTTGTCAAGTGTTCAATAGTAAAGACGGCAACAAAGCTTTCAATCGTGAGCAAGCTTCTTAAGCATCATATCGAGAACTACCGCTGATTTAAGGTTTAGTATACATCATCCAGACGCCATTCTACAGTACAGGCTTCTGGTCATTACTTCTCTATTCCATGATCGATAGCAATGTTGCAGGAGCCTCCAGCAAATTATCTGGTGTCATTCAAGCTGATGCTGGCGTTGATCTAAAAAGGATCTTCTGCGATGTGCGTGACCTCGTTGCCAGGCATGGCCACCATCGAACTCTGTTACCAGTACAGCTATTCAAGTACCACTACGAAGCTACTTTGTCGGCTTTCAACTCTATTCAGACAGACGTTGGAATGGTAGATGAGGAGCTCCTGCGGCAGTTCGAAGAAGAGGGCAAGCTAGATGATGCAAGTAAGCTATACAGGAGATTGAGCATGACATTGCACAAGTGTAGCATGAACCTTGCTGAACTTGGTCGACGACGAAGATTTGAGGAGGAGCTTGGTAGCCGACTGCTGCAGGATTTGCAGAACGATAGTAAGCTAAGAGTCGTGGTGGAGATATACTCTAGAATGTCTCAGAGTCGGGACTCGGACATTGAGAGTCTACCTGGAAAGATTGAGAGTCAACGAAATGTTGTAAGTGTCACCATCAATGCTCTTGAGTCCAGTGACTGATGCACAGTGGCAGCTATACAATTTGATCACGCAGCACGATAGCTATCTACAAGCTAGGCTAGCTAGAGAATCACTCCGAGACTCCAAGGCGATGAAAACGCTGTCTATCTTGACGATTCTTTTCCTACCTGGAGCTTTCATCGCTACTATCTTCTCCACCAACATGTTCGACTTCAAATCCAAGAACCAGCAAGTGAGGGTTTATTTTGCGATCGTTATCCCTCTCACTGCTGTTCTGATGATCTGCTGGGTTCTTTGGTTGAAGAACACACCTGAGAGAGCTGATGAAGAATCCGTACGCCAAAATCAACCAGCGGTAGCTATTAACTGGCTAAAAGGGAGCAAGGCCGATTGATGGGAAAGCATAAGATGCGTTAGAACTACTACCATTAACAGACCGCTTCTACATACATGCTCTCGGGGTGACTGTCCAACTCTGAGCCTCAAACACTAAATCTCTGCTCTTGCGCAAGGCCTCCAGATCGATGAATACCCTCAAACCAACTTGGCCTGATTCTAAGCCGTGCACCCGAAAAAGGATATAGACCTTGCGACGTTGCGTAGCGGTATTAACGCTTTCACCAAAAGACTGCATCTGTGATCTTATCAGTAGGCATACTACACACAAGAGACTGAAGATATTACCCGTGCATATTGATGTTTACTCATGTAGAATGGCGTGTCGAGACGTCCCGATGTTGTGGTCTTGACTTCGATATAGTACTCCGGTCGCTCTTTTCTCCAACTGTCCTCGAGATAACCTTTTTCGATCAAGTAGCTGGTGAATGTTCCTGTCACGTCATCAAAGAACAGATCCCCTTGCTCTGTCCCATACCAATTCCCAAGAGAGTTGTAATCAGGGTGTATGCTGGCATGGTGTCTGACAGTACTCTGCCAGTTATCTCGAGACCAGCCAGGGAGGGCATGGGGAATGGTTGAAAGCAGCTCAAAGACCTGAAATTATTATTTCAGCGACGACGGCCCATTGTATGAGATGAGCACACTTACATATAACTCGCCGGCGGCACCAACCATTCGCTGCCACTCTGTCTGGTCTCCAACGTAGAATCTGAACAGTCCGGAACGGGCTGTGCTCTCGGCAAGACTCTGTGAAATTGCAGTCATATCAAAAACTGAATTCTTGTGCGGAAACGTCGAGATGCGGGCGACATTGACAGCTTGAATAAGCAGGGCCTGGTATGGAGTAGTGGCGTCGCGGATGACCTGTGCAGAGCTTACAGCAGGGACAGGAGATCTGATAATTGTGTGGGCCGGTGACGGAGATGGAGAAGGAGCAGAGTTGTCTCGTCGCCTCTCTGGTGTATGGGGGGGCTCTGGTATATCGTTTAGCAATGCACTCGCCTCGGATACCCCATAATACTGAAGGATACGTCCAACGTTGGAGAGCTTAGCTCGAAGGACACTGGCGACAATCATCACAGCTTCAGGGTTGACACCGCGAACTGGACAACCTAGGAGCTGAGCGGCGAGGAGCCTCGGAAATTCAGTAGACATGCAGAAATCGCGGTCTTCGTCGTCTTGCGGAATGTAGAACTGCCAATTTGCGAGTAGAGTCAATTGGAAGTGCATTCCACTTGTCGCCAACGGCACTGTAGTGGCCTTGAAGCCATGGTACCTTGTGATGCTGGACTGGATCTCTGGATGACGGAAGACCTCTACCTTTCGTATCGTGCCTTGTAGGGTGTAGCTGCGTATTGTGGGTTGGCCATCGCTAAAGTGCGCAGCGATCCTATTCGGTCTCATTAGCTTGTAAAAGGGTTGATTGGGTAATCCTTTTTGACAAACATGGAAAATGCTGCAGCTTTACCAGCAATATCATTAGAGAGAGCGCTTTCTACAACACCTTGAGATTCGTCAACAGACGTCTTTTCCGTTACTGACTTTGAGAGGTAGCGTTCAGTCAAGCGCAACCACGCAATAACAGGCTCAAGACGATGCACTTCCTCAACGGAAAAATCGAGAAAGTTGACCTTATCCCGCAATGCGGCCGCGTATACAGGTCGGTCATTTATACAGAAATCTCCCAATATGGACATGGGCTGAACCTCTCCGGACAGCAGCTTGACCGGAAAGACGCGGCGAACCCTTATCTTATCCGCAAATACACTTGATGATTCTTTGTTTGCAGTCAGGCCATCGAGCAGTGACCAAAAGAGTTTCTTGATTTCTGGAATAGGTTGGACAGTGTTTTCGACATCCAAGAGACGCTGATAGATGAGCGAAGCACCCATCTTGGGAACATCGAGAAAGGATACGAAAAGTGGTGAATGATCTGGGTAAAGCGGTTCCAGACTTATTTCATCCTGGTTGGCACCTTCGCTAGACCATATACACTCTGAGACTTTGTACCACCTCTTGCTCGCTTGATGGGGTGAATAGATGAGAGAGGTGTCTCGAAAGGCTTGCCTACAACTTCGTCAGTTACAGCTGTTGTGGAAGAAGCAGGTCAGATTTCCTGCTCTGCCCTTACTTGATGATAAGCGCGTTGATCTCGTCGAGGTTCTTCGTCTGTTCTTGAAGAATCGTATACAGCTCTTTAACCACCACCGAGTAGTCTTTCTTCTGATCCAACGAACGAGATGAGTGACCGAGCTCACTAACCACATCGTGTTGGGTTATGTCTCGAATCGCAAGAGTTTGACTGAAAAAGTTTCCCAGCTTTGCGCTATCTCCCGGCTCCATCTTTTCCATCACAGGGGACCATAGAGATCGAAGAGGTTTGTAGAAATTAATACCATCAGGCGCAGTCCACAGGCATGATGGCCTGTTATCCCAGCGAGCAGCTTTCTTCAAGTCCGAGGATCTGAGCGGCGTGCAGAGGACGCATTTGTTGTCATTAAAGAAGTTTCTGCTATGGTTAGTCTGCGTCCTTGGCGAGAATAGGAGTGGTAACCTACGTGATCTGGGTTTGTACCGCGATAGTAGCACTCGAGGATCCGACAGGAACCCCAGATTCAAGCTTAAGATACAACTCAGTCACAGCTTGTGAAACATCGCTTGTCATCTCAGTGGCAGTTTTAGAGATAGAGCCGAGCATCGCCAGAGTGAACTTAGTGTCGTCTTCCGCCCCAATGCCACAATGCTCTGCCAAGGCGAGCCATGCAGGAATTTCATCGTCTTTCATCCGCTCATCAAGTTTGAGGAACGGCATGCTCTCCACTGATGCAAAGCATTTGTGACAGTTCTCCACCAATTCAGGCAACGGAAGAAAGGTCTCCTGTAACGCGTGTCTCACACCATCGGTGCAGAGAAACTCCATTCTTCGCATAAGAGCAGATCCCTTCTTATCATCAACCCACTGCTTTTTAACTTCTGGCTTTTGGAAGTTCAGCATGAGTCTGTGAAGTGTAAGCCCCGGCCAAGCTTTGACAAGATATTGATACTCTTGCGAGTAAGTCTTGTCGGCCTCTGGGGGCGGATCTCGTACAGAGAACAGTTGGATCTTTTCTTCGCAGTAGATAATGTGATATAGCCATTGGGTCCATGGTTTCTCATTGCCAGCTGATGGGGTCGGCGGATCCTCAAGATAGGCCGGGTGCAGGAGGGATACATCTGGTGGCTCAAGTCCATCTGGGAATGGAGGGTTGAAGATCTTCCCTGGGGCCACTGGTCCGTCGCCAGGCAGGTAGACATACTCTTGTTTTGGACGCTTGGTGCGTAGCTTCTGGTCAAAGACAACCATGATTTCTTGCTCGTCCTTATTGATGAAGTCCTTCGGCTCGATCCGGTAGAGGAAGATAAGATGGTTTTTTGACTTGGCCATGTCTAGCTTAGCCACCTCAGCAGGATCCTTATACAATTTTATAATCTTTTCTCGGACTTGCTGAACAGCAAGAGTCTTCGGGCCAAAGACCTCATAAAGCTTCCGACAATCCGGATTCGCTGCGGCAGCCGGTAGAAGCATTGAGAAATCGAGATCTCCGGGGATGGGGATACCTTCAATCAAATTGTCATAGAAGTCGCATTTTGTTCCGTTGATAATGGCCTGTTTTAAATCCCCCGAGGCGAGGGGAATAAGATGCATGCCGCGAATTGCAGTCTTCCAATCGTTTTGTTTGTCATTCCACAGCTTCAGAATGAGACTCGCCAGTCTAGAATGCCAATCTTCATCTCGATTCTCAAAGACTCTTGTCCTCCAATCACCAGTCTTTGTGAATGCTTCCAGCCTCGATATGATCGCCCAGTTCGGCATGTAAGTCAATCCATACTGACTGAGAATATCGAGGTCCTCGGATTCGTATCCCGAAGACAGATACATCTCTTGGTCCAGATCAGGCAAAAGCGGTGCACCATGCTGGTCCAATTGATCGGCGGAAAGACGCTTGAGTAAGGCTATTTTTGAGACACTGCCAAATTTCTGGCTTCTCGGACGCAAGAGTGGTACTTCGGAAATTTGTGACCGCAAAGTGTTGTCGAATAGGAGCCAAAATGGATCTATACTGTTTCGATTGATCTGGGGGAGGAAACGCATCCACTTGTGTTCCAGGCCAGGCTTCTTGCAAAGGTCTTGGACTGCTGTTGCGATTGCGTCCGCAACTGCCTTCTTGAGATGAACGTTTCTGTCTGAAAAAGTAACAAGCTTTTGTCTTGTCGCATCGGTAACGAAGTCAGAGTGAACAAGAAACTAGGCATATTGATTAGCTGGGTATCCAAACCGTACGGACGGATATACTGACGCTCAACCCACTCTCAGAGACTGGCATGAAGGCAAATGCTTTCTGGATCTCAACAGTAGGCTCAAATTTCTCATCAATAGGGAACGCTAATATAATTTCTGCGCTGGAAGTGTTTGCCGAGGATTCTGGAGCAGGTCTTCGGTTCGGGTTGGCTGGCAAACCCGTTGCCGTTGATTTGTAGACGAGATAACGATTCCATGTCTTGAGCTTAGTCGGGCCGAGCATCTTCGTCGTTGTAATAAGAGTCCCTGAGCCGAATAGGGCTCTGTCGAGAAGCACGTCCTTTGAGCGCTGAACTTCGTTGTCGTCACCCAGTACCGTGATTTTCAGCGACCGTAGGTTTCTCATGAAGAGTAGCACACTGTCCGGCGTATCCCAGAGCTGGTTTACGAAGCTACCCCGTAGATTGTCTCTGTTCTGATCCTTCAGAAACAATATGATTCTTGTCCGGTTTCCGAAGAGGCCACCATAAGCTTCATGTTCCCCCACATAGTCGGGAAGAACAGGTGGCTCGGTCCAGTGAGGTCTAGCCACTCCAATGCCAGAATCTCCATCCTCATGCTGTAGATAGAATGAGAAAGGCCCAGATTCGACCTGAACCTTGGATGCGATAGTGAAAACAGACTTGAAACCCACGTCCGACTGTCCTATGTAGCCGAGTATTCCATTCTTTGTTGACTTTCCGAAATCGCAAAGAGATTTGACGTTGCTCTCTGTAAATCCATCCTCGTTGCTACCGATAATTACCATATCTTGAGTGACGATGAACTGGACCCCAGGATTCGCGCATGCGGCCTTTGCACGGGTGTATTGGTTGTCGTCCGCATTCTGGAGCAGTTCAAACGCGACATTGATGTTCCCCGCAGCTAACTTCTGTACAGCCCTAGCAAGAGGTTAGAGAACAGTAGTATCTAATCGCGACTACTTACTCTGTAGCGGCGGCATGAGATTTAGAATTGCTCTTCAGAGCTTCCTCTACTACCCTTCGTATATCGGCTGGCATCGCATCCAACTTTGCCGCTTCGATGTAGCCATGGCCAACGGCGATCTTCTCTATAAGCTGTTGCGCTTCGTCACGGGCCTGTGACCCAAAAATCACGCTCATTGCGATTCCATGTAATGATGAGCGTATTCCGAGTTACACTCAAAATAAAATGTTGGAAGAGAGTCAAGGCTGTGGAGTACGGGAACTAGGATTTAGTTTGATGGTTCAAGCCTCGGTGCATGGCCATCCCAATCAGACCATCTCCCGTCTGCCTTGACAGCCCTCAGGCAACTTCATAGCCTGGGGCAGGGTGAACTGACAGCCGTTGTGATAGCCTATCGAGGCGCAGTAGTGTATTACTCCAGATAGGTTAGTGTAAAGCAGGGATGTTTTCAGCTCTCATTCAATTTCCAGGGCCTGTAACAGCCACTTTCTGCAGGAGTCTACTCTAGCTTCTGGGCAAGGAGTTTACACTGGCTGAATTCAAGGATCGGCAGTGCCGCATGTACCGTTGAGCGCGTAGCGATCCCATCTTATTGGCGCTGGTTCCGTGAGTGATTCATCGTTATCGGGTGTTGGATTAGCTTCGGGTCCTGTAAACGTACCCGTGACAGTTGAATTGTTAATGGGATTAAAGATTCTCCACTTGCCGATTCAGCTTTCGAGCAGCAAAACGAGTGCCCTAAATTGGATTAACTCGTCCCAGTATTCCAGTCTAATCCCGTGCAACGGCGGCGGCTATAGGTCTAGAGTACTCCAATATTCAGCATCTGCGATACTGCTTTACTTTGCATTTCATGGCTTTGGCTGGCCAATCGAGAATAGATGTAACTGTCCTAGGTAATCCAGGTTCCTTGGAAACACGTGGTATTATGGATCCTTTTAATTACCTTTTCGCCGTTTCCTTTATTTATTAGAGACTATCTTTCATCAACACTCCTTCTTGCATTGCCCCCACCCGCTCCGGAATATCTCTGAATTAATCCGTTCAAAACGTCGATGAGTTCGCGTCTAAGACGAGTTGCCAAAGAATGTCAGGAGTTTTAGCAGAGCAGTTATGACCTACATCCATCCAACAAAGCAGATTTGACCTATCTTGAAGCCTCTATGCCAATTCCCCAGGTACACCCTACGCTGGAGCCACTTACACACATGAGGCAGAACACCGACACGATAGCAACACAATAGGATATTTACAATCATATCGCAGATGCTAGATAAGAAGTCTGCCAAGAAGAAAGCAACTTTATTATACTTACTAATTAGCTATTTTAAAAAAATTTTAAAGTTAATCTTAAGCTAGTCCAAATAGTTAAGCTAAAGCTATATTATTTAAGCACCTTAAGTTAGTGGTAAACCTATAGGTATTTCTATGTAAATTAATTTTAAATTATATATATAAAACTAATAAATATAAATAGCTACTTTAAAATTTAATTAGTATTAACTCTTATTAATATTTATTTTATTATATTTTCTTTATTAAGTAAGAAATATAAAAATAATTTTTTTATATATTAAATTAATTCTAATTATTATATAAAAGTAATAGGATTAGGTATCCCTTTATTATCTTAATTAGATACTACTTAGTATATATACCCTTTGTGGTCCCAGAGGAACCAAGGCCAACAGCGATGGAAACTTTTAACTAGAGCCCGGATACATCGGAATACTAAAGTAATTATTTTAATAAATTCTATAGCAGTAGTAAGAAGTAACTTTCTCGGCTAAAACTCTGCTTCGCGTCAGGGCCTTACAGTGGGGGGGAAAGCATTCGCAGGTGTGCAGGTCGGTCTGCTGCTCGGAAGCTAGTAAGGGGTAGCTTGTCAGGTCCTCCACACCTTATATTACACTGGAATTAGCAGTATTTAAGTCATTAACTAGAGAACCTAACGTCTATCAACGCGGCTAACACACCTGCAAATATTTTTTGCCTCTAATATTGCCAATGCAAACTCTTACTACGGCGTTCTGTGCCAAGCTGCTCACCACAGCGCAGACATTGCAGATTTCAAATACTGATCGGCGTCAAGTTACTGTTTACTTATTAGCTTTAAAGTATATTCTACTTGCCAGTGGGTCCATCAATAAGCTGATTATCACTGGATTGAACCTTCTGGCTTCCTTCTCATACTACTTGATCAGACAAGACTCACTGCCGATAGGTTTATGAGACCGCTGATAGACCAGGTAGCCGGGCTATGTGGGAAAAGTGGGCATATCCTGTTAATTGTCTTGAACTCTAAATCGGACGAACACGAGGCGGTCTGGAGGATAGGGGCTTTTCTTAGCTATTTCTCCTATATAAACCCCTCGAACAAGAGGTCGTAGTTGGTGTGATCCTCTTCATCTTTCACCATAATCCTTTCGCATCAGTCAGCGTCATGAAGTCTACCTCTTCTCTCTTTCTCATTGCCCACATGGCTGCTGGAGTTCTTGCTCTCGGTGGAGATGGCGCCGGGTGTCAGTTGAACATCGACTGTCTCAGTGGATACTGCATGCCTCATACAGGCTCAGACAAATACGTATGCTGGGGTGCCCGTCGTAAGGGAGGTCAGTATATTCTTGGCATTTACTTTCAACTTCGCAATGGAAAGTCACTAAAACGAATTATTTCTGCTAGACTGGTGCAACGTCAACTATAGCGGAACAGTGTGCAACAACGGACTGAAATGTGTTTCTAACCAGGGTAAGTTGCGTTTGCGGGCTATAGCCTTCCTGCAATATAAGATAAAGTCTAATAGATGCTAACTGTATTCTAGGAAGCTGGTTCCTTGGCAAGTGCACCTAAAGGCAGCTAGAAGGTCCTAGCTACATGAATTAGTAACAATACTATATATACTTACCTCTCTTAACATTTTTACACATCTGTGGGGTTGCATTCGGTGGCGCAACAACATTTGCAGTGTCACTCAGGTGATGTGCCTCCATATCCACAAGTCTCGTGTCGGACGCTTGTTGACTGTTTACTGATGATTATTGTATTTGAACTTTATTTGGCCATGTCTCCATTGGCAAACATACAAATAAACAAACAAACATTATAAATGGGTGATGCGTAACTGTGTCACGCCAACACGTGACCCCGGCAACGTGATTTGAGCCTCCAAGCTTTGTTTCGTGTCCCCTCAGTAGGGTCAATCATCGTTACAACACTCTCACTCTGTGCGAACTGCGGCCGTCCCGTACGTGACGATGGTGTCGCAGAACCTTTATCTCTCTTACAAGAGAGACACAAAATACTTGTTGTATTGGATGATCAACGTGTCCAATCGTCTCCACAGATCCACTGATGGAGAAACTCAATTGGCCGCCTCTGTCAACACGACAGGTCATACCACAGTCAGTGGCCTGATTTCTATGTCGACACTCATTTCGCAGCACAATGAGCCTGTACCGAATGTCATTTACCGGCTTTTCGGATCCATCATCCAGGCGAGATCTTTCGTTAGCACTACGTTTCAGGAGCTTATGGGGCCTGATTCGGACGAGGAACTCAAGCGAAGTAACGAAAGTCACCGACATTTCATAAACACTCTTCGCAGTGCCTTCAAGATCCTCGGCGGCGAAGAATGGGAAAAGACGAACGCTACGACCAACGATGATACCGAGGACGTTGAACAGATCCTGTTCGCCAACAAGTTCCAAGAATTGAGTGTCGACAAAGAAGGAGAGTCGAGCGACGAAGAGGATGATTTCTCTCAACCACAATCACCAGTCGCTGCACGAAAGGTCTCGCGAAGGCCAAAGGGCAAAGGCAAAAAGGCAAGGAAATACAAGAAGCCAAAGAAGGGCAAGAAACAAGACACGAAAGATCCCGCGACCGACGAAATACCAATTGAGAGCATTCGAATTATCGAGGACAATGGCAAGGTCGGTCTTGTTACAGATTATCTACTCGCAGTCTACTCAACTGTCAAAGAATGGGCCGACCTTCGTGCTTACACTCAAACTCTCTGGAAAGAGGTTGCATACGAAGGTCTCAACAGCGCCGTCGCAGGAGCTGTAAGCAATTTGGCAATCTCCATGGTCAAGCGCACCAACGCGGCTATCTTCGTCGACTTTCCGGGTCACGACACGTACGAAACCATCATGAACACCATCACTCGAGGAAACATGCATAGAGCACAGGGGAAGTTCAGGCTTGCTCTTTTCGCACTAGGCCCGGATGGTGAACAGCAAAGCCAGAAGGAGACAGCCGTCGACATCAAGGAGCAATTTCTCATTCACGCGTATCAGGACTTGAGGGACTTTGTTCTTGACTTTCAGGCCAATCGTACCGGCAAGCCGACAAAGGCCATGCAGGCAAAGATCTCCAAATGGGATCCAAATTTCAATTTGGAACGGGCTACGAATGAGGAGCGAGTCAACTGGCGCCGCTGCTATACCATAAAATGGCTCTACGATCTTGTTAATGTATTCTCATCTATTGTGGTTCAGAGAAACACGGTCAGAGGAGAAAAGCATGTCTACGAGAACGTGGACTGGTCTGCGAACGGTCCCTGGGGCGTCCACCGAGTCCTCTTCGGCCTGAACGAATTCGCAGGCGATATCACCAACATGGCTATGAAGAAGCCCGGAACCGACATCACCAAGATAATTTATCCGCACCACGTTTTCCAGATGCAGTGCATCGTCGATTCGTTTACTGTTTCTCGCGGTTGGTCGTTGAGTGCTCTGCACGGTCATATGCTTGAACCACCAGCAAAGAAAGGTCGTGCCAGACGAGATGTCGACCTCTTTCTTGATCGACAGAACAAGCGCGTGTTTGCTGGGTACTGTCAGACTGTCGATTTACTCAAACAGATTCTGGAGAAAGACGGAAAGATGGCTCAGCATAAAGACTTTTTTGAGATCATAAAGATCGCTCAGCTTGATTTCGTCGACTTTCTTGGGGAGCACAAGTACATGACTGGTCTCGATACCATACCACCATCGCGCTTTGCAGATCACAATGCGAATGGTCTGCAAGAGTATTCGCCGTTCCTTTGTGGGGTTGGGCTTGAAGAAGGTCTTGAGATCGCTTACAGACTTGGCATGTTCCTCTGGGAACGTATGCCTGAGCCAACGCTGATGATCCATCTTCACAATGCTGTTGTACAAAAGGGGTTTCTCTTGCGACCTGTCGGACTGTGTGCTACACTAGAGGATCTGTTCAAGCATACGTTCTTCGCACAGGGTCGCAAGCCGAAATCGGGTTTTGTGGATGCTCTGCTCGCCAGTGTTGGACAGCCGGGGTCGAGACAGGCGCAGGCGCAGAGACAGGCGATTCGGTATAGAAGAAGGTATGCCGAGACCGTTCATCAGCTTTTTGACCTGGAGATCAACCAAATTTTCAAGAGGAACTCCATGCTCACCACTTGTCGTCGGGCGGGTTGGAATCTCGAGGCCATTCCTGATGAGGAGCTTCAATTTGGCAGCATGCTGTTCTTCGAGCGACTGAGTAGAGCAAAGCACGTGAGCGAAAAGGAGCTCGAGGACACAGTCCTTGTTCGGAAGGCGAGAGCAGTTGGAATGACCGATAAGGAGATTATTGACGCAACAAGAAAACTCTCTTCCGTTGCGAATAATACGCTGGAGGTACCAGATGAAGTCTTGGACAAATACGCACCAGAAGGCTTTCAGTTACCTCCATCAGCTGGATCAGAAACCCTTGACGGCCGCGATATTCTCGAACTGGCTAAATTCGACATTCTCTCCGACGTAGCGGGAATCGCGCCAGTTTCGAGCCTTAACTATCTCGGCGTCACCTGCTGGCTCCTCATCACTTTTGGGCGTATTGAGGAGCGCCTGAAAGAAGCCGGAAACCCTGTGTACTTTGAGGCATATGAAGGATCTGGGCCTTGGAAGTCAGAGAAGAGAGTTGCTCTCGCGTTACTCGCGCTGAAGGGAGACAATGAGGAGTGTTTAAGAATTGTTGCTGATACATTGAATGAAGCTCGTTCTGGATTCATGGATTTTATCTACTGGGAGGATCTGGAGACGGAGCCGAGAGAGAGAGAAGCAAATGTGGATCCTAGTCTTGGTAATGAGTGCACTGTTATGTGAATGGGGTTTGGGCCTGTTGGGGAATAAGAGTAATGATTCGGTCTTCGTATGCTAGGCTAGAAGTTTTGGTCTTTAGAAAGAAAGAAAGTCCTAGCCCAAAGAAAAAGATGCACTAATCAAGGTTATTCACAGTCCTAGCGTCCTTTTCCATGCATTTTGAAGCCCTATGTACACCTCCAGTATTGAAACCTTCCAGCTTGGATGGCATGCTGAGATGTTCAAATGAACTCAAGCCGAGATCGCGATATCAGCACAAGTCAAGTAAACCTGAGGAGTCTGGAACGCATTCCACTTGAACGACAAAAGAGTGTGGTTTGAGACATAGTCTGGGATCTTGATCTTGCCAGACACAGTATACCCACCAGCAATAGACGTATAGCACGAGTTAATCGGTGCATTGTCAACACCACGACATCCCTTTCCATCTGAGTTACCATCGAAAGACTTGCATGTGAACCAATCGTTGCGGTGACATGGCTGATCAGCAGAACAGTCAGGACTGTAACCGCACTCCTGACCATTAACATCAGTGCAGGGAAGAAGACCTTCTTCGAAACAATCTTCAGCAGCTTGCTTCTCAGCCTCGGTGGGGATGTAGTTTGGGTCGAGAAACTTGTCGACGATGTCTTGGTCTTGACAAATACGGTAGGCGTACATGCCTCCATGGTCACCGTTGTTGTCAACGCACCACTGGACGTCGACAACTTGGCCAGGCTTGTAGGTGGCGATGGGTTCTTTGCCCCAGTTGGCACCGGGCTGGTTGTAGTCGACGCTGACTCGGGCGTTGTAGCCGCATGGGCCAGATCGTCCGACTTTGGCGGCGTCGAGGTCTGGCCAGGCGGTGACGGGCTCTAGGATGGTGCACTCGGGGCATGTATCTGGGCCGGCCTGTCACCTGTTAGCTAGGCTTTTAAAGAAAGGATGGGGCTTGTTACTTCAGCGTTGAGACCGGTTCGGCTCATGGGTTTACTGAGGTAGCCGTGTCCGTACACGAGGGTGCACATGGAGGCAAGTTGAAGAGCTTGAAGGGTGAACATATTGATAGCTTTTAGATCTTGAAATCTTGGTCGTAGGGGCTTGTTCAAAGGTGTCGAAACTGTTGACTATCTGGAGACTCTCAGTGCTTCTTATACACATTCTTACCCCTGTTCCCCATAAACCTCTTGTCGCAGGTGAGGAAGATCTTTTCCATTTTCCTTCGTTCCGAATGTTTTGCCTGATCATAAGATTCATTTCACGTTTCTGAAGCTATCTCGGTCATAGCCATCACCCTCGGCCGTTAAGCGGAACATTGACTTCTTAGAGGAGGGTTGTTCCACCTATAGTCTCACCTGAATCCATGCTATTTGGTGTACTGGATTCCCCCCCATTTACGTCACATAGCTAACTGAGTAATTATCTATAAACAGCTCGGCGCTTCTCGCAGGCCTGAAATAAGACATGCAGGTATCGTGATCGTAAAACTCACGAGTTATTAGTGGAGAGGAAGAAAATGTTCTTTCTAGTGACTGACGAAGGGTTGCATCGATCGCTCACGGGCCGAATGTATGCATAATAAGGACAAATGCCAAGACTAGGTTGCATAAACTCATCGATTGTGACCGTTTTGGGGTCGTCGGACCTGAACATCAGGCGGAGACTCCGCCTAAACCTGGGGATTTCGGAGACTTTCCGCTACCCCAGTATGATCTGCCTAACCCATGATCAAACTTCCGTGAGTGTTTAATGCGAAGACCCGGACACCCAACGAGAGAAGTTAATGAAGCCGAGCCGTCCAAGTAGTTATGAATATTCCCGATACGAAATGCAGACTCCTACGCCTCATCATAGCGCAAATAGCCTCGTATAAGATTGCCAACGACATATCTCCCAAACCGTAATTAACTATAGACTCAAGAGACACTAGAGCATTTAAGAAATTCTCCAGGACTCTATGCACCACGGCTCCTACCGAATACCCCGCGTTCTTTGTCGATCACCATTGGGCGGCGACATGTCGGTCACTCTTCAATATTCGGCCCTCAGTCGGTGATCTAACCTTATGTGATCATTTAGAGTTGTCTGATCTACCTAGAATAGTAGCTCGTTTGAAACAGCTAGGAAATACCATAGGGGTCGGATAATTCATACTAAGGTTGCTGTCTAAAGACGTTGCGGTGACCGTCCATGAAGTGGCTGCTTTGTCAGACCATACGAAGAATTATCGTAGCGATATGCAGAGCTTTTCCCGTCCTTGATATTTCTTTCAAACGATCACCAGATATTGACCTAAGCCATTCACTCACGGGCCCTACTTTATTTTTATTGCCTTGGTTAAATCACAGTTCCCCGGTGCATTGCCTTTCTTCTAAAGTATGACAGTGCCTCACCAACCTTATAGACAGTAAAGGGAGTCCGACGAATGCAGTCACTATTCTTCTCCTGACTTAGACATCAGCAAACCTCTGCACTCATTTCGTCTGCTGAATGTCTCCGAGTCCGTAATCTCAAACGGACTTCTGAGGCCTCCGCAACGCCATGGAGAAGGAACGCCATGATAAATGTCTTATACAGTGAAACTATCGGTATGGAATAGCCTTGCCATGAGTTTCCACATACAAATTGATTCACTTATACTAATACTTGTTGCAGATGACCTCATCAGAAGTGCCGAACTCGCGCAATGAAGGACAGCGATGCACCTTGAACGCCGCGTGATATTTTATGCCCAAGCCAACCGTCACATTTCACAGCACACTGGTCCCCGATTGATTGCCAACGGGCACATCGTTTATCGGGTCGTCGCGGTCCAAATAGACTTTGAGTAAGTACCTCTCGTCTTCGAGGAACAGAAGGAGCGCATGCGAAACCCACGTGTCGTCACCAAATCAGGAAATTACGCCAAATGGGTAGTTTTTCCACGAGGTTTGAATTTCCTCAGTCACAAAATCAAGCGGTGAATCAATTGTGCCCATAACAGGGTCCTAAAAGTCTTTGACGCTGCCAAGTCTTGGTGTTGAGGCAGGGTTTAACTTGGCGGACTTATGACATCATTGACAAGGCTCAGGCGATTGCCACTCTGCCCAGCCAAAAGACGAGCGACACGTACAAAAGAAAAGTAGCTCTTCCAAGGAAACCCTTGACATTCTGAAACACATCCTAGAACCTTAAAAGATATGTTTCAAACCTGATTTTCCAGCTGTCAATCACGTATTAAAACGCTCTCCTTTGAATGAGGGTTTCACGACATACGAGACTCTCTTATACCCAAAATGCGCCAATCAACTTTGTACCCATTTTTATGCCTTTGGGGGCTTGCTGAGAGCATTGACCTCTCTTCAAAACGAGGACTTGCATACCATGGAGATGACCACAAATCAGATAATGAGCTCCTGATCTCAAATAATTCTGAGATCGCATGGTATTATACCTGGTCGCTCTGGCCAAACGGTCAAATCGGGAGTTCCTTACCTTTTGTGCCATTGATTCACGGTCTCGACGATGCATCAGATTCTGAGCTCGAGTCGCGACTAAATGGGCTTCCCGAATCATCAACCCATCTTCTTGCCTTCAACGAGCCGGATGGTGAAACAGACAGCGGCGGAAGCGCGATATCTGCAAAGGATGCAGCACGCGCTTACATAGAGCACATCGTCCCTCTAAGAAAAGCAAAGCGCAAGTGGTCAATCAGCCATCCCAGCGTTACCGGCTCACCACGCGGTCTTGAATGGCTACGCGACTTTAATGAATCCTGCTACGACGTTGACGACGATGGTTGTCCGACAGATTTCGTCGCTGTGCATTGGTACGGCGACGCAGGTGGTCTTAAAAATTGGCTCGGAAGTTTACGCGAGTTTTACAACGAGACAGCGCCTGACGCACGGTTCTGGATCACGGAAATGGCCCTCCCGCAAGAGGATGACGACGCGACGCTGGCTATGATGAATGAGAGTCTTCCATATCTTGACGATAACGATGATGTGCAGGCTTATGCATGGTTTGGAGCATTTAGAAAAGATGATGCGAATGAGTGGACTGGAGACAGCGTGTCGCTGTTTGATGATGATGGGGGTTTGACTAAGTTGGGTGCGGAGTATTTGGGTGGTGAAGAGAAGGGTTTTGAGGAGGGAATGTCGGCGGGCAGCTTCCAGGCGCCTTCGCTGGGTATCATGCTGGCCATGATCCTTATGTCACTAGTTTATTTGTGGTGATGTTAGACGAGTATATGATAGACGATAGATAGTGATACCATTTATGAAATTGCATTGAGTATTATGAGAAGCCGCATCGGTCACCTTTTCGCGTGAACTTTACTCTCTAAATTCGCATGCAGATGTGGATCTACTTTCGCCCAGAACAGGAGAGATCGGAGCGTGAAGCAACTCCGAGTGGTGGAGGCACATATCCCGTCCCCACATTCTTGTCTGAATTAAAAGAGAAGATTCAGTTCGAAGACTTTCTTAGTTCTTTGCGGTGAGACTTCAAATCGTAATTCACAAATTCCCTCTCTCATGAGATGGTCTGGTCTGTCAATACAAGATTATTCAGTTAACTACTAGAACATCTTCGCACGAGGGAAAGATTGCGGGGCGATGCTAGATCAGATTTAGAAATCACCAAGTTCATCCAACTCTTGTGAAAGAAGCTTATCACCTGCTGCTGAGACTTACAGTGATGGAAGCTACCCTGTATAACCGTCGAAGCGAATCAGCCGATGTGAGACATAAGTAGACCGTTGGATGTCCCCCTTCCCATCCAAGTTCGTCCCAACAAGATGGAACCCAATCGTTCAACACCAATCTTCGTCCGATGGCCCCAGAGCCACGTTTTCATGCCCTCTTGAAGTCACTAAGCCTTTGTTCCTGAACTTAGGCCGCCGTGCCCATACAGACGATCTTACTTTGCATGTCTCATGGATGATCATCACAAGCTCATAGGTAGTATCACGAAATGCAACATGGAATTCTGCACGTTGGACTCTAGGGTATCATTACGAGAGAGAATGACGTCAGACCTCTCATAAGTTCCCAGACCCTTGCAATATTATTTCCCCAACCTCGTTCAGTTCCCCGACTTTTCAGATTCATAATCTTTACAAATATGTACACTTCAATTGAATCCATTCAGCCTGTAAAGTATAGCCAGGTCGGTTATTCTACCACATAAATTACATCTCTCGAGCTTCAACTAGCTTGTCAACTGATTGGAGGGGATGTGAAGCTTCACTCGTCGCATAACTACCGCTTACCACCAGCCTTGTCTCGGCCAATCCCTCGGCGGGATACGGCTGTTGAACACTGTAGAAATCCCATGAACTTGCAAACAGCCTGATTTCCCCCGCACGACGATCCCAATCCAGACTCGCACAACCATGTCAAGACAGAGTTCGCTAAGATTACCCGACCCAGGCGCACCAATTACACACCGGCGGAAAACCTGGGGAAGCTGCTTAGCTCCAAAACTACCCCAGGATCGCGGCTCAATGGCAAGTTCCTGGATGACGATGACAGCCGCACCAGTCATTGAACTTGAAAGCTCATCAGACGATCACCAAAAGAGACCCTGAGATCCTTCAATTGGAGAGGGGTTTCTTTGGTGGAAGTTTGTCCCGCGAGAAAACAGAGATCGTCGGTTTTCTATAAAGCCTGGGGTTTTCGCTCTTTCTTGCTGGGCCAGTCTCCACCTTGATCATCCGCAATCATGTTCTTCAAGGCTGTCGTTGCTGCTCTCATCCCACTGGCCCTTGCGACCAAAGGCAAGGGCCCCGACAAGGATGGCAAATACTGGATCAAGGGAGACGGCATTAAGGCCGCCTTCATTCCCTATGGCGCCTCCATCACCAATCTTCTGATCGACGACCAGTACGGTATTTCTCGAGATATCGTCGCTGGCTTCGATAATGCTACGCACTATAGCATTGACGAGTCTCACCCCCATCTCGGAGGTGTTCCCGGAAGATACGCCAACCGTATTCGCAACAGCACGTTCGAGATTGACGGAAAGAAGTATCACGTCACGCCCAACGACAACCCTACGCCTGAGTCACCCAAGGGCGCTGATACTCTCCACGGAGGACCCGATGGCTGGGACTACCGCAACTTTACTGTTGTGTCGTACACCGACTCCAGCATCACCTTCTCCATCGTTGATCCTGATGGCAAGGAGGGTTTCCCTGGAGAGGTTGTCTCCTACGTCACCTACACCCTGACCGGCATGGACTGGGATTTCAAGATTGTTGCTCTTGCAACCACCAAAAAGACCCCTATCATGCTTACCAGCCATACCTACTGGAACCTCGACGGCTTCTCTAACAACGAGACAAGCACCATTTCCAACCATACGCTTTACATGCCCTACGGTGGCCAGCGTGTTGCGACTGATAACATTCTCATCCCCACTGGTGATATCATTCCTAACAAGAAGGGATCTGTGAATGATTTCTGGAGCAAGCCCAAGATGATTGGTGACCAAGCCAACAACAAGGACTTGGAGAACAACTGCGGTTTCAACTGCACGGGATATGGTTAGTATTCATTCACACGATCTATAACATCGCTAACCAATCTCAGACACCTGCTACAGCGTCAACCGTCGCCAGCTCGGAAACTTTGACTGGCGAACTGAGGGCCCCGTGGCCACTATCTCTTCCGCCTGGTCTGGCATTCAGCTCGACATCTACACTGATCAGGACGCCTTCCAATTCTACAGCTGCACTCAGCAGAAGGGTACCATGCCTCTCAAGAAGACCCAGGGTCTCAAGGATAACAAGGACTTCCCCCGAATTATCCCCAAGTATGGATGCATGGTTGTTGAGGTTCAGGACTACATTGACGGCATCAACAACCCTGAGTGGCAGAGGCTTGAGAAGCAGCTCTATGAGCCTGGTGGCAACCCTTATGTTCTTCAGGCCAAGTACCGCTTCAGCCTGAAGGGCAAGCAGTAGATTTTAGATTCAGGGTTAGGTTGATGAAATAATTGATAATATTCGAAGGACTTCTTATTTGTCTAATGAAGCAACAATGGAAAATTGCTTGTTTCGTATTGTGATAGTCCGCAGTTCCGAATCCTGTCTATGTCAATATCCGTTATCAAGAAACCTGTAGTCGCGTTTGGACCAAGTTTCTGTGTTGGCGGTCCCAGTGTGGGTCCTCGACGCTGTAATCCTGTATTGTTTTTGGCTCAGTATTTCTTCCAGAAGCTTTTTCAGGCAGCCAAAGCAATCAGCAATGTCATATACGCGATAAGATCGTAATCCGGTTATAATGCTCCAGACAATATCTTCATTACGGATTTAGCAGAAAGAGGGAGATGAGCATTGGGGCGTTGTGGCTTGTACAGCTAACGGGAATGGCTAAAACGATTGAAACTATTGATTCTCGGACCCCGACCCAACGCTAGCCAGGCTGATATTCCCAGCCGTAGAAAAGTCGCTGCTAGTTTCGTGATGCTAAGAATAAAGAAATGGGTAACTGGGTGGAATCGTATGCAAATACAAGTAGGCCGCTTTGCCTCATCGCTTTTGTCGGTCTTCGTGCATCCTCCACTGTCCAAGTGCATCCGCAACAGTCACTCGTTTAGCTGCCGCGTTTACATCCACTCATTACTCATTAATTCTGTTCTTAATCATTAATTGCGGAAAGTCCACCACCAAGGCAAAATGGTTCATTACAAGTCTCTCTTCGTGGCTCTCGCCGCTGTCTCAACTGTCGCCGCCGGTCCTTGCAAGCCCAGCACCACCAGCGCTGGCCTGAGCACTACTGCAACCGTCCTCGAAGAGCCTACCAGCACCCAAACCTCCGCTATTGAAGAGACCACTACCACCACCGTTGATGAAACCACAGCCGCTGCCACTACTACGGCCCCTATCGAGGCTGCTCTCACTACCACCACTGTTGCCGCAGACACCACCACGACTACGGCTCCTTCTGGAGTCTGCGGTATAACTGGTTATTTCCTCCAGAACCAGGCACTGAACTATCTGAACAGTCCTGGAAAGAAGGACAACGTTAGGCAGTGCCTTGAGGCCTGTGCTGCTTATGCTGGCTGCGAGGTCGTTGCTTTCTACACCGACAGGGCCTTCGCCGACGACATCGGCAGGTGCGAGTTCTTCAGTGGTGAGCTTGTCACTGATGGGCAGGATACTTTCTACGAGTGGTCCGAGGTTAGCTGCCTGGATAGCTTGCAAGACTAGGTGGCGGATTCTGTGGCTTCTTTAGCCTTGACGACAGATGCGAATTGAGCATTTTGATTCGTTCAGGATATTGTTATTTCATAAAAACTAGCTTGAATGTATCAGATGATTTTATATGGTCACCTTAGCTCTAGTTCATTGTAATAGGTGGCTCATATCAGGAGAGCACAAATACCCATATCCTCCATCGATTGCCTCGCACTCCAAACCCTACTTGGGTCTCGCCGTCGTTGCTTCCAAGCATTTTGCATCACACTATACACCGTACCACAATTAGTAAATCCCGCCTCAGCATGATCCATTAGCTTCGTCAACAGGTCGTCGAAGTACTGCTCATTTGGGGGAAGCGCCATAGAACCTGCAACGCAAAGAGGCCATGGTGTTGCTCGTAGGGATATATGCGGAGGTAGGTTGTCTAATACTTCGACGACTCGCGATACTGCGCGGTGAGGGTCTGGTGATGTGATGTTGTGTTCTGAAGCGAGAGTGTAAAGATGGACGAGTGCTGCGGTTGCGAAGAGATGGGTTACGGAGCGGTTTGTCGGAGTCAACTTTTGGGCCGATTAGCAAACACTCACTCATAATCTTGTAAGCTGATACAGACCGTTGATCCATCATCTAATGCCGCGTCTATTCCATTATAAATGCGTTTATCTAGGTCATTAATGGCGATTTGTAAAGCCTCACTTTCCATTGTTATGGCCCTTGAATCCAGGGCCATCATATCACCAATTGCGATCATGATGCAGTTTGAGCAGCCCATAACTCTCGACATGTCGATATTGCCGGCGATTAGCCAATCGTGATATGGTAGCTTTGGTGCAGTCCCCGTAGCTAGAGGCGCTAGGACATCGATCCAGACCAGATTAGACAAAATGAACTTTTGCGCAGTATTCATGCCTCGCTGGAAGTCGAAATCTGGGCTCGAAGGATCGGAAGTGTCAAAGTCGAAGTCGGAGGATGCCAGGTTCTGGATCACGGATACGAGGGCGTTAAAGTGGGCTTGCCAGTTGTTTGTGCCTCCTTGGAAAACCTTCAGCAAGTCAGACGCCGAGAAGAATGAAAGTATGTGCTAGGTATTACCTCAAAAGAGATCAAGAACATACCGCCAGCCAGGAACTTGAGCCATTCCTCGATATTGTCGGCAGAAGCACCCACGTCTCGATGGCGGACGACATGCCGAAGTTCCTGCAGTGCTTTGGTATGGTACTGCAACAGTTCGTCTTCTTGATTCTCTGTATGATAGGGTGAGAAGGTATGTTGGTGAAAGGCGGAAAGAGTTAGGGCTGCGTTTCGAAGAGGTGCATCTACTTGGATGTTAGAAGAGAATAGCTGTGCGCGGGGGTGTTTCTTACTTCGTTCAAGGAGGAAAAAGAGCCAGCCTCTACCTCCCTGATCTGGCGCATCGACGTAGAAAGCATACTGAATCGGAAAGATGTAGTCGAGGTAATGAACAAGATACTGCGCCTCTCGAAAGATGGTGTTTGTAGTTGATGAACCGACTTGTGCTGGACTTTGAGTTATTTCGCCTTCGGGTCGAGAAGTGGCTTTGGCACGCGAAGCTTGTGCTGCTTGAGCTGTTGACCGAGCAAGCTGTCGATTCTGAATGGTCTTGACGCGTCGGAAATTCTCCTTGACTGCAACTTTGATCCGCCGAAGCTCTTCTTGCAATAGGCGATCATTGCTCATCCATTCTGGTGGATCGAGATCATATCCATGGCAGGTAATACTCCGGGTACTACACTCTTTGCATTCTGGGGATGACTCGTCACATCTTCTGTGTCGGATGCGACATGTCCAGCAGCCCCTGCGTCCTCGGGGCATGATCTGCTGTTGTGGATGTTGTCAAGCTCGGAATTGAGCATGCAAGGTGGGAAATCAAGCGAGGGCAGAAGAAGTGGATCGAGGGTGCTTTAATGATATTTTCAGTGGATTGACTAAGCCATTTCAGGGCCCTAGTTGCACTGAAGCGCTAAATCTAGTGGTGTTCAATCGGACAACCACGAAAGATAACGGGCTGGACCTTTCATAACAAATGACGGCGCGCTTTGCAATAACTACTCGAGCCTATTCCTGGGTAGACTGATAGCGATTTATGGCAGGTGATTGTATTTTCAGTGTAAGAAGTCAATGGAGTTCCGAATGTCGGAGGCCAGTAACTCCTGTTGGTCTAGGTGCTAAACCAAGGCCTGAAAGACGGAAGATTCGGTGGAATGATGCATATGGCTCTTATCTCGTACAAGTGAACCAATAAAGTTTATTTATTGACTACAGTAAGTTGCCCGTTATATAATGGACCCATGTACCAATCTCCGTACCCAAGAGTTCGAATGACAAAGCTTAAGCCACATTGCAGGAGAAAGGCCTGCCAACACTGCCTCCGCGGAATTTGGCAATCTGTGGTCATGTTAGTTAGCTTGGAATGTATATCATTGTTAGGCGCACTTACGATCTGGTCAATGCTGGCATATGTGCCGGCAATAAACACAAAGAAACCGACGACAAAGACAATGCAGTTGCAGGCAGCACGCTTGACATTGTGCTTATCATACCAATTGCCCTCCTTGAGAAGGAAGAACCACATGATGGGAGGGATCCAGAACGAGAAGCCCGAAATGAAGAGGGCCGCACAGATCCCCAGAAGCTCGGAGAAAAATGGGATGGCCTCTGCGATAACCCACGAAAGGAAGATCACAAAGGCAACGACGGCCAACCAAGTGATCCAGCCCTTGCGGGTATTGATGAACCGTGTAATAGAGTTTTTGTAAAGTCGACCGTGGATAAATCTGCAAGCGACCGTAGCGTTGATAGAGCCTGAGATATAGATGACGGGCAAGGCAATGCCGAACGCGACTTTCGACACTAACGGGCTGGCGGATAACAAGGCGGGGGACTGAACTTCCTGACCAACGAACGCATAGATTACTGATCCTGTAATTGTATACAGGACGATTTCGGTAAGGCCTAGAGTGACGATAGATTTCGTGAAATCGGCAGGCGTATGCATTTCGGACATGAAGGAAAATTGGGCTGCTGCGAACGCGTACGAGAACACGATGTTGGAGACCGCTGTGAGTGCCTGGGTGAAGCTAAGGTCGTCTTGTGGCCACGCTGACCAAGTGGAAGATGAAAAACCACCTGGGGCGTCTGACCTCTGGATACCAGTGGCGATCATAGTGATACCGATCGCAAGGATGATAGAGATAAAGTCAATGTAACCGAGGATCGCAATCTCAGTGAACGAAGGTGGGATCGCAAGTACCATAAGAATAACAGCAGAGATGACCCCAAAGGCGAGGGTACATACGCTGCTACCTGTAATCTTGACGAGCGCAATTGTGCCGGTCAAGCAGTGAGAACCAGTAGCCAGGATCAACAACCCCAAGAAGACAACAGCGAACAGCTTATCTCCAAAGCCTCCCATCAAAAGCCGACCAGCGTCGACATAATGATCAACATCAGGGTATTTAAGCTTGACAAGACCAACCATGTAACTAGCATACATAGCGATGAGCCCGATGCCAATGCAGGATATAACGCCAGCGACCATTCCGAGAGTAGCGAAAGCTCCAGGGAGACTGAGACTACCGAGGGCAATAGCCTGGACGATGAGGACGACGGTAAGGCGCTTCCAGCCTAGGCGATGGAAGTGAGCTGTGCCTTGGATGGTCTTTTCTTTTTCGAGGTCGGTTTGGAACATCTGGGCAGTGGCTTCGCTGAAGGATGCCTGACGGTGGATGCCATCTTGTTTTTCGCCCGCAACGATAACGTCGGAGTCGTTTGTGATTTTAGGATGGCTCATTGTGAAAGAACACAAAAGCTAGGAAGACAAATGGTTTGATGGGAAAAGAAGGTTGAAGAAGTTACCTGACCTGGGGAGGAAGATCCTATTATATCCTCGACAAGGCAATCTCGTACCGGGTATCCAATCCCTTGGACCGACAACCCCGTGGGGAAGAGTCTGAACGTGCGTGAGCTCCACGCGATAAGAGTTTTACGATCATCGTCAGTCATTAGACTCTGGGAATTGTCAGGCATGCTGACTGGTTGACCAATTCCCAGTTTGAGTGGGTTATCGAACAACCGAGTCTGGGCCCTTAAGCCATTGCTTTCCGACCCAGTGTTTAGCGAGTTATGATATGAAGGGCGGGATAGTTAGTGGATGCTTGCTGCTGTAGGGCGCAGTCTGAACGAATATCGGACATGATGCTCGAAGCGAGCTGTTGACTCTGGCTTGTATAAACCCAATGCATCACAAACTCAACAGTATAGATACGAATTCGTCAATGCATTCATGAACCAGACAATAATCCCTTATCTTCTTCATCTTCTATTAACTACCTGATATCTTGGGTAATGAATTGATATCCACCATCTCCATTTTGAAGAATCTGTTACTAATAATCTGCGACTTTAATTCCGCATTACGATCAGACACGCTCGGAAATGGGGAAACATTGGGGATTCGTTTTGGGGCCTGAGCGGGGAACTAACGTCCGAGTCAGTGCTCTAACTCTCTGGGAATGCTAATTGGATAAACGGCTGAGCCGAAGACTTTATTATGGGGCCATCAGAATTGCACACTGGGAAGGAAGCTCGGAATTCAGTTGGGGTGGAGCTGATCAGACGACTACGATAAAAGTTGATCTTGGAGATACAATTCTCAAACCCCAAACATCGCAACGTTTGTTAAGCTTCGTTTTTTCTTTTGATCTCACACCTCTCTTTTACTTGAGATATTGAACCGCCAGTCCTTGTTCCCAAGACACCATGGCAAAAACATTATTCGTCAACGGCCGGATCCTGTCCAAGACAGAGACAGGCCTCAACGGCAACGCCCATTTCTCAGATTGCATGCTCATCCAAGACGACAAAATTGTCGCGGTCGGGTCTCGTAATGAGATCTCCCAGACTCTAGGTTCAGACATTCACATTCGCAATCTTGATCAGCGCGTCGTTCTTCCCAGCTTCATCGATGGCCATATGCATCTCCTCCTACTCGGTCAATCGCTCCGAAAGCTCGACCTTTCAAGGTGTACTTCACTTGAGGACATCCGTTCATGTATCCGAAAATACGCTGCTGAAAACCCAGAGACACCAACTATCCTTTGCAAAGGATGGAGGCATTACATGACGCCGGGTGGAGTTACGGCAGCAATGCTAGATGATCTTGATCCACGACCTATTTTCATCGATGCAGGCTCTTTACACTCCTGCTGGTGCAATACCGCGGCTCTGGAGGAGCTTGAGGTTGATGGTATGCCAGATCCAGCTGGTGGCAAGATTTATCGTGATGCAGATGGAAAGCCATCCGGGCTTTTGGACGAGGGCGCCATGATGTCGATCAGTAAGTTCCACCAGACGAAATTGTCTATCGCACTAAAAGCTAATCGCAACGGACAGTTTGGCCTTTCCAAGCAAAGTCATCCCCCAAACATGAACGAATAGAGGCTATCCGCGCCGCCGTGAAGGAGTACAACGCAGCTGGCTACACTGGCGCAGTCGAAATGGCCATGGATGAGGAAGCATGGGATGCACTCGTTACTCTCAAAGAAACAGAACCCAATCTGTCACTGAGATTAGCAGCCCATTGGCTCATCAAACCAACCGCCAACCTGGAGCAAAACTCAAAACAAGTGCAGCGAGCCATCGAGCTGAGCAAGCAGTACAACTCGTCAACAAGTCCTGATCTTCGACTTGTTGGAATTAAGGTCATCACCGACGGTATTGTCGACGCATGTACTGCCTACCTCTCTGAGCCGTATGCCACTTCTGGATGCCCACCACCTATCTGGGAGCCTGAGTTCCTCGAACCCGTTGTCAAAGAGGCTGATGCTGGTGGCTTACAAGTTGCCTTGCATGCGATTGGCGACGGCGCCGTCAGAATGGCTATTGATGCTATTGAGAAGCACGCTACACCAGGTGGAAGGCATAGGATTGAGCACTTGGAGCTCGTTTCCCCAGAAGACGCTAAGAGGCTTGGAAAGCTTGGTCTAACAGCATCCATCCAGCCCATTCACGCAGACCCAACAGCATTGACAACATGGCCTGAACTCATTGGGGAGGAAAGATATAAAAGAGCATTTGCATACCGCGAGTTCGCTGATGCAGGTGCCTTGATGGCGATTGGTACTGATAGCCCTACATCACCATGGTCGCCTATGCATAATTTCCATGTCGCTATCAACAGGCAGTCCTCCAAGAACCCGGAGAATCCCAAGATAGTACACGAGCATTTTAGATTAGGTTTGTGTGAGACATTTGTCGCCGGTACAGAAGGTGCAGCGCGAAGTATTTTTGCTGAAGATCGTGTTGGAAGCTTGACACCTGGGAAACTGGCAGACTTTATTGTTGTTGACATGGAATGGGATCCGAAGACATTACTCAAGGCTGAGGTGAAGGAGACCTGGTTTGGAGGATCCCGGGTATTCTAAATAAATTTAAGATTATAAAAGATTATCAAGACTATGAATTCACAACTCAACAGTGGCATGTATAGGGTTGTCAATATTTGTAACTTATCCAATAAATTTGATTGTATTGGCAATGGTATTTCATCTGTTCAGCTTGCCTTGGGCAGTTTGTGCACATGAAGCTTACAGAACAGGTTCTCAGTCTAGAGATCAGACTATCAAAGACTTTTTATCCTTCAGCAATCTACTGCACAGGATCAAAATGCCTCCGATGAAAATAGTCAGCCCAGCCCAGACCCAAGCAGCCGTATACCCCATACTCCTTCGCAATGCCCCTCCAACAGGCGGACCGAATAACAGCGCGACAGACATGACCGAGAAGGCCATACCAAATCTTGTCCCGATTCTTCGAGGATCACTAGTTAGTCTGACAAAGATGGTCGGCTGAAGCGCGAAGAAGGACCCCGTGAAGAAGCCCTGGCTGATGACGGTAACAAGCAGTCGTGGAGTTGTAGTTGCTGAGATGAGACACAAGCTTGTCGTGGCAAGAAAGACTGCTGCACTAATAATAGTGTTCATAGGCCCGAGGCTCTGAGCGAGAAAAGCAGGGAGGATACGGCCAAAGATTGAGCTGCTGTTGAGAATAGCAAGCATATTCCCAGAGAGATCAGACGCAATGTTGTTGTCTAGGGCGTAGCTTTGTACGTAGACGAATGGTGTGTACATTCCCAAGAAGACAGAAAAACACCCAGCCACGAAAAGAACGTAAGGCCAGTCAGTGAAAGCTGTCTTGTCAAGAAGTTGCCTTCGTTGGGATGGTCCGTTGGGATTTGGCCCCGGTCGAAGCACGACGTTGGAAAACAGGAGCAGAGCCAACAGTAACAAAGCCATAGCCCTCGTTGCCCATGGCAAGCTTGTCTGTGCGTTGAGCTCCCGAATCATGATGGGGAGAAGAACACTGCGAATTGCGTCAGAGAGAGACCAATAGGGATGGATGCTCTTGACTTACCCTCCGAGTCCACTACCGCAAGCTGCAAGTCCGTTGACCAAGGGCAATTTTGTAGTGAACCATAGTGAAGTGATGGCAACACTCAAGATCGATAGACAACCGGCGCCAATGCCAATCATAAGGCCTTGAGTGAGAAGATACTGCCAATACTTTTGACTCAGGCTTTGAAGTACAGTGCCGGTGACAATGAAGGTAGACCCAACTGCCAGAAGGTGTCGAAAGTAACCAGAGTCATAAATTGGACCAACTATGAAGCCTGAGAATACCATCAGAAACGTCTGTAGAGAACCAATAACTGAGATCTGAAATGGCGTGTGAGTTGAAAGCTGATCTCGCTCATAGATGGTTTGGAAGCTTCCAAAGCTTGCTATGAGGCCTGCACCATTCTTTGTTAGTTCTTCTCCGATGCTTTTTGGTGATATTACTTACCCCAGGTGCAAAAGTAGAGGCAAAACGAGCCTGCGACTTGCAGCCACGCGAGCAAACCGCCATTTGGGATTGGCTTTGGCGATGTATCATCAACCGAGAAACTGCTCTCGACCAGAGGGTTATCATCGGTTCTGTCTTTCGTAGTGTCCATTGCTGGTCGAAGACATTGATGAAAGTCCTTGACTTACAAGCTGAACAGCATACCTATTGAAGGGAAGATAGACCGAAATACAACCGCCATGCTTATCAATCTCCATTTCTCTGACAATACTTTTGCTAGGATAACCCATTCTTGGACTTTTCCCGCTTTCCTATTTTGGTGATAGACCTCGGCACTTCTCCCCACAGTGGATCTCGATGAAAAAGATAAAACTCAACATCAGCAGATCAAGGCGCCATGTCTGTGCCACTCCTGAACGGGTACTATCTAGTCAGTCCGAGTATTTGTAATAATCACATGAAGAAAGAATATTTATCCCACTTATCAAAATCGCGTTTTGACCACGAATTCCTTGGCCAACAACCTGGACTCTGGAACCTTTGCATAATTTTTGCATGTCATTCTTCCAACTTGGTGAAACATCCGAGGGCTACCTAGCTAGGAAGGTGGTAAATAATTTTTCCTGCTCTCAATTAAGCAACCCGGGGGATACCGCGACTAAGGCGGTGATGCGGCGAAGCAGGCAAGATTGAGTTCATGTGGGATTAGTGCCGGCATGGCATGATGCAGGCACTGCCAAGAATGGTAATTCCTTACGATAGGACCTTGCAGACAGGATATCACTGTAGATCCTTGACGGAGATAGTGATTTCGGTGATGAGGATGTTGGGGGCTTTAACAAAGGTACGTTGGGGGCTGAGAAATTGATCACATCAGATCACAGACTAGATTGAGACAGAAAATAGAGTCCGAAGTTCGAAAATGCTGTTTAAGTCAAAATTGGAGTACATCGAGAAGAGAGTTAATGAAGAGGAAAATTTCATCAAATGTCACGAGCTGTAAATAGAATTGAGCGTGATGCAGTGCAAAGTCTAGTATTTTGAACAGTAAAAACAAATAATTTACAACCAATATCTACCCTAAAACCTTATCGAGACTTTACAAAGTAGGAATCCAAGTATCCTTTCCAGGCCTCGTCCTCGAAAGTGCCAACATATCCGACATACATATCCGGCCGAACAATCGCAATAGCCGAGTCCTCGTTCTTGGCCCAATCAGCAGTGAAATTCTTGTCTCCATCCCTGTTTTGGTGACATCCCATATGGCCATTAGTCGACCCATTGGGCAGAATAGTGTAAACGGGAGCCGAGACGGAGATCGCCGGAAGTCGTCTTCCGATAGCCAGGACGATGAAATCTCCATAAGAGACGTTTTCATAGAGTCGCGACGTTTTACCGGAAGATCCAGTTATCACCACATCGGGACAGCGATATCCAGGTTTCCAGATGTCAAGTTCCGTACCCTGGATCAGTGGAGTGGCAAACTCGCTGTAGTTGACACCCATGCCTTGCTACGTTAGTTGGTGATATGTAACTCTGATGGCGAACGCACCTGTGATAAAGCCGGCATTTCGTTCGATTGTGGAGACATATTTCTTGGCTGTGTGTATGGTGTCCCTGACTAGTGCTGCAGCCACTCCGATGACTTGAGCGGCGGTGGATCTCCGCTCGATGTCGTAGCTGCGAAGAATATCGTCTCTTGCTTCGGGAGTAAGGTTGGATGGGCGTGCGAGTGCTGAGAGACGCCAGGCCAAAGCGAAAGCATCGGAGACACCTGTGTTTAAGCCTTGGCCGCCGTTGACGGAATGAACGTGAGCAGCATCTCCGGCCAAGATGATTCTTCCATGACCTTCCTTGGAGATAAAGGTACCAGCAAGCCGTTCCTTGACTGAGACCTGATTAGTATGCGAGAAATAACACTTTCGGGAGACATACCATGAAATGTGCTGAACCATTCCGTTTTCGTAAATTCCACTCGATATGGTGCTAGATGTTCTCTGATAGACTGCTCAGCCAGCTGCTGCGTGATCTCACCCTTAAGAAGAACATAGAATCGAGACATTTCTCGTTCTCTTGGGATCCACGCAACCCGAGACTCTCCATCAAGCTCGAACGTGATGATCTCAGGACAGACAGGGAAATCAGTGTCCAAGAAGGTATCAAGAACTGCCCAAGTCATCTCCGGCTTGGTACCAGTGAAACTGATACCTAGCGTGTTTCTGACAAAGGATCGTGCACCATCAGCCCCAACAGCATATTTGCTGCGGACCTTTCGACCTGAGCTTGTCATGACGGTGACAGAATCGTCTTCTTCAGCAATGCTGATAACGTGCTCGTTGTAGCTTACTGCATCGCCGAGACGATTGCGCATCACCTGTTCAACGACAGGCTGTCCGATCATAAGGAAGTTCTTGTGAAAGGCATGCTCGATACCAACCCACCAAGCATTCTGGCGAGACTTGAAATCGCCCTCTTTGAAAGTAGAGCTCGCTGTTGTTGTTAGACTATGTCTTTGGAGTTTCTAGGTCTGCTTACTGTTGCATTTGAGGCCATCAGGCAAAAGCTCATCGAGGATGCCAGCAACCTCGAAGTACTGCTGAGTTCGAGCGTTGAGTGCATCAGCACGACCGAGCTCTAGACTACAAGGCTTCTCATCTGTAAATCTGTTAGACTCGCTTCTCAATCAACTCAGAGTCTAGTGCAGCTTACCCAGGACTCGGACTGAGATGCCCAATGGTTGAAGGAGAAGGGCAACAAAGAGTCCAGTAGGACCGCCACCAACGATAGTAACATCAACTTTCTCCATGATTTTGAATGTCTGCGAATAACTTCGATTTCAAAGTTTAAGTTTTGGAGTTCTTGATATTACAGTTCTATGTAATTGGCGGGAAAGGCCCAGATAAATCACCAAAGTCCTATCTTACACGAGCTCTCCATCGACCTACCTAACTCGGCTTGATCAAACCACCTCAGCAAGTCAAGGATAAATTTTTGAGATGTCTCATCTGAATAACCATATCCTAGCTTGTTACACCATCACAAAGGCCCGAGAATCATTCAACGCCGGGGAACTTTAAACTTGGCCGGGTGGGATAACAACCGAACGGGATAGCCGCGCGGGATGCCGATCATCTCCACGGACCGTCCCCTTGCGAAAATCCAAGTTTTTAGCCCCAACCCGACTAGCATTTCATCAATACGGAAATACAATGACGAAAAGTGTGGCTTGGCTTCCAGATTGATACCTTCTACTCTAGGATTTCACATCCGTGCAAGTTGACAGGGGGGGTTTGGACAATTTTATGAGCTTCCTGATGAAGCGATTTTGTGTCATGCCTTTTTCTCGGATTAGGCGATGTGTGACGAGGGTAATTGTTTTGCCACGCAATTGGGTGGTTGTACGATGGCCCACTGCTGAGACGACTCGGTGTTTTTCGCAAATTGTCTTAGTAAAACGAAAATGGGACTATGGAGGGATGGATGAGTTGGGAGTATGTAACTTGTAGCTCACATGTTGATAGCAGATAGTAGACTGCAAGATTTATATCCTCTTATCTCCCTGACTATATCCTTCATCTGGTCAAGTTTAACATTCAACTTCATTTACATACCAACAAACACTCATCAAGCGATCATAATCTTTCATTTTACCATGGCTGTATCCAGTCTTCGTCCCGTGATTCCCTTCCCTTTTGGGACTGCCGCTCACAATGTTTCTGCTGAACCATTGACCACCGCTGTCGATAGGGCGGCTCTTGAGACATCAAGCAAAATCCTTGATATCATCGGAAGATATCGCATGAAACAAGACGACAACCTCTACTCACATTCCGACGAGTCAACTCTCAAATTCATCGCTCTCATCTACACGCACGTCAAGGCTGGTAAGCCAGTCCCTATGTGCCTACCAGCTTTCCCTTTCAAGTCACCAAACTCGACATCAAAGACTTTGGGAAAGCTCCCTGATAAGGGTGAAGAGATTGCTCTTGCTCACCTGAGCGGACTTTGCAGTGCTATTGGTGATGTATATGCGCCAGGTGCCAAACTTACTATCATTTCCGATGGATTAGTATATAATGGCAGGTTCACATGACAAAACTTTCAAAGAACCTAGCTAACGAAGACAGACCTGCTTGGTGTCCCAGATAGAGATGTCTGGGCATACGGCGAGACTCTTCGCTCGATGGCAGCTGAGAAGGAATTTCACAACATCTCCTTCGCACGACTTCGTGATCTTGTTGAGATCGATCTACCAAAAGACCTCGAGGAGATGACCTATGTTGCCAACGCATCAAACTTTCGACGTGCACTTCTCAACACCTTCAGCAAGCCCGGATGGAGTTGGGACGAAGTCCGCCAATCAGATGACCAGTGCATGACTTACCGCGGATACATCAAGTTTCTTCAAACAGATCTGGAAACAGTGTATCCGGTTGATGAGAACCGCAGCAAGTCAAAGTATAAGAGAGGAATTGAGTACATTGCGAAGCAAATGATGGCTCGTGGTGATGTAAGTGGCAAACTCTCCTGATTCAGAGCAAGTCGTGTACTGACTTTGCAGGCCTTTGCCAATGCTGTTCGACAAAAGTATCCTGACCATGTTCGGCTGTCAATCCATCCCTCAACTGGGGCTGTCAAGCTTTCCATCAGCCTTTTGCCTACCGAGCAACTCTACACCACGCCCTGGCATTGCAGCGTGGCTTACAGACTAGACGGTACCATCAGAACAGGGATGCGATCTGAGTTTGACAACGATGAGAGTCTCGAACTGGTCTACGACAACGGAAGACCTTCGCATTATCGCGAGAAGTCGCCTCTGCTATCGTGGGCAGAAGACAAGGGAGGCATTGCCATCGACCCGATGTACCCCGCTGGTCTGATAATTCGTCCTGCAAATGGAGCTGGCTCCCTTACACTTGACGACATCGACACGAAGAAAGTTCGCGCCTTGTCAGAGATCAACTCGCCCGTTGTTCTCAAAGGATTTGTCAAGAAGCCGAATCGCGACCGCTTCATTGATTTCAGCCACCGTTTCGGAACACCCTTACCTTGGAAATTCGGCCTGTTGCTTGAAGTCAAGGACCGAGGGCAAGATGCTCGAGGCCTGAACAACGTTCTATCTGCAGAGCCTATGCCATTCCACTACGATGGTCTGTTCAAGGTCGTCAAGCAGACAGATGAGAATGGAAATGAAAAGACAGTCTCGACTCCACCTCAGTAAGTGCGATTTTGAAGAATAGGATCCAATAACTGACCGTATGATTAGATTCCAGCTCTTCCAGGGCGCTACATCCTCACCTAGAGATACCGGTTTCACCCTTTTCTCTTCATCAACTCTATTCTTCAAGTACCTCCCATCATGGTTGAAGCAGGACATCTCCAACCTCACCTGGAGTGTGTCTACATCAGCATTCGACAACACCGTCCTGAGAGGCCTGCCTCTAGCTATTGATCATCCTACGACCGGCAAGCCATGTCTTCGATACCACGAGCCTTGGCCTCAGTCCAAGACACGATTTGATGCTTCGGATGTTACGATTGACGGACTTGAGGTTACTGAGAGTGCTGCTATCTGCGAAACCATCGACTCGGTTCTTTATGATCGTCGGGTTGCGCTGTACTATGCTTGGGATAAGGGCGATATTCTGGTCAGCGATAACATCTTGATGATGCATACCAGGAGTGATTTCACTGCGGGGATTGATCGTGAGCTGTGGAGAATTCACTTTGACTAGTGTACTGCTATTATTTGGGTAGCAGATTTGAGTATGTTTCATTGTGGGTTTGAAGGTTTCATATAGATTATTTCTGCAATAGATTGCTTCTGATACTTAAAGCCCATTGGTCCACGCCTTGACTACTATACCTTATCTCAGAGTGCATTGTGTCTAGTTACGGATTCGTCCCGGGAATCCCGTCCGGAGATATCTCGGTCGGCATCCACTTCCGACTCGGATAGACTACCGACCAAACCTTATGACATGCTATAATAAGGATGGGATCGCAGGGTAGCCCTGTTCATGATAAACTCAATGTCCTCAATTATCATGGTCGAAGTCAAGCAATACCATCTCCTGCCAACGGATCTTATTCCGAACTCACCAAGACCGCTTCTGCACTACAAGAATGTCTTAGCCAGGCGCCCTAATAGCTCCAAGTGCGACCCCGCCGAGGTCTGGAACATGTTTACCAAGAACGGATGGGACGTCCAGTGGATATTTCGATACCCAAACACGCAATTGTCACATTTTCACTCTGAGGCTCACGAATGCATGGCTGTTCTCTCGGGTACTGCAACAATCCGCTTTGGAGTCGGTGATACGTCCGAGGACCTCCAAGAAAATACATACGGATCAGCTTGGGAAAAAGGCGGGATTGTGTTGGAGGCCGAGGCAGGAGACGTCTTTGTCATTCCAGCTGGCGTAGCGCACAAGACACACAACACCAAGCCGGCAGCCGAGTTCAAGCTACTGTCACCAGGCGTTGGACATGGCATTGAGGCCGATGACCCGAAGAAAGCGTTGTCCGAGATTAAGCTGGATGGATATACTATGATGGGGGCGTATAACGGCGGTGAATGGGATTTCGTGAAGAGTGGAGGAGACTATGGCAAGTCATGGACGGTTCCTAAGCCGAAGATGGATCCTGTGTTTGGAGAGGCAGAAGAGGGACTTGTTAAGACTTGGCCAGGAGGGGATACCAAGGTTGATTTGGAAATTGTTCAAGTGGAGAACAGAGAGTACAAGTCAAAGATGTAACTCATCGGCTCTTCCAATGGTGGCACGGGATTAGTTACAAAACACCACCCTCGTAGCATTAGAGTCTCCATGCTCATAGGTCAGGGACGTCACCAGGCAGGAAAAGGCGGACAGTTTGAGCTAAAGTTGATTCACTAAGTATGTATGAACATAATAGAAAAGGAAACGATCCAGTCACTCTCGACACTAGTCATATCATAATCCATCTATCTCGTATTCGCATATTGAATTAGAAAGGGAGTAGCCATCATCCCTTAGTCCTGGACACCAGTAGGAGTGTTGCAGAGGATGCCTTGGTCAAGCTGCAATGGTCAGTAATGAGTCAAGTAAGTTGATAGGTCAGGCTTACAATAGGCAGGACACAGCATCGAGCTCGCTGGCCAATGGCGGAGCAAACAGCACTGAAGTCAGTGGCGTTGGCAGGGGTGGAGGGAGCTATCTATGTTAGACTGAGCCTTGCTGAGGACATGCTTGAACTTACGGTTTCCGCAGTCGAGGTCGGCAACTCCAAGGACATCAGTAGCACAGCATTGGGAAGTGCCGTAGAGACCAGAGCAAGGGATATAAGCCTGGCGCTTCTCCTCAGTGGGGAGAGCAGAGACGGCAGTAGCCAGGAGGGTCACGATAGCGAGTGAGAACTGCATGATGAATTGAGTGAATGAGTAGATGCTAGAATGATATGAAGCTTGGGAATGTGGATGCAGATTTCAAACTGATTCTCCAACAATCCCCATATTTATACAAAATCCAAAGTATAGATCCCATAAATCATTAAGATCATCGTCAGTAAACTAAATAGCCTCAACGTCATTATCTTACAACAAATCTCCAATGAATACCACGTTTAAAGCCGTCGACGTTTCCGATGGCGATATCCCTGGCCTATATCACCTATATATTGACTTGAAACCTGTTGTAGCGTTACAACGGCCGGGCGGCTTACAGCTCTGCAGGGATCCAACGCATAAACGTGTCGCGACGATCGCTCGATCAATTGGCCATGCTGATTCGCTGGACCGTCGGAGGAAACACTCAAAGGAATAGCCGACTGCCGAAACGATCACACCAACCATTAACCGTTAATTTTAGAAGGCTAATTTGAGGCGAATTTGGAAACAAGTTGGTTGCTGGGCCGATGTCATGACCTGTTAGGAGAAAGTAATTGGTCGGGTTGGTTCCTGTGAGGCCTCATTGGTGTACGGCAACGTTCCAAGACCGTTATTGATCGTCGTTTTGGTCTTCCTATCAGCTTCTTCAGCTTGGAGTTTGTTGGGGCTGGCATAACGACGTGGCAAATCATGAATGTGCAGATTGTTTCTCATACTGTTCCTGCAGAAAGTGGACCTACACGCCGAGGACTTGATCCGGGTTCCGACCCCGGTAAATGAGCATAAACTTGATTAACATCAGATATCCGAAACTTATATCCGATCAGATTATATAGGTGGCTTGACTTATAAGGCGGATTAAGCCTCCTAAACCAGATAATGACATCAACTATCATGATGATTCAATAGGCACCGTACCTATCGCTTGGGTATCCTTATCAATTGAGAGAGAAACCAAGGAAAGTCCCATACAAAAGCACGACTCCTCGCAAGACAATCTGTTTCTGGAATCCTGACGTAAATCTTTCTTGTTTAATCAGTGATACCTGACCCCATCTCTCAGCTTCTTTGGATCTATGCATCAAGTTCCTTGCTTTCCTCAGCTGAAACCGCAGCCTTTCACCTCCGTCATCGCACGATTCACCAGACAGGTCGAAAGTCTGGAGCCTGATTCTTAATCTGCCGTTGTGAAAGTGGCTGCATGAGCTGAAAACATAGTGACTGTCTTGTTCGCGACATGTGATAAAAACAAACCAGGTTCTCGGCTATTTATCCGCAATGTCTAAAAAGCCCAACATTGCTGCAAGCACTGCTGAATGTTAGGTCTCTGATTCCATATTACATCTTTCCTATCATTCAAGACTTACAAGCGCCAGCAGTGACGATATACGAAGCTGTTCCCCACGCAGTCTGTATGGTAGCCAAGTCTGTCCACGCCTTTGAGTTGAGCCAAATACCAATGGCCAAGCTTAGCAAGACTGGAACGAGTACTACGATCGAGATGCGTGTAACTGACCAGTCTAGAACCAGCTCAAGACCATATTCGCCTTCGAGTACATCAAGTCTCTTGTTATTGAGGGTGCAATGGATCCAGTCTGACCAAGCTAAGGAGATATGTCGAGGAACATGCCATCTTCTGTAGGTAGTCATCAATAGCTGCAAGTCGCCAACACCGTTATCATCTAGGTTGATGCGTTTATGTGTTCCAGTGTCTGCATCGCACTGATTCATCAGCATGAGTTGGAAGCTGGCAAACAATGAGGACAAACCTTGTAAAGTCTGAAACCTTTTAGATGTTTTAGTGAGAGAAGAGTCCCTCTCATTCCACGTAGTCGGAACGTCGCCCAGCGAAGCTTGGAGAAAAGCTGGTCAGGCTTATCGACAAAGACAACTCTTTCTTTCGGATTAGGATAGCCGCGAAGGAATAAACTCAGCACGATGTATGTTGGTTGGATCCGTGACTCAAACTCAATAGCTGAGGTGCGTGTGACGCCGAAAACAGGCGTTGAAAAGCTCGTCTTCCACTCGATCCTTTCCGCTTGCGCCTGTCTTGGATCATGCTGCGTAGGTGAGGTTTCACCATCTGCAGCTCCATGCTCCTCATCACGTCGCGGGATCGGGTTCAGTGGAAACATCACTTCTTGATAAGCCTTTGGATACGGAAATGTTGCGCTTTCTGTGATCTCATAGTTGGAGCTCAATTGCGGCATTCCCCCGGCTGCTGGAGCCTTTAAGAAGAACTTGTTCTTAACAGTCCGCTGATGTCGAAGTGATCTGATGCACGGATTTCGCTGCTCTAGAAGGCCACTGTAGTCTAGATGTCCTATGCCGTATGAGAAGTATGCATGCCAGGCTGTAGTAGGGATGGGGCCGGCAGGTGCTGGCTGTGACAGGGACACAGGCGTATCAGCGGTATCGTCAACAGGTAGCGCCATGTTTAATTGCGACAGCCGAGTAACTATGGATGTTTTGCTTGACTTCAATAATTATCTAAGCAGGTCGCGAGAACGAACCCCGCGTAACGAGGATTGAAAATGAATTGGCCTTTCAATCTTCAGCCGCAAGCCACCAAGAACCCTCCAATGAGACGTCGGAGGTTATGCAGTGTTGAAAGGTCTGTCCATTGGACCAATCATCACGCGCCACTGACAACCTCTCTATGCTAGGGCTGCGAGCTAGCATTGATGGTTTTGCAGCTAGGCATAAGGTCAAGTGATAATATTATGTGAAGGATAGAGGACTAAGAAATGATTGTATTTGAAAACTATATTCTGCTTAATCAAGATGAGATGAGCCAGGCAAGTCTTTAAAGACTAGCTGACGATTGCGGCTGAACTACAAGCAATTGTTAGTGAAGTTCCCTAGCCACATAAGACACAACTTACCCTTACGCCCTTTTTGACATCCATAACAAGGGCCTCTTGTGAAAACAAGATGAAAGATTTTTGTGAATCGATAATGGACTGAGCATCCTTCTCAAACTGTGCCTGCGTCTTCCTTACCAGCGGGACAGACTCAAGGCCAGTAAGAAATATTTTGTAAACGAGTGCGTATTGCGGCATGTTTGCGCCGCCAAAATAAGAGTTCAAGTCGAACTGATCAGAAACAGCACCGATGTTGCAGATCAGTCCGCAAGCTTGGTTTTGGCAGCAAGCGTTGATTGCGTCAACTAGACGAGGGGTTATCGTCTCTTCCAGCCCAGTTGTGATTTGCGTTCAAGGGACCACCAGGACGCGACCCAAAGGCCGAGTGAAAGACCTGGGTCTGGATGTACTTACTACGTATGAGCTTAGCAACATCATCCAACTCCAGGGATTGCCATGTGGGTCAGTGGGGAGTGGATACGGAATCGATGATCAAAGAACTCTCTACGTGTCATATTAGGCTTACCCCTGCCAGTAGCAATTTGTTTAGCATGGGGCATCATGATGTGAGCACCGGTCTTTTGGTTGTAAATCAGGTGAGATTGATGATTCGGTATGATGGTGGGTGACTGCCAAGCTATTATATAAGTGCAATCAATGTAGCTCAGTTACAGGAAGAGGGTAGCAAAAAGTCCAGGCTAGTTGAATAGCTACAGCACATCTGATGAATTGAATAGAGCCAAAAGATTGACCGAAGGACGGAAGGTTTAGCTGTACAGGATATGGGAAGAATAGCTTAAATTAAGAACCTGTAAATCCAAGATAAGAGTTAGGTGACATAGGTCACCAACTTCTTATGTACGCTTCCACATTTTAATCTATCCAGTCCTTCTTGAACTTCTTGGAGTCCATTGAGAGCTTCATACTCTAAAGGTTTGATCTGGCCATTACCCAACCAGTTATCGAGGCCCCCCCAAAGCCAATAACCAAGCTGAACACCGGCCGCAGAGGGCTGGCCCGTCATTGTCTTTCCCATTATCTCACCACTGTACACTGGCTTGAGTTGTACGCCATCAATAGGCGCTGCCGTGTACTTGATAGCAGTAGCCACTGTTACCGGCTTCTTACAACAGTCCACAATCTTTGAGATGGTTTCCTCAGTAACAACCGTATCAAACGCGAGACGCTGATCAGGTGCGACAGACTTTATCTTGGCGATTAGGTCTGGATCTGACCTAGAAAAGACATAGTCGGCACCTCTGGTTTGCGCCTGAGCTGTAGTTTCATTACTTGATGTAACTGCAACTACACTGTAGCCAGAGATTTTAGCAAGCTGAATAGCAAGCTTGCCTACCCCTCCATTGGCACCCTATTGAATAGTTAGTCTTTGCAGCCAGAGGCAGAAAACTACAGATACTTACCCATATAAGCACGTGGGTGGCAGCAACGTCACTTCTGTCGGCGACTTTCGCTAAACCCATATCAAGGTACAGGCCACAAGCAGCCGTACAGAGACTGAATGGAGGGGTAGATAATCCAAGCACCGGTATCTCAGATTCGATCTAGATGCGTGGTTAGCCTTGTTGTCTTCAGTGCTCTATGAACCTCTCGTTCACATATGGTTTGCGAAATAAGCCGTGGTTTGTACTGACCTTACAGCAATTTACCACCTGTACCAATGCATGACTCTGGTAGGAACATCCGTCGCTGTAACCAACCGTTCCAGTGCTCATAATGAGGTCACCCTTTTGGAACCTTTGGGACTCTCTAGGGTCAATAGCATGCCCAACTATATCCATGCTGAGGATTAGATAAAGTTAGAGAGACTCATTGAAAAGGCATTTGTAGAAATCACAGTTGAGGCTACGCATACCATGGGGGAAAGAAGGAATAAATAAATTCTTTTTGATCTTCTTTTAGTCTAAGTGGTTAAGCGACGTTGCTAATATTTTGACTTGGATTTGAGAAGGTCCAGGACCAGGGGGATCCTACGTCTCTAGCTGCAGGCGTCCAAAGGGAGCCGGGAGAACAAACCGCTTTGCCATGACGGATAGTGTGGGGATGAAAAATAAATCTTTGGTCCAAATAGAGTCGGAGGAATCACTTTGACTATCAAGACTGGGGGTGATGCGATACATCGAGACGGGCATCTCGTATGTATTTCGGGTTCATACTACCAATAAAAATAGACTGTCGGGTTGCTAATCTAGTAATTCAGAGAGAAAAAGAACGCCAGGAGGTGTAGGGATGTGGAGAGTACGGGACGGCAGCCAAGGCGTCGGCATGTGGAGGAGGAATGCGGGCTCAAAGAAGACGAAGCCTGGAGAGCCACAATTCGAAAGCGGGCATATTATAGGAGTATAGTAGCATTTCAAAATGTTAAACAAAAGTAACAAGTCAAATCAATTCAACTCCCCTCAAGTTAAAACAAACCTTGATCATGGCTAAGCAGGACAGTCCCCTTGACGTGGTTATCATTGGCGCCGGGCTCGCCGGGTTGTTAGCCGCCCGAGTACTACGCGAAAAGCACAACGTCAAAGTATACGAGCGGTCATCTTCGCCAATCGAGGTTGGTGCCGCTATCAACGTTGGGCCAAATGGTGTTCGGATCCTCGACACCCTTGGTTTCGACCGTTCCAGGGCTGGGTCACTTCCTGTTGCGGCTACCAAGGTCTTTACAAAGGAGGGCCATCTCCAGTTGAATGAGAATAACAACTATGTGGATAAATATGGCGCTGACTGGCTCTTTCAACATCGAGCAGACTTGAGAGGGGAGTTTCTTCGGTTGGCGACTGAGGATACTGGCGTTTCGGGTATACCAGGGAGACCGGCTGAGGTGCTTTGGAATCAGAAGGTTATCGACATCGATCCAGAAGAGGGTCAAATCACACTGGCATCGGGTGAACAGGTCAAAGCAGATCTTGTGATTGGTAAGTTGTTCAAGCATGGCCTAATCGACCGGTTAACCGATGACGCGCAACAGCTGCGGATGGCATCAAGTCTGTGGTGAGGCAATACGTAATCGGCGATGCTGTGTTCCAGACAGCTAGGCCATCTGGTCTATCAGCCTTTCGTTTCACTTTGGAGCTTCACGACATCAAAGCAGCTCTCGAGCAACTACCAGAAATTTTGCAACGTGATAGGCCTACATGCTTGTCTATGGTGTACTCTTTCGACAACACCATGCGATCTGTTGTTATGTATCCCTGCAGGAACTTTGAACTTCTTAACTTTGTATGCATCGTTCCAGATAGCAGCCTGAAGGAGAAAACAACAGAGTCTTGGACAGCTTCTGGGGATAAGGAGGAACTTATGTCGCTATTTTCAGACTTCCCCTCTTGGGTGCACGATTATTTTCGGTAGGATCTACTCTTTGACATTCCATCTCATGCTGTAGAGGCGTTGATTGACTTGAATAACAGGATCGCAAAGAACATCAAACTCTGGCAGCTTCGAGACCAGGACCCGTTACCGACCTACATTCGTGGTCGAACAGTTTTGATTGGCGATGCGGCCCATGCTATGACGCCTCACCAAGGACAGGGCGGAACACAGGCCGTGGAAGACGCAGAGGGGTTTCGGCTGTTCCTCCAACAAGGTATTGCCAGCGAGCATGTTCCTGAGCTGCTTCAAGACTTTGATTCTGTCCGCCGGCCGCGCGCAAGCCAGATCCAGAATAATACTAGAAAGTCCAAGAACAAGAGGACTGTCGAAGAGGTGTATATGTTTGAGAAGATAAATTGGACCTATGGTGGTATTATTGAGGAGCTCAAGGCTGCGAAAGAGGCTGCAGCTATTTGTAGAAATAGATAGCCCTAACAATTATACAGTTTATTGGCAACGTCTCTTTATCCTTTCACGGCGCTATCCACTAATAATGCGCCAAGGCTGCCGAGCGAGATATGGGGCTTGCTGCCTAGAATCAGCACTAGCGGTCTTTAAAACGCCATTCATCGTTGTGTCGTAATCTGTCCGCTCACAGCATCTTGAAGTTATTGAATCTATAGAGTCAAGGCATTATGGGCTACTCTGAAGTTCTCTGCCATATTTGTGGCGTCAGTTTCAACATTAGCCGCTCTCGAACAGACAAAGAACCTCGAAGCGCAGCCTGGGGTCAAATCCTTGCCATCAACCCCGACAACAGTCACGGCCGGTGGGGATGCTACTACGTGAAGAGAGATGGGGGTCAAGAACCCGGAACTGCGTCCTCTGAACCAGTTAAATATATCCCACCCAAAATCGATCCAGAAGATTCATCCGATGACGGATGGACGTCAGACACTCCGGATGATGAATGGGAACACATCGCCGGACTAGAATGCGAGTACAACGGAGCCTACAACGGAAACCACATCCCTGCAGAGGCTATGAACCACTGTCAAACATCTCAGTGCCTTGTACCAAAAGGCGACAATTGGCAGCCCGAGGCAAACGACCAAGACTTTGAAACTTCGGGCAACTTCTTCCTCAGCGGTTTGTCTGACGACATGCCCAGTAGAGATATGGGTTGGCCGTCTGTTTCTCCCCCGCGTCATGACACGAGCGATGTCAGAGCTGAGAACATTATCTGGGATGCTCAGGAGGCGGACGAGTACTGTATGCCCTTTCATCCGACCTGCTTTGAGATATTCAAGAGAGCCTCTTTATATCGGTATGGAACTGTGGATGTTGAGTGTTTGATGCAATGGTGGCGTCTTGAACCGAAGTACGAAGATTTCGAATGTTTTCCTCGTCATCCTGCTGTTAAAGAAGCTGAGCAACAGTGGTGGGGTCATGAACGTGGAGGGGAATTCCTAGTGGCCAACCCTTGCTTTGTTCCTGGATTGGACGATCTGCTGCAGTCGACACAGAGCGTGGAACATACCCTTGGGAATGAGTCTAGCCTTTCTGGAACTACGATATCAACGAAGCCAGCCCCTTCCGACCCATTCTCAAAGCTCCCTAGCGAAATGATCCATGAGATTCTCATTCATCTCAGTTTCAAGGACCTTGCCAACCTCCGACTCACCTCTCGCATATTTCTGCATCTGCCGAACCCTGTATTGTACGAGTTGACAGTTCGAGACACTCCTTGGTTATACGAGGCATGGTCGTCATTGCTTATCTCTTTCTGGGCAACAACAACTCAAGCAGAAATCGAGCAAGAGATCGAACGCGGAGGTAGCATTAGGACAACTCCTCATCCAGTCAAGCTACTCAGCAAAGGTGAAACAGACTGGCTACGTGTTCAAGTGGAGGTGTCGAAGAACTGGAAAACATTGCTTGGACTACAGAATCGGCGCAGAATCTGGGGCGATTGCCAAGAAATCTTGAATCGTGTGGATGAATACCGGAAACAAGGCAAGATCTGAGGATTCTTGAGCTTAATTCACTTTTCATACTTGGCAACTGTGGCCGCCTTCGGTGTAATAAATTGATTCAACATGCTTTACAATAACCAAAGCAACCACGACATACTCTAACCAAGCTTTGAGAGACGGTCCAAAACATCGTCCTCCCACGGATAATCATCGCTCTTAATCTTTCCAAAAGTCGGCAACAAAACAGCCTCATCAATCTCAGCGTACTTGCCACGCTCAATATGCACAAGCTGTCCATTCTTTGAAGAATCAGCCATAAGGAAAGCGGCGCAACGAGCGACAACAGAAGCGGGCTGAAGCTCAACGTTGATGGCGTCAAGAAGAGCCTTCAGCGACGGCAAGACACTGCTGTCTGTCCAGCTAGGTGCTAGTGTATTAACGCGGATAGGAAGTTGAGCAGCGGCGAGCAGGGGGACGAGACCGCGTCCCCAGCCCAGGACACCATGTTTGGCGGTGGCTAGGGATGTTAGTAAAACACGATGACGTAGGGATTTGGTAACTTACAGTAATCCACAGCTCTGACGCGTTGCAGACCAGTTGTCGAGCCACTGATGAGAATGCTACCTCCCTCAGGTTGTTGTCTCAGATAGTTGATAGCTAGTGTCGAAGTGTTGATGACTCCCTTCAAGCTAATGTCAAGGAGTTGGTGTGAAGGCTCCTTCAAGTCACCATTCTCATCGACCTCAGTGGCCAAGTAATCCGTTCTCGGTCCAATACCAGCATTCGCGAAAACATGGTCAATACGACCATAAACCTCCTTAGCCTTCTTGAAAAGAGCAATTAAATCACCCCAGACCGAAACATCGGTCTTGACAAAAGTAAATGATCCCTTGTGCTCCTCCGGGGGAGGATGCACATCGCCACTGACTACCGAGGCGCCAAGCGACAAAAGCAAGTCAACAGTGGATAAACCAATACCGGAAGATCCTCCTATCAAGGATTCATTAGCTCGTGTTCCGCTGGTCCGTAGGGGGTTGCATACCTGTTACGATGACAACCTTGCCCTTGAGGGCCTCCAGCTTCTGATCGTCGATGATAAACTCAGCCATGTTTTTTTCTCTTGAAACGTGAAGAAGCAGAAAGACGCGGTGAGAAGAAACTCGATGGTAGCAGCAGTGGCCCTGACTAAAATACGAAAAGTTACATTGGCATTCGTCCACACCGATTCAGGGTCCTTGGTGGAACCGAGGAATCCACAGCAACTCCCGCATGTCATACGAGTTCTCATCTTGCATTAACTGTTGGTGGGTAAACTATTGTTTCTGTTCTGTAGTCCCGAGTCTAGTCGAGGACTAGATCTTACATCCATGCTGGGATCCATATTTGCTGGGCATGTAAGCGATCACGTGCTTTATAACGCTCATTTGCCACTGGTTCTTTTAGTGAAATAACCGGAGAAAGTCGCCCGGGGTGTTGTTTCTGTCGGAAATGGATCTCTGCAGAAGGATCTGATCGGCACTGATGTAACAAACCAATACGAGCGAGACATCCAGAACAAGAGATGTCTTCACATGCCTATCTTTTTCTGTTCTTCCGTATTTACGCTTTGAACATGACTATCTCTTGGCTTCGGACACCAGTAGATCATCCGCCAGACCAAAACACAATCTAATATGAGGCTGACAAAGGGCACTAGGACCCTCGGGCCGCCTGGGGATAAAGTGGACGTTCCAAGAAAAGCAGCCAATATCATAGTCTCGGAGTCATTTGCGGCCAAAATGCTCCGCAATTATTGAACTAAAACTTTTGAGACAGCCGTTGATTCGAGTTCGTCATCACTTAGTTTACTGTTGGGACCCGTTTTCTAATAGGCCCCTATGTTTGAACCGGTACGCTAGCTGGGGTATACGAAAATGAACGAGCCTCGGAAAGCAACGCGAGAAATAACTGAACAGGTACAAGGAATATTCTAGTGGGCCTTGTCGGACTGTTTATGTCATGCCGGAGTTGCATGCAGCGTATGCCGGTCTTCCTGGTACCCAGAGGGGCTAGTAGCATGGGTACCGGCCCAAAATTTCCGGGACGTTGGTTATGCCGTTTGATATTAAATCTGTCAGATACAGATCTTGAAATCGTGCCTGACCTTGTTGTTTGTTCCTTTGTTTGTTGTCTTTTTTATCGTTCCCCTTGAATCACCAACATGGCTCGAGTAGCCGGTGAGGGCGTGCCTCTTCTATGGATCACTATTGTGATGCTCACGCTATCGTGGATCTTTCTCAGCGCGCGTCTTGGAGTTCGAAAATGGAAAAACAATCTTGGCTTGGATGATTGGCTGATGTTTGCGGGTTTGGTATGCATTTTGGCTGGTTGGGGGAGACTCTGGCTGACAAGAGACAGATGCTGTATACGGTCACGGCAGCGCTGGTTATTACGTGCTGTTTCCACGGAGCAGGTCAGCATAGAGATGCTATTGAAGCAAAGGATGTTATGATGGGAACAAAGGTACATGCCTTTCCAGCAGTCATGGTGCAATCGCTAACGTATCACGTCGCAGCTCTTCTTCATCGCCCAATTCTTCTACTCCGCCTGCTCCGTCCCGATCAAAGCCAGCATTTGCGTCACCATGCTGCGAATCTGTGATGCGCGCCGTCGTTTCGTCTGGACCCTCTGGGGTCTCATCGCCATGACTGTTATCACCGCGATAATCTTTATCCTTGCTACAGCGAACGTTTGCCATCCGATCACAACACTTTGGGGAGAAACGACACACGGCTACTGCAATACGAAGCTTAACAGTAGCGTTGGGTTCTTCTTTTCTGCTGTTTCGATCATCGTAGATTGGACGCTGGCTATCCTTCCCGGCCTTTTGCTGTGGAATATCCAGATGAAGAATAGGGTGAAGCTTCCGGTCATTGTTATGCTTGGACTTGGTGCTTTGTAAGTCAGACATGTGATCTTGGTGGCAACGCTAACATCTTGCAGTGCCAGTTGCGCAACCGTTGTCCGACTCGGCTATCTCACACTCTACAACAACCCCGAAGAATTCATGTACAGCACCGGCGCAATCGGCCTATGGTCTATTGTGGAAGAGGGCATCGGAATCATCGCCGGCTCGATGCCTGCCCTTCGTCCACTTCTCAACCTCCCCGTGTTCCGCAGCACCTACGCCAGCAACACTGGCTCGAACGGAATCTCGAGTCGAATGAACCCACCTCATATCTCGGGAAACAAGCATACCCGGATTGTTTCTGAGAACCAAAAGTCAAGCTTAGAGTTGAATGACTTTCGATCGGGAATGACAACACGAGTGGGTTTTGGCAATGATGATAAGGTTAGGCAGAGTATTGATGATGGGGATAGTCAGAAGTACATCTTGAAGCAGACGCGGGTTGTAATGACGACCGAACAAACATAGAGTTTAGAATAACTTTCAAATAAGTGCAAAAATTACCTTTACATGTATAAACATTCTATCGATTTGTTTGCAATTGCGCAAAGCGAGCCGAGCATAATGCCACTTCATTCTGTTGTTCTGCCATACAGCCAATACTGTATAGGCCTACTTCTTGCAAAGAGGACAATAAACCTATCTAAGAGGCCAATAGAGAGTTGATGTTTATTAATAGAGTGAAATTTAGAAAACTAAGCGAGATTGTTAAGTGAGGCGGATGAAACGGCCTACTTGATTTAGAGAGATAAAGAGCCTTCTATAGGTTGACTTCTTTGTATCCCTGTTTGCTACCCTGCAGGATCTCCATAATGCACAAAATTAAACTCAGATAATTCATTACTGAGTTAAAGGAATACTAAAATAAAATTTGAGTAATGGAATATATTTAATATAATTATATCTACTTTAAGAACCAATTAAAATTCGAAGGCCTGGCCTGTTAGTTCGATGCCTGCAGCATGGGACTAACCATGGCATTGGGAGAGGTTAGTCGGAGCAGTTTTGCACCATCTGATAATTGGGAGAACCATGATTGCTAAATTTATAGATTTAATTCCAATGAGTAAGTAAGAAACGTTGACTATATTTTGCCAATAGAATATCGGTATTATGAGTTCAATTTTTGAACTCTATTAACGTGCATGATAAGCGAGTGCTCCAGACAAGCGAGTGCTCCACCAATCTACACCTCAAGACTTAAAAAGAGTAATATAAACACCATAATCTATCTGATTAATTAAAATTAATTACTATATTATTCCCTATTGACCTCAATTGCCTCTTGACAGGTCCTTGCATTATGCCCGGTCTTTCCGCAAATACTACACTGCCGAACCTTCGGTCCTTGTGACCTCTCGCGACCACCACTTCTTGACGATTCAGCTATAACCTGCATATCAACATCCCTCTGATCAATTGCTTGTAATGCTTCCCCTATAGTTAAAGTCCCTTCTTTCTGTACCCTAGTCCTTTTTCCCCTCCGGCATCGCCCTACTGTCTTATTTTGTTGTTCAAGTTGTCGAACCCTATCATTTAGTAAGACCATCTTATCCATAAGAACAGTTGTTGCCTTCTCAAAGTGCTTTACGGCTTCAATTATTGACTCAGGGGAGCTGCTCTTATGATTTCTAATCCTTCCTTGTAGATACTTGGAATGCGATTGGGCCTCTAGTGATGTCTTTGGGGTCCTTGCAGTCCAAGGGGTCGATGGTATCGTGACCTCTACGGGAGGCGTCGGAGTCCGTAGCTGCACATCAAGCTTTGAGATGACATTTTCTGGGCCAAAGGGAGCAAGCCCAGCTCCTCTAAACCCTCCCTTGATATTGCTTTCTGTAATAGCAGCTTGGTGGGCGGCATAAAAGGCAGGAAAGAACTCGGTCTTTGAGATATGAGTTATAGAGCATCTGATCAGATGCTCTATTTGTCGGCTATATGCCTTTTTCAGCGGCCCAAAGCACCCTACGTCAAGAGGCTGAAGTAGATGAGAGGCATGAGCAGGCATACAGAGCGTGATAATCTTATTCTTCTTGCAATATTCCTCGAATTCGACAGAGTGGTGACTTTCGTGACCATCAAGGATCAAGAGGCGATAGCGACTGTTCGTTCGCTTAGCTGTAGCCCGATCAAAGTGCTTTAGCCACTCGAGACCCAGCTTATTATCAGTCCATCCTTTCTCGCTCAATGCAATAACCCAATCGCCGGGGAGGTCGCATTCTTGGTACCAATTGGCAAGGTGATCCTTGCCTGCACCAATGATGAACGGCGGGATCGATTGACCTTCGGCATTAATCCCCTCGATTACAGTAATCCATTCGCGGTTTCCAGGCTGTACTTGCTTTGGTCTTCCTCGCCTGTGCGAGCTTGTGACGACTGTTCCGGGCTCAATCACGCCCATCATAAAGCCGGCCTCATCAAAGTTCCAGATATCATCTGATCGGATACCGTATTTCGCGATTGTATTCTCAAAAAGCCGAAACCAGCCACGAATAATAGTCGGGTCTTCGCATTTAGCTCTCTTATAGTCATACCTCCGAGATGGACGTGTCTTTAACTCTGGTTGTCGCTTGACGAAGTTATGAGCCCAGCGCTTACCGACGCATGGCGCATCGCGGTTGGCAAGTAGAGAATTCGCGATATCTTCCACATATGATAGGCTCGAGGGAAATCCTCGCGAATCTAGGTCTAAAATGAATTGGACTATTATCTGCTCTTCCTGATCAGATAGTTTCCGTGACTTTGTAGGAGTATTATGTGTTGAAAGAATGCCTCGCTGGCGGCGACGTAAGGCAAAGCGATCAACATGATATATAGCTGCGGCCTTTCGAAGACTTAATTTTGGGTCATTCTGGAGGGCCTGAAGGGCAAGAATAATCTTAGCTTCATTTGAAGACTCTGGCATATTAGGTTGTTGAGAAATATCTGATTGAAT